AGTGTTTTCATCTAATATAAAAATGGTAATACCTATTTGAAAAACCTATTTTTATCAATTCATTGCCGGTTAAGGAAATGCCTGACATTAAATATCTTGGATCCACTCTAATCCCAAATGGCTAGGCAAAGGGTGAAATTGTAACCCGGATAACGACAGTAAGAAATATGTTGATGAAACCTATCGCGAAATCACCATAAAGACGAAAATCTGCGTCCATATAGCTGCAATTCGCTCAATCTTGCTATATGGCTGCGAAACATGCCAATGAGAGTAGAAGATATTAAGAACCCATCAGCCTTTGACCACCCATGTCTAAAATATATTTTACGGATCCATTGAGTGGATAAAATCGTACATAATTGTGTCCATCTTAGCTCAAATACCACCTATAATCATCACACAGTGTCGCCTTTGCTGGTTTACGACACGTTCTTCGTCGTCCACCGCAGGAATTGACACATATTTCGCTACTTGCCGAACCCTGCGATGATTGGCGTCAAAAGCGATGAGGGCCAATCAAGACTCGGACTGATACGGTCAGGAAAGATTTTGAACGTATAGAAGGACCAGTGATATATGGACTCAGACGATGGAAAAAGTAATGGCTTTCATCATTGTCAACGTCGGACCGAGCAGCTTGAAGACATTTTAGCCCTGTAGCCAGCGAAACCAGTTTATGTGTAATGGTGAGAGTTGTTAGAAGAAGAAGATTAAAAGAATTGGCTATTGATATACTAGGACTGAGTTCAATGTAGGTTTGGCTTATCGGTTTCTTAGACAAACGTTGTCATTAAAAACCGACGAAATCACAATGCTGCTCGGAACCCATCCATACTTCAGCCTTCACGTGATTCTCTGGCTGGTTAGAGGGCTTCGATGAAAATAGTCATTAGGGTAGACAAGCTTGAAACGTAAGTTCTTCTGTTCTGTTCTTAAAAGAAGAAATATAACAAATATCTGTTTGATGCATTTATATAACTCCAATAAATCCATAAATGGGTGTGCAATGGCGATATTCATCGACATCGACAACTCACTCACCGCAGACCCACCGTTGTCTGCCTCGTTCTTTACGGAGTTTGTGTTTGGGGAGTTGCGGGCCGAGACTGTTAGAAGAAAAATATGGGAGGAAGTACCGCGAAAGTATAGGGGGAATTGAGTGTTAGAGGTTTCCCAATGGAGTGGGGCAATATGGTGCAATATGATCGATATGAAATATTGAGTTTTGAGCTGATGCCAAAGAGTTTCAAGTCGATCTTGCTCATTCTTTGAACAACTGTGAAATGTGACGTACTGCATTCGATTCAGCTAATTTTAAAATTATTTTCACACTTATAGGCTTTAGAAAATGTTTATTCCCACAGCTAAATGTGAGCCAAAAAACGAGCAAAAAAGCCAAAAAGTGAACCAAAAAAGAAAAGCCCAGAATGGAGGAAGAGAATGAATGAAGCTTTTCGTATTTATATCTTCCATACTAATTAGATTCGTATTACTTACAATGAAACAAACATGTGTTACACATATGCTTTTCAATATTTTTCTTTTATTTGGCATTAACGAATTAAAAAAAAATAATAAAAGAAGTAAATAATAAGAGAAATCTAATAAAACACAAATTATTTAAATTATATTTAAAAAATAAAAAAAGACGACTTTTAAAAGATAAATTTTTTCAGCAAATTTAATGTAACATTGTAGTGTTTTTATCATTTCCGCCACTATTTCTAATAATATTCCATTATCACTACTATCATTATCACCGTTAATATTATAATCATTATCGATTATCATTCCAACAATGTTATTAAAATACATTTTATGTGCCTGCTGCAATACTCGGTCTCAAAACGATTTTCTCATTTCTGTAATTTTAGATGTGTTGAGAATGGCAATGTATGTTTGAAGGGTACCTCCTCGCGGTGCTACGAAATTCCAGCAAAGTACGAGAAAAGGAGATTTTGTTGGCCCAGCTTTTTCTACTGAATAACTTCCTAAGTCCTGGTTTTTTCTGCTATTGAAATTTTTGTTATTAGTTCTTCCTAACTCTTTTGTTCGTTTTTTACTTATTTTTTGCTTATTGTATGGTTGCCTTTTCTTTTCATTTTATTTAAAACACCCAAAATTTGAAATTTCCTGTTGAATTTTAATTTTATTTATAATTTTAATTTTATGATGTGAATTTTTACAGTGATCATTTTAATTTTAATTCAATACTTTTTATAATAGTTTCTTCTTTATTTTTTTATGATTAGTTAACCTTCAATCTGAGTCTTAAATTTTCATCTTTATTTCCGTTTGATTCGAAATTCTTCCTTATGGATTTATATATGCTGCAAGAGAGAAAAATGTTGAGAATTATTCTAGCCTGTTTACCAAAATTGCCTTGAAGGACTATCATTTATGCATGTAATCATTGCTATCTGCTATTGCCGCATTTGCTTATTTCTAAGGAATTGGTAGGTGAGGGATTTTTTAATTTTTAATATGAGATTCTCTGCAGTATAATAAGAAAACGAAATATGTTAATATTTACTAACGGTGAATAACAATGGATGGACAAACTGATGGAAGGAAGTGCGTCAATGAAGGATTAGGTAAAGAAGGAGGGAAAGGCAAAAACAATATGTAGGCGCATGCGGATACATAGCTCAAATAATTTGTGCTATCTTTGAAGATGGAATTAATCGATGAAAAATAATTATAAACATATTTTAAAAGAATTTTATCGTAACAGGTTATGGCTGAAATAGAAAAAGTTACGCAACAGACGTCGCCATCTGCACCATCGGTCAGCAGTGATGAAAAAAATCTCGTTGTATCATTCGTACAGTTTTTACGACAAAAAGTTTCCCTTAATCAGTGCAGTGATGAGCAAATTGAAGGAATTGAAGGTTAATAATTTTAGATTATTTTTATTTTTATTAATTTTCTTAACCGATCGTGCGCTATAATTAGTTGTGCATTTTCAGATATAAATTTATTTTTTATATTTTTTATATAATATAAAGAATTTTTTCCCCACTTTTCCCATTTTTCCCCATTTCTCTATTTCCCATTTTTAACTTTCTTTGTTTTAGTGGCAGTTCAGTGTCTCGAATCAGCTTTTGGCTTAACAGATGCAAGTTATGCTTTCCAGCCGTCAAAGCCTTTATTGGATATTTTTGTCTCTGCGGAAGGATTGCCTTTGGTTTATTGAGATTTTTTATAGCGTAGAAAGATTCTATAGGAAGACATATGAATCAAATAAAACAGATTTCTGCAATTTTTTCTATTGTTTTATTATTTAAGAGAAAAAATTCCCGTTTTTTTTTCGCTTTTTAATAAATATTTTAAGGGTGAAGCGAATCTACCGGAGCCAACAGAAGCTGAAATTGCTCAGGCAAATAAACTGAAAGAAGAAGGTAATGCGCTGATGAAAGCATCTCAATTCGATGCAGCCGTTTGTAAGTATAATGACGCAATTAAGCTAAATAGAGACCCTGCTTATTTCTGCAATCGGTTAGATTTTCTAATTTTCATTATTTGTTATTGTTTATCGAATTTGTTAGTAAAGCATATACACCTTTTACGTTGTATAAAGTTTCAGTATATTACTGGTCCTTTTTTTAGCGCTGCGGCATATTGTCGTTTAGAACAGTATGACTTAGCTATACAGGATTGTCGAACTGCTTTGGCGCTTGATCCAAAATATAGTAAAGCATATGGACGCATGGGGTATTTTTTCGAGTTATTCTAATATTATACATATTTTTTTGATATTGCACTTATATTGCACTTTTTAGCTCAGCTCTCTACAAATATACATTTGATCTATAGTGATTACCCTCATAATTGAAATTTCAGCTTGGCTCTTTCTTGTCAGAATCGTTATGAACAGGCTGTAGAAGTATATAAAAAGGCCATTGAATTAGAGCCCAATCAAGAAAGCTACCGAAATAATTTGAAAATTGCGGAGGAAAAATTGAAAGAGATGCAAAACACTGCGCAACAAACTTTTGGAACAACTGGAGGCCCAGTAATTATTCCAATGCTTTAATTTTACCTTATTTTAATTTTTTCGAATTGTTTTAAGGTTTTTGGAACTCTTTATTTTTAGTTTTCATTCCCTGGAATGCCTGATGTGACACAACTGTTGAACAATCCGGCGATGGTGCACATGGCTTCACAGCTTATGTCTGATCCAAACGTACAAAATATGATGTCTCAGTTAATGAATAGCATGGTAGGTAACAACCAAACAGGAGCTCAAGCTTTCGGAAATATTCTGCAAGCTGGACAACAGGTTGATACAATATACTTGGTAAATTATGAGTTTTGAGAATCTGCTTACCAGGTCAATTTTTAGTTTAATAAATTAATCAAAATCGGTTGTTTTAACAGAATTTTTTTCTAGCTTGCTCAGCAAATGCAGGACACTAATCCTGAGTTAGTGGAACAATTTAGGCGACAATTTCAAGGTGCAAATGCTAATCCTGGTTTGTTTTTTTCTAGCCAATGCTGCTTTAATAGTTTTTTTATTGAAAGAGCCCCATTTTTTATTTTTTGCTATCCGTTTATCAATTTATATCTTTAGATGAAACTAGGCCGGAACAAAATGGTGAACAGCCGCCTTCGCAACAATAAGTTATTGTTAAATGGTTCGGCTGATTAATCATATTTTTTTACTTTTTTAAAAAACTTTTTTCATTATAATGTTTTCTTTGAATTTTTTGTTCGAAATTTCCTTTTTCTTCTGAACTAAATTAAACTGTTTTTAAAATTTATTCGGATATTTAAATTTATTCATATTATTGATATTATTAAATTCTGATTTAAAAAAAAAAAAAAAAAAAAACTAAACATATTCACAGAATGATACTTCATAATTATTATGCTAATTAACATTTCGTAGGTAGAAAAATTAAATTACAACCAGAAAATATTATAAATCACTTATCAAATAAATAAACTCCTTGATAATTAATTAATATATCAACAAATAACGCGGTACGTACAGGAATCTTTAAGACATTGCAAAGCTTGATCACTGAATTTCGGTCTACCACTAAAATCGGCATGAGATATCCATTCGAGTTCAGGACAGAATTGTGCAAGAAGATAAATCGATTTGTCCGTACATGACGTGCCGCGTATACGAACTTCTTTCAAGCTACATTTCCTGCAAACATTTAAAGTTTGTCAGTTGCAAGTCACAACATATGTCTAAATAATTAGTGACTCAATTCGATATCAATTCAGCATTTTTTTCATAAAATGAACTTACCGGGCTAGCGATGCAAGTCCTTTATCGCTAACAAATCTACAGCCATTAAAATTGACTTTATGAAGACAGCGACAGTTATCGGCAAGCAAAACTAAGAAGCGATCATCCACACAAGGCATATGAGAAGTTTCGAGATCCTAAAGGACTTACGATATCTTTGCCTCAAAATGACATTGTTTAAAGAGATCTCAAGTTATACTCATTTATGTATTATACTCATTTGACATCCGATGGAACAGCCCTAAAATCCTAACCCTGACCCCTACAAACCACTATTTATATCCATTAAAATGTCTTTGCCTTCCTCAAATCCATTAAACTTTATTTCTCTCGTTTTATTCTCCTAATTCTGTTTCCAATTTTTCAACGTACCATAACTGATCGTGCGCCACGGGCAATAGCAAATAAAGCTCTATATGTAATTTGCAATCGGCACAGCTTCAAGGACATAAGGTGGGAACCAAGCGCTCTATTACCGCCTGAATAATGTTTTCTAAACATATATCGAGACAATAAGAGTTAAAAAGTATTAAATTTATGTTGACTTCTCGTTTTCTCGATCACAGTTCATAATTGTCATAATTGTCTTGAAACTTTTACCAATAAAGAAAAGTCTAAGCATTTTGTTATTGATATGTTTTACATCAAGAGCCAGATGTTTTAGATTGGGAAGGCACTGAGTAAGATGGCAAAAAACCGTATCGGTTATCCTCGAAAGCGAAACCTAAAAGTAAAATTAATTAATGGACGTCGGCAAAATTCATTTCATTCCAATTTGATCAGTTTAAATCTTAATTTCATCTATTTCACATTACAATAACCTTAATTCGCTGCTGTTCTATGATTTTAAGAGAAATTTGGTTCTAAAAAGAAGAAAAAGAAGAAAAAATATACATGAAGGCGTGAAATTTTGTCACCAAAACAAGGCAAAAATATTCGAAGAAAATTGTTTGCTTCTTCCATCGAGTGCTACAATTATAAACATATAATTCATTAAAAATTCAAGTTTTTGGAATAAAATGAAACAGCATATATTATTTGAAAATGTCTAGAAATATTCGAAAGTTTAGTTCAATTTTTTCCGCGTATTTTTAGTCATTTTATAAAATCTAATTTTGATCAGCTGAAACTGAAGTTTTTTCTATTTGCAAAGCGATTTGCAAAAAATTTAAAGACAACGCAGATCATCAGTTCAATTCGGAAAGGAGCTAGAAAAATGCGTCTGTACATCGATGATTGGGAAGACTGGGATTCTAAAATAATACACACATTACTAGGATCGCGGCATGATAACTGCAAATGAATTTCGGATAGTTCCGGCAGAGATTCAAGACGATGAATCAAGTCATATACATCTTCATCACCACATACTGATAACCTTATTTTATTCACTGAAGAAGGTAACATTGGCAGAGTGAAAAAGTAATTCCCTGAAAAAAATTTTAATTCTTCATAGATGTGGAAGCTCTCGAACAAAAACTCGAATTAAATTTGAGAAATAAATGTCAACTTTTATTGGAATAAAGTTTTCATCGAAACTTCGCTGTACCTTTAAAAATGAAAATAGCGATGAAATCTGTGGAAACATGTAGATCAGCTATTTTAAGCACTAATGAAGCACAACTTTATATGGTTATAATATCATCGAAATCTGATGTTGTTTCCTCAAAAAAAATCAAAAATCAAATTACCGTAAAGGTCAATGTCCCGTAATTCCGTACCAGCTATGCGATATTCAACCAATTCATTAGGAACTGATTCGACCTAAGCAAAATGAAATTAATCAGTTTAAAGAATTTTTTATAGATTGATTCATAGTTTGATGAAAGTATTATATATATTAATGTACAAATTTTTCAAAATTTTCCAATCTTGAGTGGTTGTATTTCTATTTATATTCTATATATATATATATATATATATATATATATTATAAAATAATTATGTCCGTCTTTGATAGGAGTGTAAACCTGTCATATCGAAAATCCGCGTGGTGGAGACCCACCTGTAACTCTGTCTCCAAGTGATTCTATGGTGAAAGAGTCAGACATTCTTGATACGGCATCCATGTCTTCCGATGATACTCCCAGTCCCGTGGTGCATACCATAAGTATACAATCAGAGGGAAAAGCGATCCCAAGGCTGGTAAATAAAATATGCTTGCTAGTGTAATTGCTCGAAAGGGAGCAACTCTCTGCAAGCGCTGAGAGGCATTAACAGTATCAGCATGGAATGACAGAACGCTTATGGACGTTCCAAATCAAGCGAATACTGTCCACACCCTTTCTGAATATCGTGTGGATATCGCCTACTTGTCAGAGAACCGTCTTCTTCACTTCAAATAATTACTAATCCTGGCTCGGAGAGCAGAGGCACTGTCTATATCACTGTGGTGATTCGGATAACTGGGAAATGGCGTAGCGATTGTTATGCCTGACAAGGCCCATTTTGCTTTGATTGAATGGAAACCAGTAAGCGACCAAATGGCCTATGCTCGTCCTACAGGTAAGTTTTGCAATATTGCAGTTATTAGTGTCCATGCTCCTTTGTCGGCAGAGATGACGATGGGCAAATATGGCATCGGAGACTGGTGCGCAAATGGGGAATACCTTCTTCGCTAAGTTGAGGAGCTTGAACTCTTTGTTATATGCTATCGAAGAAAACATTTAGTCAAATGGAACTCCCCGGATAACCAACACTTTAACCAGACTGATTATATCCTAGTTAGTCGCCGTTCGAAGAGTTCCGCACTAGATAGTCGTTCCTACCGCGGCGCTGAAACGCGCAGTCATCGTGGATCGAACCATGTTATGGTTCAAGCCAAGATCCGCATAAAAGTTGACAACTCGTAGAAAAAAGCATCGCCCAAGACCCTTCAACCATCTTAAACTAAAAAATTCGGGGACAAAGAACACATTTCAAACCGAATTATTGAAGCATCTCATTGATACAAATATCTTGATAACTTTTCTGGAATGGTAAATGAATACTGGTCCAAACTAAAGGAATGTTTCCGAAAGTCAGTCACTTCCACGCTAGGATATACTAGTAGGAAGTACACTAGTTGGGTATCGGAAGCAACTGTCTGAAAAAACTGCCAAAGCAATGTCAGGAGATTGATCATCGGATGCTTCGAAGAATTACAACTGCAGCATGGCGGGACAGAAATAGATATTGGAGTAATATGGTCTTGAAAATGGAGATCAACGCTCGACTAGGCGATAATAGGAAACTATTCCGCCTTCTCCATAAAGAAAACTCTTCAAATCTCAAATCTTCTTTTGAGAACTCTTCAAATGTTCTTCATCGTCCTTCATAATGCACCTTCAACAAATGAATTGGAAAAAAAGAAATATTACCAGATGATTGGAGCAAAACTCACAATTCTCAAGAAAGGTGATAGGATACAGCGACAATTATCGAGGAATCAGCCTACTAGAGGTCTCAGCGAAAATTTTTGCTTTTATTTTACTTAACAGACTTATGGAAGTACGGGAAGATAGGATGCGCCCTAATCAAACTGGATTCGGATAGGAACGTATGGATTTTGAACGTATAGGTAGACCAGCAACGTATGAACTTAGATGATGGAAAAGTAATGGTTTTTATTATTGTCGACGGTGGCACCAGACCACACTGCTTAGAAACGTCTTAGCCTTGTAGCCTAGCCTTTGAAGCTAGCCTAACCAGTAATGGTGAGAGCTGTTAGAAAAAGAACATATTATAGAAAATGTTTAGAAAAATCAAATTTTTTTGCCTCAAAATTTGTAAAAAAATAAAAATTCGTCATTTTTATTTTATCAAAATTTTTTGGACTTCACGAATAATGAATTTACCTCAAAAAAACGGCAGAGTGATAAATGACGAATATTTGTACATTTTTGACTGAGATTGAAAAGGGTCGTTCCAGGATCTGTGAGGTTTGGCAAAAAATCAAGTTGAAGCACACATAGCGACTTACCGAGATAATGCGCAATATCATACAATGCCTGATCACATAAACCTAAATTTAATTATCATTTGTAAGAATTCATTTTTAAGCGATATAAAAATACAGAAAATGAATTTCGAAAGAAAGAACTTGGCACACTTGATATTACTTAATAAACACTGACTTTAAATTCTATACTATAAAAAATGATAATAAATTCTATTTAAAAAAATCTTAATTAAATATTGGTCAATTCCATTGTTTTAAAAATCTTTTTTGTTCTAAACTATAAATTCTTATAAATGCAGAAAATAATAATGGATATTTTCAACGAGCTTAAAAGATTTGATATAATTTCAAATAAATATTTTCTGCTAAAGACATAGCGCAAAAACGAAATATAATATAGTAATAGCAAAGTGATAAATGCACGAAATTTCCTCCTTATGATGAGCAAATAATCATAAATTAACCTACCTCGACAATGGTTCAAATAAAGACTCGAAATATTTCGATTTCGCCGTACAAGCCGATAGATCCCATCACTGGTGATCTGTAAACGGATAAATTGCAAGTCTGAATTTGAATTTATTTTATCTCTATCTAAATTATCTCTAAATTTTGTTATATGACATGACATTGCATGAAACTTGTTCTCAGGAGAATTTAATGAAAATTGTCAGTTTCATATAAAAATAAGATGAAGAAATGGGAGGTGAAGAGATTTACAATTTATATATCGAGATAAATATAAATAAATGAAATACTCCAGTAATGTTGAACAGATATGAATAAATTTCGTGGTTTACCTTAGTGCATGAACTTAAATCAACTGAGTGCAAGAAACGTGAGTGAATAAACTGTAGACCATTCGATGTGAGATTTTTCAATGCCCTTAGCTCCAGCTTACGTAAACGATTTTGACCAACAGTGATAGCTTGAATCCCCTAAACGAAAGAAAATTTCTTTAAAAAGTCGAATGAACAAATCGTATCACTTAAATGTAAATAAATTAAATAATAATTATACTTTATCAGAAATATTTTGACAAAATATTATGGCAATATCCTCGAGAATACGATTGTGAACAGCGATCGATGTAAGAATCGCATCCGACAGCTGATCATCGAGATAAAATCGTAAATGAGTTAAATAACGACCAAATGATGCGGACGAAACCAACTGAATACATTGTGTATCGAAAAGCTGGAACAAATTAAAACTAAACGATGAATTTTCCCTTTTTTCGACGAAATTAGTAATAAGACAACAGGTTCACTTTCAAGAAAAAATATTCAAGAAACGGCTTATCTCGGACTGTGAAAAAAGACCAGTTTCAGTGGTGATATATTACAAACAAATAAAAAGTTCGTGGTTACCCACCATTTCTAGTTGAACTAGCTCGACTAAAGCGGTTAGAACCAGAGAAGCACTCACCTGGAGAGAGAAATACGGATTGAACTAACAGCATCACTGGAATTTTTTAACTCATCACTCCTTATAAATTTACTCCTTCCAAACCATGTCAATATCTACTATCAATATGATATTCAAATAAATCATATTACCTATTATAAATGGGGTAGACTTATGCAAAAAAAAATCCTGAATCAAGTCTAATCAAAAAATATGTGCCACCTGATCATGCGAACTAAAGAATTCGAGAAGTCGCTGTTTACAAACATCTGGCAATTCAGCAATATCTTTGTAGAGATTATTTTGTGATACAGCTGCCAAACAAATATTGAAGAGCGATTTAACCATATTCAACACCACAGAAAACATTCATTTATACGTAAATGCATCATCACATGACAATTTCACTTATGCCAATGGGATATTGTACGAGTGTGAAGAATGACGAATGAATGAGTGCAAGAAAAATCCTACCGATTTTGAAGCCGAAAAACTAACAACGCTTAAATAAAAGTGAATAGGTAGATAGAGGTTCGACAGTGTAGTGAAGAAATCATTGCGAAACTATCGAAATGAATAGAATTTGAGATTTTACACAAAATTTCATTGCAGCTGTTGTTATTAGAGGTCCGAATTATTTGTTAATAGATGTGGGTTAAGAAACGAAAAACGCGAGAGCACTAAAAATTCGATCAAACTCCGGCAAAACCTAAGTTAGGCAAAGAAAACAAAGGACCGGCAGAAAAAAACTAAAGAAATATGAGTAAAATTCCTTTGGAAAAGTGGTGAAAGTTAGCACTAATTTCCTGCAGCAAAAAGTTTTTAGTGTAATTCAATTTTCAAAAACTTTCTTAAATAGTTTGGCTAAAAAGTGTGCAGATGTTCGAAAATAAGGAAATATATTCAGAAAAAATTTGCAAAATGATCCTTTAAGTCAATGAGACAAATCCATGGTTCGTTTGTAGTTTTAGAAAAAAAATCTTGCTTCTATGTAATTTTCAATTTTATTTTTTAATTTTTTTTGGATTCTTTTAATTTCCACTTTTAAATTATTTATTTTAATGCTTTGCATTCCTCCTTAATCAATGTCCTTAAGGAAAAAATATTTGCAACGTATCTAAGCAATGAAAAATCGGAGAGTTTTTTGAGTTGAATGGACAGAAAAGCATTGCTTAACTTAAAGCAATAAGAAATTTTGTATAATTTTTTAAAGCGAAATGTGGGAGTGCCAAAAGAATACTTGAAAAGCCATTTTGGAAACAAATATTCAGACATCGACAAAAAATATTACGGCGTATTAAGGACACAAAATGTTGATTCTCTAATTCATTCATTAACAACTCAATAATATACCCTGGCACTGCCCAAATGGGTACATTTGCTTGCGTCATCATATCAAATTTTGAAATTCATTTGGAATTTTTAGAATTGCTGTGCTGCATGGACAAACAAAAGGTTCAAACTTTTTGTATGGCTTTCTCAAACAATTTCGATAAACATAGAAATTGGAATTCATAAAGCTTGTGGACATAATGACCGATAGTGCATCTACCGAGAAAATGAAATGGCATCTCTTCCTTCCAAACACATGGTAAGATTAATATTTCCAACAATAATAAAGAAAGACTACCATATTAAAAGAATTTAAAAAGGTGAATCGGATTTTTATACCACCAAATGCAGTCAGTCCTGTTTATTTTGAAGATGCAAAAATTTGGTGTTTCTCATTGACACTTCTGTTTATCTAAAGGCGCATTGGATTATAAAGCCCAAAATAAAAACAACTCTGTATCTGATCTATATCTGTTTGTTATATAGTTCTCGAGCACTTAATAATGATATATGTCACTTCAAAGTCAGATTTTTAAATTGATATTAAACAAATTAATATTAAACAACAGATGTGGAACAAATCCGTCTACAGAAATCTATTCAATGAGAATTTTGATAGAATTTTGATAGAATTTTATGCTCGAATACAATGGGATACTCGCAGCGAAATAGTAAACTTGACATCAGATAATGAGGAGTAGCATTTTCACTAACTTATTTGTTCTTAAAATATATCGCTAATTTATTTGACAGAAACTAATCTGTGAGAAACTTGAATTTTTGGTGTTAAATTGCACCACTGCATCTATCTGGTTTTATACCTGTTGGATTCAAAATCAAGTAAATGGGATGTCTGGCACTAAGTAAATAAAATGAAAAGTGAAAAAATTAAAAAATTACATTAGAAACATTCGAAAAAATCTTAAATTACACCCAGAAAAGCACTTTTTTATATAAAAAAGATTTTGAAAAATTTGCCGAAACAATTGAAAGTAAAAAGCCTGCAATTAGAAAATAAAGAGCGATTATTAATTAAAGGAAAATAAAGTAAGTGGTTGGCTCTCAGTCACATTTTCGTTCGCTCAACTCATTTATTGGTTCATGAGATAGTCTGATTTTCAGATGACTCGTTTATATCTTTTATAGTCTGTAAACTTAAAAAATAAATCAAATTCTAAAAATTATAAGAATTTTTTCTATTCTCTTCAGTTATTTAAATAAAAAATCCAATAATATATAGAAAGCAATGGTTAAAACTGAAATAAACAATTTGCAAGATTAAAAGCGATTAACAACTGTTCTGAGTCAGTTTTAACGACCAAATAAAGACATTATCGTTTCGAAATGCAAATAAATCTGAGAAATACTTGAAACTTTTCGAACCTTCCGGATATTCGACTGATTTCAAGAAAATTTGAATCTGTTTTTCGGATACGATTCTTCAAATTTGTTTTTGTGTTAAATTCGAATTGTTGTAAACATTTAAAACAGCAAGATCAGGGACCGACTGGCAAAAATACCGAGCTGCCTGTGCGTTTAAAATCTCTTTTGACCGTCTGTCTAATTCTTAATTGGTGCATATAGCTTTTGATGCTATCCATTATAGGGAAAGATGTGCATAAATTCGACAAAGAATTTAGCCAAAACAAAGCAGGCAAGATTTTGTGACGATATTCTTAAGGACGACAATATTCGTGCGAAGAATAGATTCTGCCCATTGAGAAAGGGATATGAACAGTTGAAGGCAGTTTGCTTCCTGATATCTTCAATTTCGCAGCAGCATAGGATTGTATGCACTACAGCCATATAGGCTCGAACTTTCCTTTTGAGGCTGTAATTTCACCGGACAAGAGGAATCATCTCTAGCTGCAGTTGTTCGAACTTCATTTTATCCTTCATCTTTCGCGTGGCCATTGGATATGGGAGTAGATTAGAGATATTTTTATTTCACTTTTTTGGCCGTTGTCGAATTTATGGAGAATGCAATTTTATCAACGCCTGGTATATAAAACGAAAAAAATTCCATATTATTTACATTGATTTGAAGGCCAATTTTCGTTTAGTTTCGCAATTCCTCATAACTGCAAGAGCCTCGCAATGCCAGAGATCAACGTTACCAATATGTTCAAGTGATACTATGCTGTGGGCTGATTTATACAGCACTTGAGTGCGGCAAGCGATGTTTATAACCCAATCCAATACTTAATTGAAAACTGTAGGGTAGAGAATAACCTTGGCACATATGTTTTAAAAGATTGCGTAAGTTTCCCATATATACCTTATATATATTAATAGAATGCTTAAATAAGTCTAATTCCTTCTCTTGAACCATCGTGATTTGCCAGAGCGGCATTCTGTCGATGGAATAAAAGCAAAGTCAGTGGAGCATGTAACGCCATTTAAACTTGAAACGATGTTCTAATATCCTTCTCAGTACGAAAATTTGTGCGACACAATCACTCTAACCTAAAACCAGCTTGATCTAACTCCTTTGGAAATATCTGTTTCCTCGATGTTTGTGCGTTCTATCACCATTCTTAAGAACTGAATTTGAAGCAGAAATGTCTTATTTGAGTCGTACTTCCTTCTTCTATATAAGTTTTGTAAGAATGCTGTGGAGAACTTTTGGTACCATTTGAAGAGTTCAGTTCGTAGACCATGAGGGTTTTATTGGTCTTGAACTCATGAATTATAAGGCTTATTTCATATTTCATTGGTGGTTTTCGTTTGAAAGCCAACTAACCTCCTTTCGAGTCGCGTATCAGATATATTTCGTTGACTATTCGAAATAGAAAACTGAAACTCGCATTTATTTTTTCAGAAGCATTCCTGAATTAATAGTTAGTATAACATAACACTGGTAATATGAATATAATATAATATAATACTGAAGATCCCTTTAGATGCTTCAGTAATTTGAAATGCGGTAACCCCCTTGAATTTTTTAACTTGAAATAGTTAAAAATTTTTTGGGGATCTTGTGTTTTAGCGATTTCTTTCGAATCTTGATCCTAACTTTAACATGGCCCAGCCTGAAGCTGGCCCAGCGCAATATGCATGGCTATTTACGGATTTCTTCCGACCATGACCAAGATATAGATAGACTGAGTGGAATATTGATTTCCTCATAAATTCCATGTAAACAGTCTTCAGCAATGCTAAAAGCATGTAATGGCAGTAAAAAACTCCTTAGCAAAGCTGAGAAGACAATCCACTGAAATATCGAATCAGAATGCCATACTTGACTGTCGCAAGAGCATAGGATAGCCACTGCGCGTAGCGCTTCCAATCTTCCGCGATTATTTTTTTTTACGATTATTTTTTTTTGTGAGAGATATTAGCAGATTAGGCTTGTCGTGCATCTGTTTCAAATCATGCGTTTGCATAAAGTCTAACCAGAATTCACCATTTCTGGTTAGACTTATTGATTTTACGCTTGAAAATTTTGCCGGTAGAAATAGGGTGGCTAGCAGTTTTTAATGCTAATTTCACTCCACTCGAGAGCAGTAATCCGAACCATGTTTTCTCGATAAGATTGGCTGAACACTCTCATTCGCCTTCTTTATCGCTAACACTTCATTTGTGGAAATGCAGAAATAATAAGGTTATCGCTTCATAAAAAATGCTTTTGTTTATAAATTAAATTTTGAAATTTGAAAAAATTGTATTCTTTTTTTTATCTTAATAATCTAAAATGCTTTTGGAAAAGTAGAAAAGATTTTTAAAGATTTGCACATCCATTTATTCAACATTATGAGACATAATGGGTATTTAAAAGATTTTCCTCTTAATCTTTGACTGAAACTATCTTAATATTTAATATTTTAAATTATATATTTCGAAGTAGTGAAAACGAATATCCTTGTGGATTGCCTTAGTTTGCCCATCAACAGTTGGGTAGTTTTTTTTTTTTAAGGAGTTCCCACCATTACTGGTTAAACTCGCTCCACTGGCTTGTCACATTAAGCAATATACTAGGGAATCCTTTGGTGATAGAAATACAGATGAATCGCCAGCATCTTCATCCGGATTTTTATACAGCCCCCAATTGAACAACAACCCACTGAGCCATTCTATCCAAAAAAAACGCTTGCTTTTGAACTTAACTAGTATAAAAGGTAGGGTGCAATGAATATCTTTGTGGTTGCCTTAAATTGCCCATCAACAGTTGGGTACTACTAGCAACAATCCATTGTTGTTGTCAGTTGGAATGATTCTTTTGGAATTTTTCATAAAGTTCCTAATTTTTACACTTTCTTTCTCACCAAAGAAGTTTAAGTTTAAGTTTCATTTGAAAAGTATGAAATTGAATTAAAAGTTAAAATTAATCGAATTCATTTCCTTAATCCCTCAAATTTATCGTATACAAGAAAACTCAGTGCACATTCTTGGTGGTCGTTCACTGATGGTGCCATCGCATTTGATAGATGCTTTGCCATATTTGGATATAGATTACGATGAAAATGGTCGCAGAATGGCTTCACAGCTGATTGAGAATGAAACACAAATATTTCGACCAACAAAAAATTATTTGCAACAATTACCAGTGCCGGATTTTGATGTATTTTTAACAAATTGCCTCACTAATGAACATTCTCGAATGGCAAAAAAAAGATTACATTTTTTTTCTGATTTCGTTTGGAAATTCGCGAGGAATGCATTTTTAAAAAAAATATTTGAAAATCTGAAATTCTGAATTTTAAATTTGAATTTTGTTTGTTTGCTTCTTTTGTTATTACTAAATATACTTTAATACTTTTCTTCTCTCTCATTAATTATTATTACTTTAAAAATTATTTGTTATTTGTTATAAGAAAATTATGCTATTAGTTGTTGTATATGGCAAAAATCTCTCGAAATCGATTACGGTATTCCCCGAGGAAATTTTGTTCAATAAGTGAACTCTCTATGGATTGCTGCCGAGCTGATTATTTCATAATGGCCAAAAAGATTATTTTTATGGAAACGGTAGTTCTCCCGTGGTAAAAATGATTGACAACATGCAGCTGACGAATAAATTGGAGAAAAGAATTTCTAAGCTATAACTAATAAATGATGAATAAATGTTTCAGTTAGCAAGTACAACAGGTATAATAAAATTTGTCGAGCTAACTTCGGCATTCTAGGCACTTATTGAACAAAATTAGTATATACATATATATGCATATACTGTATATCCAGCAATATACTAATATGGTACTTTATGGCACTTATATGGTACTATTCATATGTTAAAAACAAAAAAAATTTCCTGAATGTGCACTGAGTTTTTTGTACGATTTTTTGTCGAGTTTTTCTTCGCTTCATCAAAAGAGTAAATCTAAATCTATGATTAGAATGAAATCCGAATAATGCTGGAACTTAATATTGCTGGATCAGCATGATTATGATTCTTTAACGAAGAAATCTCATAGTAAAAACCATGTTAAAAGATTAAACGATGTGCTTCAATTTTTAGCATTTCTAACTAAAATTTATTTATTCTATCGAATTTATTCTATCGATTAAACTATAGGCAAGCCAGGTTATAAGTAAGCTAACCTTTTTTGTCCCATAAAAAGACGATAAGAAAATTTTCAAAAAATGCTATTATTTCTCACATTTATTATTTTTTTATCACTTCATATTTCAGTTCCATGAATTTGAAATTTTGGATGGCTTGCGGATCGACTGTCTTTCTATCGTCAAATGACTCCTTGGCAAAATTTATTCGATTCGAAAAATCAACGGAGCGTAACTGGCAAGCGCTTTCAAAAAAAAAATTATTTTAATGAAATATCAAACTTGGCTGAGATAAGTGCGTAAAGTTCTATTAAAATATTTCTTTTTTCTTTTAATTATTGTATTCGTATTATTTTTATTCGTATTTTAGAAGAAATTTTCACTAATATTTGCAAAAATTTTTTTCATCATTCGAAATCTTCTTCTATTTGATTTAATGAAACGATAAAATTTAAGATAATAATTAGAGATTTTAATACTGATAAACTCAGTTATAATTTAATATCAATTTCACAGTTTTGTTTTTTATTAAAATATTTCATTTTCATATTTTTTAGTTCTTTTTTTATTAGAGAGATTTATGCTTTTGCGAAGAATTAGGAGAAGCATGCGAACTAAAAAAATTCTCGAAAAAATTCATCTTATTAAGAAATAACTTTAGCCTAACAATTTCATCGTTTTTTATTGAGATCTTAGATTTCCTTTATCACTTTGGGAATGTGGAATTCAAAAAATTATATATCAGCAATCACTTGAAAGTCACTACATGAAAAATGGATGAATAGTGATTAATAAAAAGCTTTCACATTATATAAAATTTATTCAAGTAACAAATTTATTGTTAATTCCTAGGATCGTTAAAATCGCACGTGTAGATCCAGATAGATCCAGATTTTATGATTAATTGACAATATTATAGCAATAATAATCTTGAATTTCAGAATTTCAGAAATGTCTCAGTAGTATCCAGCCAATAAGCAGAAGCAGAAATTCGTCCAAAAATTTTTTAATTCTTATGTTTGACTAACCAGATCAGAATTCTTGATTCATGCAGTATCTCGATTTAAGCGAATTTCTATGGAATTTTTAAATGTTTTCTCTGTAAATGATCTTTACATAAGTAGAAATGCGGGATAATAAATAATAAATTTTGCATAAATGTGGTTTCAAAAGTTTCAATATCATTAATATTTTCCTTCGTTGGAAACGATTTTTTGCAAAAGAAAAATTTTCCCTGATAATCAATTGAAAATATTTAAAAATGTTTACTAATATATCACCTGCCTTTCGATTGGAAGAAATAAATTTTAATAAATTATTTTGGTCGCTATAAAACGATATTTAATTTTATTAGCTTCTTTTTTTGTATGAAAGTCTGTGTGGCTAGTAGAATAGATCGAAATCAGTTTCTATGGCATATTGCATAATTTACTTCATCTCCACTTTATCATTATATTCATGATTTTTAGAATTCAGGACTTTCGGTACAAATTTTAGAATTATTTTTCTAATCTGGCTTACTATCAAAAATACCAATCAAGCATAAAATTAATATCTTGCTTAATTAATATCTCACTTAATTAACACTTAATTAATATAGCCACCCGATTGTTTTCAAGTAAGTTAATCGCATATATATCATCATCTTAACGATATATCAGATTCTCAAATTTAGGACTTTCTATATATTTTATATTCACACCGTTAGACTACTTGAGATCTCACTTATGCGAAAATATTCTGAAGTAAATCTAGTTAATCAGATACTTGTTCGCGAATATTCTTAATCTGTCCTTAAATGCTGAATTAAAATGTAATTCTGTTCATTATTATATCATTATTGTTTCAAACCACTGTTCAACAATTCTAATGTAATTTTGCAATGATTAATCAGTAGACAAAAAGGATGAGGTTAATTGTTGAAAATTGCTGTTCGTCAAGATGCATACATTTTAAAATAATTATAAAAAGCCAACATAAATAATCGAGTATAATAGTAAATGAATATGATATACGGTGCAGCAAATAAGTACAAAATGAAAGAGATCGCTGGATAATTCTAATTCTAATTGAGACTTGGACAATTGAAACAACACATTTAGGAGACAGTATAAATTCCAATTCCTTAGCTTATCATTGTAAGCACTAGTTTTTGTTCCTGATAAAATTGCAAGCTGTAGACCACTGATATTTCTATCTCGAGTGATAAAATTGTCTCATCCTACTAATAGGTTAGTAGAATAGATCAAAATAAAAATAAAATTAGTGAATATACTTATTCTTTCTTAATTGATCAACCACAATTAATTGCCGAACTGCACAAAAAACTACGCGAAAACTATTCAGAGATTAGTAATAGTCAAATGATTCAAAAATTCCTGTTATTTTAGTCGAAAAATAGAAAATCGTATCCAAAATGCAGCAAAAATACATTCTTTCGTAAAAATTGATATTGGTGACGGATGAAGGGATAAATACATTCAAAATTCAAAATTTAAAGCTGTCAGATTAATTTCCATAAAAATTATGATCACAAGGCGCAGTTATTTTGTTTTGATGATGGGCTGTTTTCTCGAATTGTTATTCCTGCTGGCTGGGTGATGGGAAATAAAGGAAACATAAAAGGCGACAAGCTCTTACATGCCTAAATATTGTCTTTCAAAAAAAAAGAATGGAGTTTAGTGGTTAATAATGGTTTGCATTTATAACCAAATTACTAACCTGAACACGAGGATATTTAGCATTTGGTCTTCTTCCCCGTGGAACTCGTGAGGCAGCTAATAAATTTTCAATGGAAAAGGTACTCCTTGGATCCTTTGTTGATGCCATATCTTTATTCTAAATCACGCGCAAATAGAAAAATATGGTTTGCTAGAATTATTTGTTTTTCTGATTTGGAAGGTCCATCACTCACTGGGAAAATTTGGTAATTGCTTTCGTTAACAGAAATTTTATATTAAGCTGACGTTAGAGTAAGCAAATCCAAGTGAATCTATTATAAACTAATATAACAGTACAACGTAAAAATACCATTTTTTAAAAAGTATATAATTTTTTGGCTAAATTCTTACTTCCAAATTTGGTGATTGGTCACCGGTAAATGGTCTTGAATTTGAACCAGAGCCAGGATTAGTTAAGCTTTGGGGGCGTTCTGCGCCTTTCCTTATTTGTTCTTTTTTTCGCCATTTAGCTCTTCGATTTTGAAACCATACCTAAAACAGTTTTATAACTTTAAAATATTTATAGTATGCTTGTACAGCATGATCTGGATGGCCTTCGGAAATAAAAATACAAGATAGAGTCAGAAAAGCTATGAGAAAATTTCTTCACCAGTGATTATTTCATTTTATAATAATCTCATCATTTTGCTTTTTTTTACATTTAGAATTTATTGGTCTGTGGCTCACTAATTCAATAGAATTCTCTTAGCTTATTCATATCTTTCTTGATTAAATTTATCGAAAATGGTATGTATTTTCTTTTTTCTTTAAGAAATTTCTTTCAGAAATTAATATTTTTCTCGGTGAGAAAAATGCATACGAATAACTGTAATCTCTTTTCTAAATAAGGGAAGATTTCAAATCTTCCCTTCGGATTTCATATAAATAAGAAAAATCTGCTTTTATTTCTCAAATAATTTCAGCCATATTTTCAGAAAAACAATTAAATTTCTGACAATTAAAAACTTCTAAATAGTTCTTTCTGCTCTGTAAGAAAGAAAACTAATTCGATTAAACTGCAAGCATAATGCTTTGATAAATTATTATTGTTTGTATGGAAATTTTGCAACGTTTTACATCAGTTTGATTAGAAATTAAAGAAAACAAATGGCTCCTTAGAGGGTTTATTTTGAGAACGATCTAGAGGCATTTGAATCCAACTTCATTTTATCATCTCAAAGAATCTAAAATTTTCGCTTTCTTTCGAAGAAAATCACCAATTAATCCGATTAGTTACAATATAATGGACTCATTCTTCGCTATTTAATGGCATCTCATCATTTGAACATTTAAATAATCTGATTTAATGTATAACTATGAAATGCAATTTATTGCACTGGCTTGATAGCTTGTGTTCATAATTCTAACTCTTTTAACTTTTTAAAATCTTGATATATTATATACATTTTAATACCAAATTATCATTATTATGCCATCATCTTTTGCTTAGCATAAAAATAATATTCAGCAATAATAACGATAATGATAATAATGATAATTTGTATTAATAACAATATTAATAATAATAATAATAATAATAATAATAATAATAATAATAATAATAATAATAATAATAATAGCCGCAATATTAGTAATAGCAGCAATAAAGAAATAAAAATAACCAGATCGTTAAAGAAATAAAAAAATCTCAAAAAATCAAATCAAAAAATCTTGATATATATAAGAAATAAGTTTGGATTTTTATATGAAATAATAAAAGTTTAAAATTCTATAGGGATTTAAGAAAAGTTTTTAATAATCTATTCAACTAAGACAATGATGTCAATAATATCAATGAAGAGTCTTGTAAATATATATTATTTGAATTAACTAATAAATCATTGTTCATACTAAATGATGAATTGAAAATTTCGCTGCAAATAACTTGATCGTTTTTAAATTGTTAGTGATCATTTTTGTTCGTTTTTCAAAAATTTTCCCTTTCCAATTCAATTTATGATCAAAATAGATCCAATAATCCAATAGAAATAATATTTTGTTTCCAGAAAAAAATCTAAAATATTCTAGTCCCAAGGTCGAAGTTGAAAATTTAGAAGTAATACTCGCAGCCTATATGTACAATTAATTCTAGAGAGGTCTTTGTTAAAGAGATTTCGTCGTATCAGTGAAGCCAGCTAAATCAGGAATAAAAATTAAAAAGAATTGAGAAATTTCATAATTTTTTTGCAATGGTAATCTTTACTAGAATAATAAATTTTTTAAATAAATGGTGTTTTTAAGCGTTATGCTCAAGAGATATTATGGATTATATGGAAGATTTTATAGAAATATTTTACAATCTTTTAACGAATTTAATAAATAATTATCGAATTGCCAGATTAGTATGGCACATAAAACTGATCATAGTATCTTATAAAATTGTCATTTGTGATAAACAAATAAATATACGCATTAATTATGGCATGGCAATTGGTTGCTAAATAGTAATAATTGCTAAAATAATAACCAACCTGCACTCTAGATTCTAATAAATCCAGTCTCAATGCCAGTGCCTCACGCATAAAAACATCTGGATAGTGGCTTGCTTCAAATGCATTTTCCAGTTCCTCCAATTGCCATCCCGTGAAATTTGTCCGTGTTCTCCGTCGCTTGCTTTCCAATTTTTCACCTCATAAAACATTTATGATTTACATTTTATACATATTAAAATTTATTACAACAAAACCATTCGTGTATCATTGGCAAAACTGTGGAATGGGAAATGTTTCCAGAGCAACACACTGAATTATATCGCATGGATTATATGAAGGATTTTTCACTTTCACTTATTTTAGGCTTTGAACAACAAGAAAAATTTTATTAAATTATCACTATCAAGTTTCTAACGTGCATACCAAACAGTATAAAAGTATGCTATAAGATTTAAGTTAATTTTTAATCTGTGAATGAAGTCAATATTATTTTTTAGCTTTTTTTCTTAATGTCTAATTTTTAATGGAATGTTAAAAAGCAAATAGAAAGCAGAAGAAAATTTTCGTGCCTAATCAACAAAAATGTCGTTGGTTAATTGAAAAATTATTTTAAAAAAGTCAATTGGATCTTTTAAAGAAGTATGTTCTAAAGAAGTAAGTAAGAAGTATGAAATATGGTGTCCCCACTAGTTTGATTTTACTTTTAGTGACATCTTTATAATCGATGCTAAATCGAAATCACCATCATCATTTGAGAATTTCCAGAATAGATCTTGGTAGCTTATGTAGAGCACTTTTGTTCAATTGTTGAATAATATATAATATCTAGTGAATACTAGTGATGTTATTAGTAATCTAGTAATTGATAGGGTACGAAAAATCTTATTTCATATCTTTTTTGCAATACTTTATAAATTAGTGAATTACTTTAATAAGAAAATTAAGTATATAATAAGAATAAAAAAATAAGAAAATTAAACAGAAAATTGAATATAGAAAACAAGATAATACCATTACAAATAAAGAATGAGATTAAATTAATTTTGGAATAATTAATATTTCAATTTTCATATAATTGTTAAAATCCTATAATTTTTTTCTCAATAATTGCAGATTTTATTTATTTTATTCAACTTTATAATTGAATATTAATAAAAGGAGCCAAAAAACATTTCCTTTTTTTATTACGACTACTACTATTAATGTGCAATGTTCAACATAACTACGATCATCCTTACTGTACTTCTTAGTATTATCATTTGTTTTTTGGCTTAGATAAAAAATTAATTTTTACTTTTTTCATTGCCTAATAAGGCACTAATGTCGAGCTTTTGAGTATTCAAAAGCTTTTGGTCATTGGTGGAATGCAACTCCAATTCCTCAGGCGTTGTCGATCGTGAAGATATGTCCGAATGGCTTGAAGTTGAAGCACGCATTGGAGATAAAGATTCAACTGAATTTATGCTTATAATCAGTCAATGATTTGAATTTTTCAACTGAATTGTTATATAATCTAAGCAATACGCAAATTTGATGGATTTCAAAAACTCACTTTTCGACCACTTTTTTAAAAAAAACATTTTTGTGTTTTAAAATTACTAACATCTAAGGCAAGAATAGACAAGATAACAAGTGGAATATGCCATTTGTACTCCATTTTCTAATTTTTATGGCCGATCCAATTGGGATTATAAGCAGATTCAGGTGAGATGATTATTGACAGCCATATTTCTTCAATAATCATCAGAAAATAGGGACAAACCTAATCTTAAAATCCATATTTTAATGTTTCTCAATAATTTTGGATTATGATATAAAAGTTTTAATATCTAATTTTGATATCTAAAAACCTATGTATATATATATATATATACATATATATATATTAATAGTAATATATATGAATATATTAATAATACCTCCATTTGCCAATTGTTGTTGCATCTTCCAGCATTCCTGCCAGAATTGTTGCACATTGATGTTTGTGAACATCGCCCGATAAGTCCGTTTGCACTTCTATTTAGCAGATAAAAAAACCACTTTTATCTACTTTCAGTTTTAGCCGTTGAAAATTCAACTTTTATAAGCTATGAATAAAAACGGCCAATTAAGCTTTGACGCCTTTTTACCGTTCTCGAAGGAATTATTACCAACTAGATTTTCATAGAGCCAATCAACTAGCAGCGAATGGGTGTGTCCAGAAAATCGAAAAAATTACTTTTCGTGAAGATAAGGAAATAAGTGAACAAGAGGAATAATGTATTAAGTTGTAGACAAATCCGAAAAAGAACAGCAAAGAAAGACCCCTTGGGCAAAATTCAGTTGTGAAAATTATGTTCGTGAATGTATAGATATGGATAAGAAGAAAAAAAATTTAGAGAAATAAGTCGTTTTATGAAGATTTCATGAAAAAATAAGATAATAAATATCCACAATTAATAAAACAAAATTGGATGAAATAAATTAAATTTTTCCAAAAATTTTACGATTAAATTTTATTTTACAATTTTTTTTTCTGCATTTTTCTAAATTTTCTCTAAAAAAATTTTTGATTTAAAAAATTGTACGTAAAAAAAACCAAATATTAATTAATTAGTTCATTAATCATTTTTATTATAAAAATACGCTTAAAAAATGATAAATATCGTAAATTTCACTAAGAACCATAATATCACCATCACTACTATCGCCAATTATGTTGATTCAAGGAAATTCATCAAAGTTCTACTGTAGCACAACAAAAATAGATATTAATGATAATAAATCAGTTGAGCAAATGAACTTATTGAGCAAAAGATGAACAAATTTCTTTCTTCTTAAGAAAGAGAAACAATTAAATCGGTGACTCAATGGCAAGATGATTGCCACCAAAAAAGAGGCTTAGGTTCGAAAGTGACACCGTGACATAACGGATAAAAGCATAAAAGTAGAATGTCTTGGGTGTTGCTCAATTCGGATGTTGAAATTTTGCATCCGAAGGAGCTAACCTGTCTAGATGTGACGGTTCATCTGTACTTTCATCGCGAAACTTCCTGGCTTATTTCGACAAGCCACCGGAATGATTCTAACCAGTAATGATCAGTAATCTTTTAAAAAAAAAGAGAGTAAACGGAAGGTAAACTGAATTCCGACAAAAATCATTATTAAACTATGGATGAAAAATGCCTTTGAACCTCTGAAAAGTATTATCGAAACGAAAGAAAAATCATGAAATTCGAAAACTTAGTAGTGAATATTTTTTTCTTCGAGCTTCAACCAGATTAACTTTTTTGACCATTTCATTTTGTAACTTTCTTTAATTTCTAAATTTCTATTAGTTAAAAATATGCGGCATAAAAAGGAGCGTATTAATTAAGCAAAATTTGCTTCCTAAATAAGTCAAAAAATATGCTATGGAATAGACTAATAAATTGATTAACGAGATTAATTAGCTCTTCGATTAAAATAGGCGAAGATTTTGAGATGAGATAATGATTATTTTGAAGGTTTCATTTGTGAAGCGAGGATTTTTAGATGGGTCTATTGTTTGTATAAAGATTGGTCATCACATATACATATAAATATATCAGAAATTAATTATGAAATGGTCTAGCGATGATGGATGACTAGCCTCCATTCTGCTATACATTCACCAATCCCGATCTGTTCAATCTGCCAGCGATGAAAATTCATGAATCATTTAACCTTGAAATTGGTTAATGGGATGAGATGAGTGATTGACATTTGTTTTATTTAATAGCACACAATTAACGATGCAAATTCTGCTAAAGATTTTTCCATCCATCCATAACCTTGTTGATTAGCATACTTCAGTTGAATTGTTATCAGTGATCAATGGTTAAATCTATCGTAATACAAAAACGCGCCACCTTGGCCAATGCCACTTAATGATTTGTTTAATGAATCGTAGGAAAAGACGTGAATTATAGAAGACAACAAAAGAAAACGAAAAATTAAAATTCGGCGTTAAGAGGTTAAAATGTACGGAAAAAAAGTTGATAAAAAGCATCAGAGATTATAAAAAATATATTATATATATGAATATATTATATATATTATATATTAAAAATATATTAATATACTTATACATATATTCTTAACATATTAGGATTATATGTAGAAAAGAAATCAAATTCGGAAATCGTGATAAATCAATTCTACCTCGATTTAGCTCTCATACTTCTATTCCTAGCTTTCCATGCTTAAAGTAACTCTGAAGCAAATATCTATTATTATTAGAGCCAGTCAAGTCAGAAATAGTAAATGCTGTAGTAAAAATTTACTTAGATCTTTTTTGAATGAAATACTTCGCAGAAGTTACTTTATTCGCATTAAGTTATAAATTGTAATTGTATTAAATTGCTATTGTAAATTGTTACATTTTGAAAGGAAAGATAGAATAAAAATTTGATAAAATACACACTTTGATAACCTTTTATTATTATATGCAACAAATATCGTGAGTGCATCAGTATGACGAAATAAATGTTGCTTTTTTGATTTCAGTCGTGGGGTCCGAATTCAGTGATTATATTTAAAATCTAAGGTAAATCTAAGGTCTTTTTTATTATTTGTTTTAGATCTATGATAATTGAAGAAAATCGTCTAAATAGTTTCAGTGGGAAAAAAATTGCGAAAATAGTGAATAATTCGTGAAGCAGTGGAGCCATAGTTATCGAATCAAGACAGCTTTCATATAATTTTAATTACAATTATATAAAAATTTTTGAAAATTTCCATTTTCTAATGAAAAAACGAATTTCGTCAATTTTGATGCAATGAGAATAAAAAATGGCAAATTATGGTCGAAAAAAAAGTGCTGACAATACACATTTGTTCCCCAGTTTGTTATTCCGTTGTCTTCTTCATAGAATCCACTGATACATTTTTCAAGCATCCATTTATTCTTGTTACTTCTGTTTTTGGCCACATATTTTTTAATGCATAGTTATTTTCTATATTAAATTAAAGAAATAATATTGAATTTAGGGGGAAAATTCTTTCATAGAATTAAAAACGATTAAAAGCGTCATCGTTTAACCTAAATGATATGGAAATTGGTGCATAAATTGGAAAATATCGGAAGACGTCAATTGTTTTTTTTCTCCGCCTTGTGTCTAATTTATCAATTCCATCAGCTAATTTTATAATTTAGTGCATATGCAAATAAGTTCTTAATTGCTAAATTGAAAAAAATTAACATTAACATTTTTATAATATTTTTTGAAATAATAGCAAATTTTGCACTATAATATTCAATTATGATATATTTTTATAATAGAAATGATTAAGGATTCTTCACAATTTAAGTTGCACTAGCCATTCAGATAAGGTTACTTCGCTTGGTGATAGTATAGATGGTTCTTCGCTTTTAATAATAGGTTTAATCCCATCAAAGGCTAAGCACTTACCTATGATGACTTCGCGTCCTCGCCTCAGTTGAAACGACATACTATTCGACAATTTTCTCCTTAACAAGAATTTTCAAGAAAATTCGTCTTTCAATGCGTATTAATACTTCCAAAGATTTTCTAAAGATATGAAAAACAGGTAAACCGATATTGAAATTTGTTTATTTATAATTTCAATAACAATCATAGCAACAACGTTTGTTCGCACTGCCATCGATTTTAGTCAACTTTATTGGTGCGAAAATTTTTTTTAATTGTTAACTTTATTTGGTGTGAGAATGATTCGATTCAAATACTCGAGGGAGTTATGTATACCACTTAGCTACCAATTTTCTAATTAACACTCAAAATCAACTGGGAATCGTTTCTTGATACTTCTGAAATTAAAAAATTTATCATAATGTCGTTAATATTCAATAATATTATTTTAATATATTCAGCTTTATTCGGATCATTAAAGATAATTCGGTGAGAAAAAATAAATTTCCTAAGACTATTATCTTCTCCACCAATATCTCAAAATAATTTTTTCTTAAGGCTGGTGCCCGTTTAAAAAACACGGAGTTTTCGTGCAAAAAAATTCCATGTGAACAAGAAAGTAGCCTCATGTTTTAAGAGTACACTTAATGGCCAGTTTTTTTTGATTTTCTAGATTTTTAAGTGGTGGGTTTTTCTATAAATTTGCTTCCTAAATTAATTAATTATAGGTTGAGAAGGGAAAAATTGTGGAAAATTGCTGCTTAATAAAGTGAAATATTAGTATTTAACAATAAAATTATCCATTAGAAAAAATGCATTTTCGTTTTCTTCAAGCATCTCGTATGAAATTATTAAATTATTAAAATAAATTATTAAATTTATTCAAGCAGCAAGAATTTGCAAAAATTATTTGATTATTTTGATTATTTCTGCCTCTAATTAGGTCAAATTATCAAAAATCCAACGGGCATTCATTACGATTAACTCATCATAATTATCTAATTAACACATTATTTTCCAAAAAATTCGGATTTTGAATTGTCTGAAAATTGGTCGCATATTTATTAAAGCAAAAATCATTTATAGAAATTTTGTACTGAAATTTAAGTGAAGTTTTAGCAGAATTCAACTTAGATTTTATAGAGAAATTACATACTAAAGGTTAAAATAAAGCAAATATCAGAAAAGGCAAAGAAAATAAAAATAAAGAATAGTTTCAGTTATTTCATTCATCACTTATTATTAATATTGTATGCTGAAATGATTTTTCTTTGAAATGATTTTTAAACCAAATTTTAGTTACATTATTTGGTTGATTGTGCAAATTTATTGCTTATCGTTTCGTTAAGCAATCGCATGTCGTTGCGTTACTCCATGTTACCGCATTATTGCAGTTTGCTGGATGGTTGCATGTCGCAAAATTATCGCTTTTTGGCTGCTAGCTTCTTATGTCTATTATTTTTTTCACAATTTATGAAAGCATTCCATGGAATCAATCGTGCTGCTAAAAATGCTTTAAAATAGCAATTGCTTTTCTACTTCTCTCAAAGTTCCATTATTTATATAGAAATTTGTCAGGCAAATTTGAACGTTTGACTCAAAAAGCCATTAGTTTAACAAATATAAATATTCATAATTCTATTTTTTCTATGTTTTCATCATTAAATAACTAAATATTTTATGAAAGGTTTCTAGCAGAAAGGAATTATTTTGGAAGAAATTGATTGACAAGGGAAAAATCGGTGATCGATCACTTCTCAGCAATTAATCTTAAAAGAAGCTAAATTGAATAAAACGAATATTGATAGTAATCAAGGAAGCAGGCCAGCATCGATTGACTCTATCAAAATTTACATGAACGAAATGCTGAAGAAAGGAGAACGCAAAAGCAATTCATAATTGTCCAACTAATTTCATTCGTTGATTTATTATTTCTAAGTAAATAGACGAAAATTTTTAAGAAAATTGAATTTTTAGAAGTTTATTTAGTATTTGCCGTTATTATTGGATGTCTTTTTACAAAAAGAAAAAAAATCAATCATTTTTATAGAAATTTTCTTGATAAGCATTTTAGTCAGAAGTTCCATAGAAGTAAAAGTATAATTAAGAAATCCAAGTGATGTTGGCGACACACTGGCATCACCAAATAGCTCTTAGCAGAAATTTCTACCATATTAACAGCCAGTGGGGTAAATCTAATGTAAATAAGCCAATTTTTTCATAGAATAATTATTTATTATTTTTGTGAGAAACACAATGTTGTTTAAAATGTTGCTTAACCATGAAAAAATTAATCATCTTCATCTTAACCACCTTCCATGAATAAATCCTTTAACTAAAATTAGTTTTAATCCATTTTTTTTCAATAATTTTGTTGAAATTAAAATTAAAATTGAAAAAATTATATAGTAGACAGCTATAAACTACCTTAAGTGATAACAATCTTCAGTTATGCTTTCGCGGTCACAAGTTTAGTAACCTTAAAAAAATGTTTTTGAATGCATCTTTTAGCTTTTTAAATGATTTTGTTGATCATCAATTTTTAACTGACATTCATACAGCAATTGGAGAAAAAAATTAAAACTGCCGTATCGTTGGAATGTTCGAATTTACAAGAAAAAATGGCGGAAAATTAAATGAGAAATTTGCAATAGTGTCTTTTAAAATTTAATTTAATTTAATTTATTAATTTAATTTATTAAGGAAAGATGTATTCTTTTTCATTTTTTTCTAAAAACTGTTTTATTGATGATTAGACTTACCGCCAGACCAAATTTTGCCTTTTACCTGTAAAAAAGGCTATGACGCATGATCTCACTTTTGAATCTGTGAATACCTGGTTCTAAATAAAATCAACAGGATTAAAGAACTTCATCCAACTTTCAATAGGACTGTGGAAAAGGACACTTGAAATTAAGATAGCTTACACAAGTAGCTATCAAGTGCATATATTAAGGTAATTCTCCATCCCCAATACATAGGTGTCTAAACCACTTCAGACTGCGACAGTTATCGAGGAATCAGCCTACTAGATGCCTCAGCGAAAATTTTTGCTACTCTTTTGCTCATGGAAATACGAGACAGCAGGATGCATCATAATCAAGCTGGATTCAGATCGGGGCTCGATTATGCTGACCAGATATTCACGTTAAAAAGGATGTTGGAATATCGCTTCACCTATCTGCAACCAACTGTCACGTATTTTATCAACTTTGCGGCTGCCTTTAATTCATTTGATACAGCGGTGATGGAAAGTGGTGGTGTTCCAGAGAAGATCATTCATAAAGGTATTTTATGAGTATACGTAGGCGTAGGTGTATATGGGGAACTCCTTTGAAATAAGAACTGGCACCCGTCAAGGTTTATCCTTTCCCCTACAGTTTTCAATTATGCGATATACTGGATAATGGATACTTTTTGTCGGAACTTAAGAGACGTCCAATCAGTCCAGAGCATCGTATCACAGATCACAGATCTTGAATACGCCAATGTGGTCCTTTTTGCTAACCGTTATGAAGAAATGCAAGTAATGCTAAATAACTTGTCAGAAACTGCAGCAAGGATCGGACTCAGGATCAATGTAAATAAAACGAAAGTCTTTTCGTCTTATGTGCAAGAAGCTGATAAAAAGCCTCTTTTTGTAAATTCATTGCAGGTCGAGGAAGTGTCCGATTTTAAATACCTTGGGTCCACTCTAATACCAAATGGCCAAACAAAAAGACGATATTATAGCCCGGATCACGGCAGCTAGAAATGCTTTCTTCCGGTTGACGAAAACGTGGAGCTGTCATGAAATTACCATTAAAACAAAAGTCCGCATTCGCATCTATATAGCTGTGATTCGTTCGACCTTGCTATATGGCTATGAGACATGGCCAATGAGAGTGGAAGATATTGAGAAATTATCTGCCTTTGACCACTCTTGTCTAAGGAACATTTTACCGGTCCGTCGAGCGGATAAAATATTACATAATCACATCCACCTTCGCTCAAATACCACCTGTATTAATAATGTTATCTAACGTCATCTTCGCTGGTTGGGGAACGTTCTCCGTCGTCCACCACAGGAGTTGATGCATATTTCGTTATTTGCTAAACCGTGTGATGGTTGGCGTCAAAAGCGAGGTAGATCAACCAAGACCTGAACTGATACGTCAGAAAAGATTTTGAATGTATAGGTGGACTAGCAATATATGGACTTAGACAATGGAAAAGGGAATAGCTTCTATTACTGTCGATGGTATCACAAGGCGCAGCTTAGAAGCATCCTCTTGTTGCCAGCCTAATCAGTAATGGTGAGAGCTGTTAGAAAAAGAAATCTTTTAGACAGATGATCGCAAGAAGTAGATACGAATACAAGTTTAAGAAGATTACCAACAGCTATCTTTTTTAAATATATCAAGTTCTATACTGAAAGTGAATGAGTTATTGATTTGCTCATTCATCTAATACGAATCTATAGCGAAAGGTACTGGGATATCATTCGGACTGGATATAAATAGTAAAGGGAGAAAATTAGTAAATTGGTGAGGAATTACCAGAAGTGCACATATACATATAGATCAATTGTAAGTATTTTTAAATTCCATAGCACATGGGAATCACGATGAAAAGATAAGAAAGTAAATACCACCAAAGGATAATACAGAGATTGAAGAATTAGCTCAATGGAAAAAATAAAATTCACGCCACACATATGTACTTGTTACAACTGACATACTAAATATCTGGTACAATGGTGAGATGGGTAAAGGAAGATATGGAGGATGACACAATGAAAAGACACGATGTGGAAGCCGGAAACTCCTCACGATGCACCGAAATATTCTTCAAGTCTAACATTCAAAGATTCAAGTATCCTTCAAGTCTAACATTCAAGTCTAACGCACACCAGACGGTAAAAAAGGCATGAGGCTTGATGAGTGCCAAATAGCTGATTTAGCTGGCATTTTAAGATCCTTCCACTGAATGGAGAAAGCCGGATTACAAAACCGTACTGAATCATTTATTATAACAGCAAAGGAGCAAGCACTAAGCACCAGATCCATCGAAACGAGGATCTGCCACACTACAGATGCAGACTAAGCAAAAAAACCCCAGAAATATTTCATATATTTCATAATAAATATATATTTGAATAGCAGGATGTAAAATGCAAGAGGAACAACATACACTGCAAGGCTGGCATAATAGCTGGCATTATCTACAGAAATACCGGTTCAGTATATGGCTTAGACCTTCCTTCCAAGATTAAATGGGAGATTCCTTAGAAAATCGTCCAGAATAATAAGGCGAAGGTATGGGACCTCTCCATCTAGATAAACAAATACTGGGCAATCAACCAGATATGGTGGCAACAAATAAGATCAAAAATCAGCACTGGTGATATATATATGTACAGCAAAATGAAATACTTGAAATAAAAACCTTAATTCTTTATGATTTTGATTAAATTGACATTTTATCTCAGCATCATCATATTTCATCACAAAACAGTTTAAAATTGTAATATTTTGCTCTAGTAATGTTATCCAATCGGTTATCATGGATCTGGAACAATGCTATAAATAAAAACAAACTTCTTTTTTATAGTAATTTTTTGCTAGGAATTATACCAAAAATAAAAAATCAATTATATTTATTAATAAAAATTAATTATATATATATATATATATATATTTATTTATCAATATTTAAATATTTATTAAACACAGAAAACACAGAAAATTTTCAGGAAGCGAAAGATTATCAGTAAATTAATAATGCGAGTTCTAGTCGATAAATTCACTGGAATGCTCAAATATCCTTCGATTTATATATAAAAACAGTGATCAAGAAAATTATTAAAAAGGATAATTCAAAGAATCATTAAAAATAAGACGAGTGATTTAATCAAAATCGAAGGATCATGATCTGCTCACCATAGCAGTAAATTCATCATTGAAAAATCCGAGTGATGCTGGCAACCCATTTACATCTTTATAATCAAACAACTCTGGGAAAACTTTTTAATCGTACTAACAGCAAGTGCAGCAAACTTTTAAGTGCTAATCACACTTACTTATTTATAAATAAAAAAAAAAGAAAATACCAATAAATTAGTAAGGGCAATTCAAACTTACTGGTACTGTTACAGTTTCTTCTTTTTCTTTTTATTTTTCGCTATCATAAATTTTAGCATTATGTCGTGCTCAGCTTTTTCGCATAAATAAATATAAAATGATTAAGTAGTTCCGCTTATTCATTAAAAAAGTGAAACGATAATATAAAAACAAAGGAATACAGTAAAAGTTTTAAAAAATTATTATTTGGTTCTTATTTTTTTCGGCTCATAAAAATGATGACCGTCGAAAACTCTGTAAAAATCGAAATGTTCGGTCGTTGAACGATCATGACCAACAGATCCAATTAATTCACCAGCTGGGCATTCTATCAGTTTTGGCGTATAGTCCTATAAATGGACGTAAACAATTTTAAAAAATATTGCCTTCTGATATCTTTCTATCTTACAAAAAATCTGTAAAGTTTTATCAATATTATCGTTAATATTTTAGCAAAAATACGATTTAAATAAAAATTCATTCATAGCAAGGAAGCCAGATATATTGTAGATCCGTAATCGTAAAATTACAACTACTTTTTCTTATTGAATCCAACTGCACTATAGAATAATGAATCGAACTGCCTTTGAAAACAAGGAATTAATTTACCAAATTATACTCAGATTCTAAATCCATATTTCCTTGAGGAAGATGAAGTGAAGAAGCTGGAATAACTGTATGTGCTCGGCTGTCCGTTGCAAATGGAGTAAAGGCTCTCTTATATTCTGTTTCATCTTCAAATGGCCCTGTAAAAAATCAAGAAATCATCGCAATTTTATAAATTTCATATTTTTCGATTATCGACAAAAAAAAGTTGGAAAACTCCAGTGTAATGATCATCATTAGCATTTCTTAACCTTGAAGCGTATAAGTATTCATTAATGAAGGCGGATGATGGCAAATTAAGGTAGTGTAATTTATTTTCGGTGATTGTAGCTTTTATAGCTCTTACCTTGAGGTGGATAACGTAGCTGTTCATAGCGGACCAGACGTCGAAGATCATCTGGTCTAACTCCTTCATAAAATGTTTCTTTATAAACTGATTTCCATCGGTCATCATCTTCTTTCCATTCATTAAATAAGGTACTCGAAGTTGACTTTTTCGGACTTTTCACAGAGATATGAAAAGATGCAGCACCACTCTGCAAATTTTTTATCATAACGTTTTTCGATAATGCTTTGGAATTTTTTTGTTCGTCTCTCAAATATTCAATGTATATATATATATATATATATTCATCATTTTACTTTCATTCTATTATGTTGACATATTTTTTTCTCCATGCCACGTGGTATGAAAATTTGGAGCACAATTGTATTGTTGCAGTCAAACAGAGTGAATTCTTCACTACTTACTCCCGTAACATTTGCAGATGAGTTGCAGACTCATTAAATAAAGAACATGCAATAGTTGGGCAGAAAATTATCAGTCAGAATGGCGACACATGACACTTATGACAAGTTAAATCACTTACTTTCAACAAATCAGAACTGCGAGGCCGAGTTATTTCATATCTTTCACCTTTTTTAGGTATAAAGTCGATTCTGTTACAGGTTTGTCCATCAAAGGCACTTTTACTTTTCAGTATATCATTATCTTCAGGTTTTTTAACCGGATATCTATCACCTTTTTTTCGAGAATAATCTTCTTTCGAGACCGTGAGATTTGCCATTTTACCACCTCGCTGCAAAACGAGATATAATTATAACCTTAGCTCTCTTCCATCTTTAGTTTAACAAATTATAAATTATTTCATATTTGGCAATCATATCATATATAACGATTGCTTCGAGTTAAGAATAAAGCTCAAAAAATTACCAAATTTTAATACAATATTTCTTTCATCAAATAAATATTTATTTTGGGTGGCTCAGCGCGATTATTACTAGATGGATCGCCATCTCTGCTCTCCTTACTTTTTTTTCGAAGAATTATTTTTCGAGCATTTTAATTGAAACCAAGAATAAAAAAATTACTGCAGGATTTATTACATAATTTCGTAGCATTTGCAGGTAATCTTGCCACAAATAGGTCGAAAGGTTAAAAGACTTTTTTAGCAATTTTGGAACATTTTATTCGTCTTAAAGCATATAGTGTATATGTTATAGGTAAATAAAAGATGCAAGAACCGATCATGTTCGGATGTGTATATACCATATCAGCGTGGAGAATCAACTCTCAGTAATATGAAATATAAACCGAATTACCAAAAAGACCTTAGAAAATCTTCCATATTAAATATTAAATACCCACCATTTTTCCTATAAAAGATCCATCATTATATTGTTTTTCTAAATTTATCAAAAATGAAAAGTACCAACGATTTCGACATAAAGCCCACCTCACTCTAACAATAAGTCTAGTGAAATAATGGCATATATATATATATATATATGTACTCGAACATCGAGTCGCATATTTACATTCATACAATCGTATAAATTTACATTTTTATTTTTCTATAATTTACTCATAACTTTTCTTTACCTTCGGTTTTTCTAATAGTGCAAAAAAAGCATAGATAGCATGGATAGCATGGATCAGGTCTCTACCAGAGACTTGGAAATTTAAAGGTCCTTCGCTGTGTTTCTAGCTGTGAGCCTTTCTGGAAGAAAATCTTTGATTCTGGAATATGTTGGAGCCACTTTTCGTTTAGCAGCCTACTCCTAGTGCTTCTCCAACTACTCTGGCCTTATATACATATTTTTTTATATATATTCGGACCGGAAAATGTGGCCGAATGATAGCAAAGAGAAAGAAAACAATTAGGATTGATGGGTGGAATTACCAGCGAAGCGCATAGTAGACATACACATCCAGCTATCTCGGCATCTCATACTCACAAGGGAACCACGATGAAAAGGCAATATTCAAATGCCACCAAAGAATAGGGCAGAATTCGGCAAACCACCTCAATGGGAAAAGCAAAACGCCATGCCATAAATAAGTGCCAGTCATTGGATATACAGCTGGCATAGTGAAATCTTCAAAGGAAGAGGCCATTAATATAAAGACTCTAGAAAAGTGCATACAAATAGCCACCTCAAATTTAACACCCAAAATCCGTATGCTATCCAAAAAAATCAGCAAGATGTTATCAAATGTTAAACTATTGAGAAAATGCATTAACACTAGAGAAAGAACAAGTAGAGAAAGTGCCATAGCAATGTAAGACACACTCTCCTTTGGATGTCATTGAAGTATAGTTGAGATAGCTAACACTGACACTACCAGTAGCTGGAAAAAGCTGGAGTAAAATATAATCAAAGCGTTGATCAAAGCAGCACAAAAATAGGTACTTAGCACCAGATTCATCGAAATAAGATAGAACTCAAGGTGTAAAATAAATAAAAAAATAAATAAAATAAATAAATAAAAAAGATTTAGCAACTGTCCAATAGGTATTGGCAGACAGGAAAAGCATATGCTAAAAGGTACATCCAAATAATTTTGGCATTGTCTAGGGATTTCTGCTCAGCATATGACTTATTCTTTCAAGAATAGATGGGAAACAATCATTCAATCGTGAAAATAACAAGGCCAAGATTCTCGACAGACAGACAAGACAGACAAGCAAGTACTGGCCAATCAACCAGATAATAAACAGGAACCATGAATCTAGAAAACTGGTAGAAGATATAGTAAATACCATGTGATAAGAACATCGGGAAAGAATGTGAAGAAAAAAGCTAGAGCGATAGCAAGAGGTGGAAAAGAAAGTAGGGAAGATGTGAAACGAACTAGAAGAGTGAAGGCCAAAATGATCCCAGTATCAGGAGCATTAGGAACTGTAGCACCTAAACTGGAAAAAGAAGATTTCTGTCCAAAAGAAGGCATTGCCAGAAATGGCTAGATATTGTACAAAGTTAAGCTCCTAGACCTTTGAGAACTCAGAAGCACAGGGGGAAGGGTGAGGAAAAGGATTTTTTATATAAACATACTTTAAAACGAACGGGAACATCCCGACGTATTGCCAGGAAATATTTTTTTTCTGGTCTTTCAGATCTTCTTTTCAATTAGAAAATTAACTCTGTGCAAAAACTATGAAATCATATGCAAACATTACGAAAATTAGTCCAATATTAAAATTAGCCCAATATTAAGGATTGCAAAATTATGTAACCCTTTTTTTTAAGTCCTCACCATTACTGGATTGAACTTGATTCTCTGGCTTGTCGGATTGGGCAAATATGCCAAGGAGTTGTAACGCTATGCTATATTATATGTATATATTATATATATAAATATATATAATTAGATTTTTCAAAAACTTTTCATAAAATAATTCTGATAAAAAACGACGAAAGCAATCGAATGTATAAAAAATCAACCTGCCAAATATCTGAATCCTTAGGTCGCACGGAACCAGATCGTTCTATTATCTTTGGAGTGAACTGTACTCTATTACTGGTCTCTACGGGAAATGGCGCAGTGGTGTGAAGAATGTTTGAATCTTTTGGCTTCACAATACTGTAACATTCTCCTTTTTTTACTGTGAAATCAGACTGAACTGTACTTTGCCCATCGAATGGACTATCATTCTACAAGAATTTTTAAGTAACTGTTTGCATCGTAACAAATATAAATATGGATTTTAATGGGAATAATTATATTATTAGTTTACCAGAACAATATTCAGCTGAAGACAAGCCAGCTGAAGACAAATTAAATTTTAGCCGTTTACTGTTTAATAAAATAAACGAGGTAAATCGGAACCGATCAAAATACCTAATTATTATAGCACTAAGACTGAATACTTCTTACCTTCCAAAATTCAGAATTTTTTTGCACCGCGGCTCTCTTTTCTCTGTTTTTTTTGAATTCAGTGATAGCATGAGAATTGATCGCCGTTGATCCAACTCCACTAAATATATTGGAACCATCATTCCGCTGTACGTTAACATCTGTTTTATGCGTGTCGCTGATTTTTACTGCGAAATCCTCGTGACTTTCCGTTTTTCTTTCATATTTGCCATTATTATGAACAACCTGCAAAAGTTGTTTTAACAAAATTAAAAATTAAAAAATTTCTGATGGTGTTGGCGACACCTGCCATCAGAGACCATCTGAGTTCTGCCATCAGAGACCATCTGAGAAAAATACATTCATATGCATCTCATAGCAATAAAAGCCAAAAGAAACATTAATTATTTTCGTTCATATATGATAAGTACTAATTAAACTAATAAAAAATACTAAGATTAAAATCAAAAGCTGAAGCAAAGCCTTGCCTATATAAATGTATGCAGGTTGTGTTAGTATTGAATTTAATGTTTTTATACGAATTCTTTTTTTTTTATTTTTTATTTTTATTTATGAATCGTAGTTTAAATATTTATTGCAGAATTTCTTTTAACAATAACATTTTTAACTATATGCTGAAATTCTTTATTGTTTTGGATATCTGCTCTTTCAACTTTGTTGAGCGTGAATTCAGGAATGATTTTCGATTCAGATTGAAATGAGTCGTCACAATGAAGAATGACAGAATCTTTTGGTCGCACTCTGTCGTAATTTTCACTAGTTTTAAGAGAAAAATCTTGGTGCGTAACTGTATCGGCAACCATAATACCTTCTTTCTAAAATAATCATATTTCATAAAATTGTTCTTGCACTTACTTTTAGCTTGTAATTTCCGTAGAATCTAACAAAAACATAATTATTCTCGACATACCTTCCAAAATTCTTCATTATTCCGAATAATAACATTAGCTCTTTCACCTTTTTTATGCGTAAATTCAGCAGCTGTTTGTGATTCAGACCGAAATTTGCCGTCGCCATAAAGAATGCTAGAGTCTTGTGGCCTCAAGATATCGAATTTGCTACTCTTCTTTGGAGAGTATTCAAGATGTGTCACTGTACTCGCATCAAGAGCCTCTTTTTTCTATAATATTGGATTTCACTAAATAATTTTTAAAAGAGAATAAGATTTTTTTAAAGATTGGACAAAAAAACTTAAACAGCCGATTATGAATATCTTCTAGAATTCTTTACTTCGGATAATGATAGCTCTTTCACCCATTTGAGACGAACTCAGTAGTCATTTCCGCTTGAGATCACCATGAAGAAAATCAGAATTATTTGGTGTTATATCTTTCATCTTTTTTGGAATGGAAGTCTTGGTGCGTACCCATCATCAACGACTCCTTCTTTTTGTTCTAATTCTTTTTTCCAGAGATGATCTCCTTAGTGTACTAAATAACATCGTCTATTTTATATCCACAAATTTATCGATTTGGACAATTTATAGATAATATACCTTCCAGAAATCTTCTTTATTCCGAATAATAACTTCAGCTCTTTCACCTTTTTTAAATGTGAATTCATTAGCTGTTTGAGATTCAGATTGAAATGTGCTATCACCATAAAGGATGTCTAAGTCTTGTGGTTTCAAACTGTCGAATTCATCATCTTTTTTCGCAGAATATTTCAGATGTGTCAACATGTTTTCCTCATGAATTCTTTCCTTCTGTAATTATTAGATTCAACAAATAATTCTTCGTATCTACAGCTACTTTATAACTGAAAAGTTTGGAAATCGAGATCAAAGAATTTAGCTAATTGACAAAATAGAAATCTATTATTTATTACCCAGAAATCTATTATTTTGGATATCAGCCTTTTCACCTAATTTAGACGTAAATTCAGCAGCAATTTGAGATTCAAATCGAAGTGTTCTATTATACTGAAAGAATCAGAATCTTTTGGATGCACATTTGGGTTTGCTTTGTAACTTTCACCTCTTTTAACAAAAAAATCTCGCATGTAATCGAATCCATATCAAGGATTTCTTCTTTTGTAATTAATCATTCATAATTTTTTCAGCTGCAAACAAGTTTTTGAGTTTTTTCAACACCTAGAAAAAATCTGTAAATAATCAAACAAAATAAAATATACCTTACAAAATTCCTCATTATCCCTTTCAGACCCTTCACTTTTTTTGGTCGTAAATTCATCGGCCATTCGTGATTCAGATTGAAATGTATCATCATCATAAACAACGTTCTGTGGCCTCGTCGGATCGAATTTTTCATTATTTTTTACAGTATACTTCAGATGTGTAACCGTATCGACATCGAAAATTCCTTCATTCTAAATGATTTCCAATATTAGTCTTTTATTTTAAATTCACGAGACTACTGAGATACAATATTCGACACACATAAATCTATCTGCGATTAGGTCTAGATTTTGGTTCCTTAGTTTATAATAGGGCGATACTTTTTCTCTGCAAATTCATTTATATTTAAATACTTGTGGATGCTGCACATTCGCATCAAAATATTAAACAATTTTAATATATTGTACCTTCCAAAAATCTTTATTGTCCCGAATCGGAATATCAGACCCATCTTTTTGAGGAACAAAATCTATATTTGTCTGCGATACATCATGACCATAAACAGTATTAGAATCTTTCGAAACCACGGCTTCACCTTTCTTATAAGAATATTCTCCATGAGAGATCGTTTCAAATTTATGCATGTCAACGTTCTGAAATCACTTATATAACTGAAATTTAGATTAAAAATAACTAAAATGATGAGCTAAAATTTGCAAAATTTTTTTAATAATCGAGATCACGCGATATTAAGTTTATAATAATTTATAGATTGCCAAGAATGGATTATAATGGACTATGCTTACAGGTTTTGCAGTGAAAATTGCTTTTTTCATGATTTTAAATAAATTCAAAAAATTTTTTTTTTCTGCTTGCTTGCTTGTCTCAATTTCGAATATGTGGTAAGAGAACTGATTTGGGATTTTTGAATGGAAAAAAACTCTATAGTATATGTAAAAAGAATTATTGTAGAAGAGATATTAAGGTAATATAATTTTTATAATTTTTTAAAATTTTTTATAATTCCCATTCATAAAAAAGAAAGCACCTGTGATCTTCCTAATTACAGGCCTATTAGCCTAATTTGCGTTGGTAGCAAGGTACTCAAAAGGTTGAGTTGCAACAAATTACTTATTTTGTTTTGATGCCAATAATTCCATATCCTCCTATCAGCATGGCTTTTGTACAAAAAAATCTACTTCACAAATATTGGTAAATCTTTTCGATTGGTCTGCATCAATTGACAATGATAAAACAGTATCAGTTGTGTACCTAGATTTGGCTAAAGCATTTAATACTGTTTCCCATAGCAAACTATTGATCACTCTTAATAGTTATGGCATTATAGGAGCCCTTTATAACTGGATATCAGATTATAAAAAAGACCGTCACCAAGCCGTAATCGTCAATAACTCTTTCTTTTTGACATTCTTTCTGACACAAAACCTGTTAAATCTGGTGTTCCTCAAGGTAGTTGTATTGCGCCATTGCTTTTTCTATTATATATAAATGATGTAACCAATGTGGTACTAAATTATACTATTTATCTATTTATCTTTATGCTGATGATTGTAAAATTCTCATGGTAGATCAGATGACCTATCTCCACTGTAGGAGGACCTTAACAGAATAGCCAGCTGGCTATATGACAGGCAAATTACCCTTTCCTTACAAAAATGTAATGTTTTTCATATCAATTCCAAAGGTTCCAATTTTCCTAATCTTATTATTAATGGCAATATAATCAGTAAAGTATCTCGCACATTTCCGATTTTGGTATAATCGTGGATGAAAATCTCGATTTCGACCTTCACTGCAGAACCATAGTAAAGAAATCCTCAAAAATACTAAATTTTATTTGTCGTTCGTTTAAAAACTAAACTGAAGATTTCTTATCAAAATAAGAAAGCGTTTGTTCGGCCAATTCTTGACTACAATGCTACATGTTACTGTCCGAGATATCGTAAATCAATTAAAATAATTGGACTTCAAAAATATTTTATATGGCGCCTCTCTCCTAATTGCAATTTTAATTATAAAAGAAAATTTCTACAATATAACCTGGATTCTCTGTCAGTTCGTCGTATTAAACAAAATTTAATTTATACTTATAAGATTTTGTATGGTTATGTTAAATTAGATTGTTCAAAATATTATAATTTTAGGTTAAATTTAAATCCAACAAGAACTAATGGGCTAAAATTATTAAAACCTATGTGTAAAACAAACTAAGGACTCATGATTTCTTTATTCTTAATATTAATTTTTGGAATAAATTACCGAACGACATAACTTGTGCGCCATCCCTAGCTATCTTTATAAAAAGCATAGATAATATCATTTATGATTTATTTAAAGAATTCATGCAGGAAGTGTGAAATCGCGATTTTTACCATCTGATAGCTATTTCGAATTGTACTATATTTTATTATTTTGCAATATCCTCTTTATTTCATCTTTAAATTGTTTGTTTTATTTTAATATTATTATTTTTTTTTCTTATTTGTCATTAAATCTTATTATTTGTTATTTTAACTGATATTATTAATGTAAGCACATGGCGTTTGCGCCTTGCTTGGCTGGTTTTGAATAAATTTATTTGGTTTATTTGGTTTAATATGATGAGGACCTGATGAAAATAAAAAAGTGCAAGCGAGTTAAAAGGACTGATTATTTATTTGAAATTATGACTAATGGAAGTTCCACTTTATTCGCTAATTTTGATAAAGAAAATTTAAAAGGAAAGTCGCTTACATTCCAGTGTTGTGAATTTATTCCATATCGCTGCCCTTTTTTCGCTTGAAATTCTAGATGTGAAACGCTATCAAAATCTGAATCTGCATCATTCTAAAAAAATTCCATCCTTTATTTCTCAAAGAAAAAAAAAAGATGCAAGATAATCCGACCGTTCAGGCAAGATAGCTGCCAACGAGGATCGAAGCTTGGGTTAGTATCTGCAGTATTCTTCATCGGGCGGCAGAGTCTCTTAAAGGAGAAAAAACAAAGAAGAATGAAATGGATTAGTGGGCTGCTCCAAAAGATTCTAGTAAATTTGCCCCGTCCACCAAGTCAGAGAAGCGAGTCTAACCAGTAATGGTTGGCGCTCTTAAAAAAAGATGATAGAGTAGCATGTAGTAGCACTAAAACCAAATAGGACCGACAACCTTTTCATCTTTTAAGTGGCTACTAATGAAGAAGTCTCACAGCCAAATCAAAAATGCGAAGAAAAAGAGAAGATAAATGTATGAAACATAAAAAACTTGCAATCTTCCATGAAATTGAGCTGGTTGGCCGAATAAAATTACATTTTTCGCGATGTTTTTGTATGAATTCGAGATTATCACGAGTTTCGGATAAAAGTGACTTATCATCATAAAATATACCAGATTCAACTTGTAACTTGCGATCATATCTCTCCCTTCCTTTTTGAGTATCATCATAATATGAAACACTTTCCGAAACCATTGTGTCATCATTCTTCAACAAATCCGTTAATGAGAAAACTTGTGAGAAAATATATTCATGAATAAAAATACTGTTATAGTATACTAAAACACCGTTTAGGAGGAAAAACCAGTGGTCCTCTGGATACAAGTCACCTTATCATTGGAAAAATTTAATAATTATATTTATAATTTCGAAATCAAGTGATTTTAATGCTTTGCATCATTCTCGATGTTTGCGAACATATTTCATATCTTTGACTCGAATTCTAAGGGTCTTCATCAAATAAAATTTTCGATTCCTTTGGCTTTATAAGAGCACGGTTTTTTGACTTTTATAACTCAATTCCTTTTAGAGGTGCTTTCTGCTTCAAAGCAATTTTCTTGTTGAAATAAATCACTATTCTAAAAACATCTAATAAGATAAAAGAGCCATACAATTTTATTTTAAGAATTCGAATTCTCTTCTACTAGAACTTCTAATGATGATGAACTCTAATGATGGATGTGGTAAGATATGCCGTTCTGCAAGCGAATCATTTTGGGGATGGAGTTATCAATGGGTCCCCAACATCATTAAGATTAATTTAGTAACTGCATCATGGGAAATTGATATTGCTTGCTTGACCTAAATTGAAGCAACATACTAATTGACCATTCTATTGGAAATTAATAATTTGATCTCATATGAACTTGCTTTTTTATACCTTGTATATATCCGACGTCTTCCACCTTGACTTATTTATTTCCATACTATCGGCTTTTTTTGGAACACATTCAACTTTAGAAATCGCTTTAACAACGAAATCATCGTCATCATGCGAAATTTTTGAACCTCTTGATTCAATCGCACCATGTTTTTTATTTTCAAAAAAGGCGTGTGAAACTGTGTCTCTTTCTAGTTCATCGTTTTTCTAAATTAAAAGCCAGATTGCGGAACTCACTTAAAAATGCAAAAGAAGATATGATTGGATGATATCTTGTGGTTTAAATTGCAACATACTTTCCAAATATCTGCGCTGCTTGGAATAACAGCATTGGCTCTTTCACCTTTTTTTGGTATGAATTCAGCTCTTGCATGGGTTATTGGCGAAAACGATCTATTACCGAAAAAGATATCTGAATCTTTTGGTATCACAAAAGCATGTCTTTTAAAGGATTTTGTTGCACAATCTTGATGAAAAACACCTTTAATTTCGACTGGTCCCTCTTTCTAAAATAATATAAAATGGAGGCAGGATGATTGATCAAGCACCAGACTTTCTTCTTCTAATTGAAATCTAATCGTCAAAAATGAAATCTGCATATTTCCAGAGAACCACGTCTATTTCCATTCCTATGCTTCAGGTGAGTTTCTGGCAATGGAATCTCATTTTTTTTCCATGAGTCCTCACCTCTACTAAACTCACTTCGCTGACTTGTTGCATTAGGCAAATACACCGGAGAGTCCCTTGGCGATAGAAGTACAGGTGAGCCAGCATCACCTGAGTTTTTGGACAGATTTACTCCTGCGGAGAATATAACCTCGGCATTGGCGCTCCGAATTAAGCAACAACCCACTGAGCCATCTCACCTCCCAATGGGATCTCGCTAATAGTAAGTGAAACCAGACAAATGGAAAGTAGTTAGTAAAGTCAGATACTGGGAGATTTAAAAAAATAATTCAAATATTTTTTTGCAATTAAGTATCAAAATTGAGCTAATGCGAAAAATCAAGCTGAAATAATACCTTCCAAAAGTCCGCGTCATGCACAATCACCTTGGATCGCATGATCGGTTTGATAGAAAAGTCAACGATTGTTTGCGTTTCTTTTATAGTCGAATCATTATCATAATTCTCAAAAATATCCGAATCTTTTTGTCGAACCATTTCACTTCTCACTCCTTTCTTAGGTGAATAGTCCCTTCGTGTAACGCTTTCATCTTCAATTTTACCAGTACTCTAGAAAATTTTCGAAAAATTTTTTAGTTAATTATACTATTTTGAATTAAAAAGTGCATCGAAATCTTCTTTTAACAGCTCTTCACCATTTCTGGTTTGTCAGATCATGGTATTATGGCCTATAAATTTAGGACCATCTTGCCACAGATTCACTTGGTGATGGAATCACAGGATCATTAATACTGCCAGGATTTTGCCTTTAATGGCAAGTTTCATTTGTACAGGATAACAAGTCGGAACAATAAGCCATTAAGCCAACAGCCCTGTCAAATTTAGCTATTCAATAGTCACAATAAATTTAACTAGTTAAAAGTAAAAGAAATATTGGTGAAATAGGCATGTAAAAAAATCTCTCCTTATTATCACAATAAAAATGAGAAAATATAATACAAACAAGTTTAGAATCCTTAGTTTCTTAATCTTAAAAAATACCTTCCAAATGTCCGAGCTGACTGGCCTCGCGATCAAGTATCGTTCTGCTTTTTTGGGGGTATAATCCGCTCGATTAGATGTTTCAGCTGCTATTGATTCAATTCTCACAAACAGATCAGAGTCATGTGGCAAAATTGGCGAAGCAGATTCGGCAATTTTTCTTCCTTGATGGGTTTGGGAAATACTTCTCGCTCTTCCCAGTTGCTGTACCTTAAATTCGGTTCAAAATTTAAACTTCATTTTTTTCATTGTATTTTTAATACTATACTATTATTTCCATTATAATTTTGTTACCTTATTATTATTTTATTATTTTATTTTGCTATTACTTTATAATTTTTATTTGCCATATTTTATTGATCGATTTATTAAAAAGAAGTATTTTTTCTTAAACAAATCATTCGTCGTAAAAAATATTCATAATACATCAAAATATAAGAATTAAGCTAAAATATATAAGAAAATATTCATATCGAGTAGCACCAATTTTGTGCCCAATTTTGTGCTAGCAGAGGAATTATTCGCAGTTTGGGCCATGGATGTTACTTCTTGGCATGCATCTCGTTTTACATCGAGTTTTTCCACTAAAATATATTTATATTTATATTTTTTATATTTTGCATTGGATCGCTCAAAATAATAATTTTCGTTAATAAGGCTATTTCTGCCGAGAGTAGAATTACAGCATCGGCGCTCCAAATTAATAACCCACTGAGCCATTCCACTAACTTTTGCTCTCTCTCTTAGCGCCGGATTAAGTTAAACCTGGATTCTTGCAATTATCTCGCCAGTAAGTCACTTAAAACATTTGCGCCACTTTTCTCCTAGTATCGGCCAGTCGTTTTCTTTATTTTAACGCTTTCATATTAATTATTCATTCTTTTTTTATCTATTATTATTTCAAAAAAAGAATTATTAAAATAGAATAATTACATAGACGAATATTTTCCTGATTTCTTTTCGAAAGAAGCTTTTCATTTGCAACTTTGCATCCTTTATCAATAATGGCAATTGCATTGTTCGTACTTATTTGTGCCTAAAATTGCTGAAAACATTGCATTTATGGGATACCTTTCATAGCAAATCATTGTACTGAAATACTGCAAAAGAGCTTGAGTTATTGAGTCGACACGGCTTGTCATATCTCTTTACTGAAGGTGATTGTTGATACTTTTGTACCATTCTTCCTTTTTCATTTATTAAAAAATTATAAAACTGTGGTTATTGCAATGGCATTTTTTTAAATGTACAAACAACTTATTTCCGCACTTTCTGGTGGACTTCTTGATTATCGACGGATCCAATCTGTATTGAACTCGCGTTCCTGTTGTGCGGACACCTATGACGCCTTAAACTTCAGTTTTTCATTCTTGAAATGGAATCGTTAAGAAAAAAAAACACTAAATTTCACTGATAAATCGTTACACAAAATGTCTAATTCTGAACCAATATTACGGTTAATTAATAATTTATTTATTTATTCTCCTTTCTCGAAAAATGTAAAAATATGAAATTAATGCTCATTTATTTCTCTACAATAGGAAATTTTCCAATCGTTTGATTTCAAACTCACTTTGAAAAATATTTTAAAGAAATGGCACTCAACATAATTTTCTTCAGATTTATTATTCTCTTTTTTTAAATTATAGATATTAATGATGAAATAATACTGTATTGAAAAAAAATATTTTTTTACGGAGAGAGAGATTTTTTCGATGTTTCATTTTTTTCAATTTATATTTATTTTTTAATTTCCTTTATTTTTAAATGATAAATGTAGTGAATTATAAATTTTAATTAATTAATGAAGGTTCCAGTGAAATCTAAGATTTTTTTATCCGCAAAATTTTATTAAATTAAATTTTATTTCGAATATTTCTCTTTATTGTATGGAAATAATTAAAATATGATTGGTGCTCTCATCAATTCACCAAACTATTTCAAGAAATTCCTGTTGTTGATGGAATTTGATTTTTTTGCTTCGAAGCAATTAAGCAAAAAATATTTGGTGAAAACCAACTTACCCGCAAATGCAAATCTGGCATATGCATTGTTTTCCATGAAGTCGTACCATCACCTTAAAAATTTTTTATATTTTTATATTTTTTATCTTATGCATGAAAGTTTTAACAGCAAAGAATGGGCAAAAAGCAAGCAATAATATTTGTTTTTGATACTACTTTAAAAATACAGTATAACATTTGTAGGAATAATGCAAAATTTTGTACAAAAGCTCGAATTGATTAAAAAATTTAGGATTCAGCGATGCAATTTTTATATTGGTAGGTATAAATATTATTTGCAATGAAATAAAAAATATTTGAAAGAAGAAAAATCGGATTTTAGAAAAAACGGGGCAAACTTTTGAAAATTTTTTGGGAAAATGAACATGTGACATATTAAAATTCATTTTAGTGGCAAAGAGACTGAAATTACAGCAAATGTCCCATTCTTAACCAATAGTTATTTTAAACAGATTAATTCAAAAAATTTAATATATTAGAGAAAAAGCAAAGTGAAAATCTCCCACTTAGCCATGCTTTTAGCAGCATTCAGCAATTTCGTTAGCAAGTTATACTATTGGCTATTGGGATGGAGGCGTTTTGATAAAGAATCACTGTGGGATAAAAGTAAAGGAGTGAATTACTCAGATCGTGATATTTGCAGCATACAATATAGGGTCCGTGGACTCCTGGTTTTAAAAGGCCCAAAATGTTTTAAATTATATTAAAATATTTGTTGCAATTTCTTATAGTATTGTGGCATTGTCACTCCATAAAATTTTATAAAAAAACGAAATTATCCATTCGTAGTAGAGAAAAAACCGCTACCATTCGAGGTCATAGCTTAGAGTAACAGAAGTCACTCCTTTTTCCACTGTCTAAGCCTATATATATCACTGGCCCGCATATGTTCAAAATCTCTTCTGATTGTATCATTGCAGGTTTTGATTAGCCCTCCTCTCTTGGCTCTTTTGACGCCATTTATCACAAGGTTTAAAAAAACAGTGAAATTTAGTCAATCCTTGTGATGGACCAGCGATTTTTGTAATGATATTTTTTACGTAATATTCAAGAAAAGATGGGTGCAGTCATATTTGGGGAAGCATATAGAATATAGGGAAGTATGGTGAAAGGTAGACAGTTTCCTAATATCCTCATCTCCATTTGGCCAAATTTCTATAAGATGCATGGCACAGCCACTTGAAATTTTCGTTTTTAGGCTGATTTCGCGGCAATCTCAAAGAAACTTCTCCAGAAACGAACGCTTCCTAAGCTATAGCTAGAATCCTAGCTAGAATTTCACCCTTCATCTGTCCATTAAATATGGAAGAGATCTTTTTATTTCACTTTTTCAACAGTTATTGAATTTATAAAAAATGTGATTTTATCAACGACTGGTGTTTAAGACGAAAATAATTTCGTCTTATTTCTAACAGTTCTTACCATTAATGGTTTGGCTGGTTCTGCTGGCTACAAGAGTAAGACGTATCCAAGCTGCTCGATCTGACCTCTAGTAATAGAAATCATTTCTTTTTCCATCGTCTAAGTCCATATATCGCTGGTCTCTATACCTTCGCTTCTCGCTTTTGAAGCCAACCATCACAGGGTTTGGTAGCGAAATATGCGCCAATTCCTGCGGTGGATGACGGAAAACGTGACCTAACCAGCGAAGGCGATGCTCAGTGATAACATTATTAATATAGGTGGTGTTTGAGCTAAGATGGACACAATTATGTACGATTTTATCCACTCGACGTATCCGTAAAATGTATCTTAGTCATGAGTGGTCAAAAGCTGATAGCTTTTTAGTATCTTCCACTCTCACTGGCTATATTTCACAGCCATATGGCAAGATCGAGCGAATTCCAGCTATATGTACGCGGATGGTCGATGGTGACAGTTCCATAAAGGCTTCATCAACAGGAAAAATTTCTAGTTGTATCCGAGATACAATTTCATCTTTTGCCTGGCCATTTGGGATTATAGAGGATCCAAGACATTTAAAGTCGCGCACTTCTTCAATCGTCCATGAACTGAAAAAAATAGGTATTTTATCAGTATCTTGTATATGAGACGAAAACATTTTTCTTTATTTGCATTGATTTTAAGTCCAATTCTCCAGTTGTTGATATCGTTTAATTATTAGTTATTAATTATTTGCATTTCATTATAATTGTCAGCAAAAAGGACTACATCGTCAGCGTATTCAAGGTATGTAATGCTATGCTCTGGACTGATTTGTCTCTTGAGTGCCGACAATTGTGTCCATTATCCAGTCTATCGCATAGTTGAATATTACAGATGAAAGGAAGCCCTGACGAACACTAGTTTTTATTTCGAAGGAGTCTATCAGTTCCCCATATACTCAGATCTGTGCCATGCTGAAAAAATGTTTTTACGAGCCGAACGTTCTTCGCTTGGACATGGTCACATTCTTCACTTTCCAGAGCGCTACTCTATCAATCGAATCGAATGCAACTGCAAAATCTATAAAGCAAGTGACGGTTGCTGGTATTTGAAGCGATGTTCCAACACTCTTTTTAGCTGAATATCTGGTCAGCACAACTACGTCCCAGTCTGAATCCAGCTTAGTTAGGACGTCGGCTATCTCGTGTTGCCATGAGTCTATTTAGCAGTAGGGAAACGAAAATTTTTCCGGAGATATCTAGTAGGCTGATTCCTCGATAACTGTCGCAGTACGTCCTGTCACCCTTCGTGGAAATTGGAAACAGAATTGCTTTTTTCCAGCCTTCTGGCATTATTTCCTTTTGCCATACCAGAGAATACATTTGTTGAGAGTGAGTTATGAACGATGATGGACAAAATTTGAAAAGTTCGGCCCGAAGATCATTATCATTTTCCTCTGAAGTTTTATTGGCCTTAAGCTTGTGGATTACAGAGATTATTTCCTCTTCTATTGGTGGCTCACAGTTGCAAAGGCTCGACGGATAAGAAATCATTTATATTCGGGACAACAGATGGTGCATCGTGGTTAAGGGCCTCATAAAATTCATCCGGCAATCAGGATCTTCGTGCTTTGGCAGTTTTTTCAGGCAGTTGGATAGTTGCTTCCGACACCCAACTTTACTTCCTACTAGTTTACCCTAGTGTGGAAGTGGATGACTTTTGTAAGCATGTTTTTAGTTGGGACCAGTATTCATTCGCCATTCCAGAGATGTAATTGACGTTCATTTCACTGAGGTGTTTCGATAATACGGTTTGAAATGCGCTTATTGCTCCTGGATCTTTTAATATGAATGATGATTGAAAGATAATTGAAAGATCTCGGGATACGTTGCTTCTTACGACTTGTTAGTTTTTTAAGAATCTTGTCTCGAAATATAACATGATATCTGATCGACGGCGGCTACCAGTTTCAGTACCCCGATAAGAATGACTATCAAGTACAGAAATCTTCCAGCGGTGACTCACCAATATATAATCAATTTGATTAGAATATTGGTTCGGAAAGTTCCATGTGACTAGATGTTTTCTCTTATGTCGAAAGCATGCAATAAAGAGTTCACGCTGTTTGCAAAACGAAGGTGGTCTCCATTGGCCCACTGGACCCTAATGTCATATTTGCCAATTATCGAATTCATCGTAACGACACCATGACCATGACCTACATGCGCATTCCAGTCTCTCTCCATTATGACCATGTCATTTATTTGTAGAGATGCTATTAATAGTTAAAGCTCCGCTAGAATCGCGGTCATTTGCGCATAAAATTGGAGAGCGATGGAAGCGACGGTGTTCCATAAAAGATCATTCGACTCATAAAGGCATTTTATGATCGTAAGTCGGCGCAGGTCTACGTATATGGGGAGGTGACAAACTCCCTTCGAAATAAGAACTGGCGTCCTTTCTCCTACAGTATTCAATTATGCGATAGACTGAATAATGGACACCGCTTGTCGGCACTCAAAGAGTGTCCAAATCCAGTCCAGAGCATCGTATCTTGAATACCTCGATGTGGTTCTTTTTGCTAACAGTCATGACGAAATGCAAGTAATGCTAAATAAGTGTCAGCAACTGCAGCAAGAATTGGACTCAGGGTTAATGTATACAAGACCAAAGTCTTTAGCTCTTATGTAAAGAAGCTGATAAAATGCCTCTTTTTGTAAATTCAGGTCGAGGAAATGCCCAATTTTAAATACCTTGGATCCACTCTAATACCAAATAGCCAGGCAAAAGACGATATTATTGCCCGGATCACAGCAGCTAGAAATGCGTTCTTCCGGTTGACGAAATTCATGGAGCCGTTGTGAAATTACCAGTAAAACAAAAGTCCGCATTCGCATCTATATAGCTGTGATTCGTTCGACCTTGCTATATGGCTATGAGACATGGCCAATGAGAGTGGAGGATATTGAGAAGTTATTCGCCTTTGACCACTCTTCTCTAAGGAACTTACCGGTCCGTCGAGCGGATAAAATATTACATAATCACATCCACCTTCGCTCAAATACCACCTGTATTAATAATGTTATTTTAGAGCGTCATCTTCGCTGGTTGGGGAACGTTCTCCGTCGTCCACCATAGGAGTTGATGCATATTTCGTTACTTGTAATGGTTGGTGTCAAAAGCGAGGTAGGCCAGTTAAGAACTGGGCTGATACGTCAGAAAAGAATTTTGAACGTATAGATGGACCATCAATATAACTTAGACAATGGACTTAGACAATGGAAAAAGGAATGGTTTCTATTACTGTCGACGATGGTATCAGACTGCGCCTCTTGGAAGCGTATTACCCTTATAGCTAACCAGTAATGGTGAGGGCTGTTAGAAGAAGAAAGAAGAAAATTGGAGCATAGACACTATATTACCGAGATATTGCAGAATTTTAAAACGCACATGCCTCATGCATCTACCAGCTTCCATTTAAATAAACTGATCGAGCCTTTTCAGACATAATTGCTGTGCTATTTTGCCCGAGTTATCCGAGATACCATAGTAATATAGTCAATATTTTTGCTCAGGACCAGGTTTAATAATTACTGGATGGCCAACATGAGGAAGACGGACCTCCGACAAACCACATCAACGCCGTATTTAGAAATGGCATGGATACTGATCGCTTGGCTTGCAATATCCATAAGTGCTCTGACGTTCCAAGCTGCTATAGAAGCACCTCACCGTGCTTACAAAGTAGTAACAGATAGGTTGTCGCCTCCCTTGACGATTTTGAGTACTTATCTCGGTTCGCGAACAAATTCTATGTTTTTCCCTTGGACTTTTATTATTATTATTAATAATAATTATTAATAATTATTAGGCCCGTATATTTATCACATTTACCACCGGGTCAAAAAATAGCATGCACGTCGGAAGACGCAGACGTCGCGTCAAAGAGACTTGACCCATTCGCCTTAGAGTCACTTGGGGATTTTTGATGCCATGGCAGGTTTACTCCTGTTAAAGACAAAAAAAAGAGAAGTTTAAAAAAAAATTTAAAGATAATTATAAAAAATCAAAAGAATCAAACCAATCAAAATAAAATCAAAAAATCAAAAAAATCAAAGGAAAATAATAAACTTTATATATATATATATATATATGTATATATAGGTATAACTTATATAACTTTATGTATATATGTATATAATATATATATATATATATATATATATATATATATATAGGAATAGGATAACTCGCTCAGTGGGTTGTTACTCGATTGGGAACGCCGATGCTGAGGTTCGATTCCCTGCAGGAGTAAACCTGTCCAGAAATCCGGGTGATGCTGGCGACTCACCTGTATTTCTATCGCCGAGAGATTCCCTGGTATATTGCCCAATGCGAAAGCCAGTGGAGCGAGTTTAACCAGTAACGGTGAGGACCCTTTAAAAAAATATGTATATATTTAGTTTATAATTTGCTAGATATAAGAAAAACTTAGCTTAGTTCATATGACTTTGAATTTTGCGCAAGAGAAGTGGCAGAGCGAAACAGAAAAAAAAACGACCGCTCAACAAAAATTTTTAATTTCCTCTTATTTGCATTGATTTGAGGGTCAGTTTTGGTTTACTTAGTTTAGCATCTGCTGGCGCAGTTCCTCATAACTGCAAAAGCCTCCTAAGAACATCATCAATATGTTCATGATCTGTGATAATACTATGTTATGGACTGATTTATGCACCTCTTGAGAAGAAAATTGAAATAGTACTGTTCATCTCGCCAACTTTACTATAAAAAAGTTATCAATAATATTTAATATCAAAAAAATATTTAAAAATTATTATTAATATTTAAAACTAAATAATATTTAGTTTTTGCAATTATTATTGCAGTGAATAACGAAATAAAAAAAAAAAAAATTGTTATTTATTTATAAATAAACTGTGAAATTCCAGTCAAACCAATGCAACAGATCTGTGGTCTTCAATAAATTTTAGGACTGTAAAGGACAAAAAGATAATAAAAGAATAGAAAACATAGAAATCTTCCACTAAAAAGATTACTTTAGCCAAAAGATAGTAATCGGATTTATATTGCGTAACTTTAGTCAAATCAACATAAGAAGCGTTCTTTCTCCTAGCTGTACAGAAGTCAATTCGCTGAGGTTCATGGATTTTGAATTATCCAAAATCATGGTATTCCTACTACCTAAACCAACCCTTCTCTGATTCTCACTTCAAAAACTAACTTTGCATCTGGAAAACTCTTTGTTCAATTGCTTTATGATTAGGTATGTTCATGATTTATTTTTTTAAGATATTTTTATAAATATATGCGTTTTTTTAAAACCTTTGAGGTTTATGCAATTATTCATTAATTTTCTAGAATATTTCAGTAGTATATGACTTTATGCTGCAGCAAGCGTTCGCACAGAAAGATTAACTAGCAGTCATGGTTCCCTTCTGATTTATAAGAGTAGGCTTTGCCATTAAAAGCTTAAATGGCATTAAATGCTGGAGTGGCGAAACCTATCTCTGCTTTTGTTTTCAAAAGACTATTTAGCTTAAGGATTAACATCCAAGTGAAAATGATTTATCCTATCCAATCCTATTAAGAATCCAAATATTCCCTGTGATATAATAGAAAACGCAATTAAAAATAGTAAATAAAATGAGATATTTTATGAAAATTAGTGGAATCAGTTCAGAAATAAGACGAGGAATGTTAAAATGCGTTAGAATAGAACGCAACAGCCTTGTCACATGGAATCAATATGAAACCATCAATGCGAATGACATTCATTTAATCGTCTGCTTCCAAAATTATTGCCAAGGGCAACATAAACTGCAAAATTTTTTAAGTATATTACTATTGATTACAATGTAAATAAAAAGACGTAAATTAATTTTAACTATGCAAGAAAATAAAATTAATCAAATTTTTAAAAAAACACGGCAAGTATTATGCCATTTACACTCCAATTTCATTCCCATAAATTCTATATTTTTGTTCACTTTAAGCATAAAACTACACATATTTTGGATTGATCTCTCTTTCGTCTTATTCTCATAAAAATTGTAATATGTTTCGACATGGGAAATTTGTGATAAGTTAATAATAAGTGTGCTAATAAGTGTGAAACAGAAATATTGAGGTATCTGATTTACTTTAAAACTTAGAAAATTTTTGAAGAATCGATGGAACTTTGACAAATGCACCCAACTAATTTAATTATCCTATATTTTTCATTAGGAAAAAATAATTTAACATTCAATTTGCTATATTTTTCTACCTGATATTTAGAAATCAGCTTTAGGCAAGATTTTTAACTAACGAGAAAACTAAGTACAATTTAAGTAGTGCAGGATAAAAATTTTATGCACCGTACCGGGTTTCTAAATACCACAGGATAAAAAGTTTGATATCGACGAGCAAATATGGAAAGATTATTTTAAGAAAATCCTTCTTCAATTTAACGTTTAGATATTTTTAAATACTTTTTCTTAAATTTGGCGACGCAACAGAAAAAAAAGTTGTTGGAAAAGATATTTCAATATCAATATATTTCTATTTTTAACAATATAATTGAAATGGCACCACTAACCACACAAATTGCTGCAGAATCTATCATGAAAAATTCATCATCCGTCATGACCATTTTTGCCGAATGAAATAAAGTATGGGCTAAAAAATATTGTAGATGTGCAGTGTTTCCCATTTGCAGTGTAAAGCAACCGTTTGGACTAATTTTCTGAACCACAAATTTCGGAAAAAAATAAAAAAAATAAAATTAAAAGAGATTTTAAACCAAACAATTATTGATCATTCGAAATATATTTATTATCTGTAGGTACTAAAAGAAAATTAAGAACGACAAATTGAAGTTAATAGATTTCATAAAATCAAAATATGAATTTATTTTCTCAATTATTATTATCCAGTAGTATACAAAATTAGAAGTAAAACAGTCGAGTGGTTGCAGCTTAGATTGTCGCCTCGAGTAGCCGGGTTTGGACCCTTCTTCCTGTAGGAATAAGTTTGCCATTAAGAAATTCGGATGGTACTGTCTACCTACCTGCAGTTCTATCACCAAATGACTCCTAGGTAAAAATTTCTCATCTTATTAATAACCAAAATGAAAAGCGCTAATTGCTTACTTCACTTAATGTAATGAGAATGGAAATAAAAGTTTTGAAATGAAAATTCACTCTCCAATCTTCGTTTCTGTGATATTCTATCGAAATAAAAGGAAAAATGCAAAAAGCTGAAATTTACTAAAAATAATTTTGAAAACGATGAAAACCGCGGATGTGACCATGGAGTCAGTAATCTATTTAACCTGACAATACCTTGCATTATTCGAGTGGATTCAAAAAAAAGAAAAAGAATTTTAAGATTCTATGATTGCCACAATGTTTGTCGTAAAAAATATCGAAAACTGTTCGCAAAAAAATGCAAAAAAATTAATAAAAAATTTTAAAGATACGTAAAATTTTTAAATTGATTTCTATTATCTTCGTACTTCATACTTCATATTTTAAATTATATTTTAAATATATAATTTTGAATAATGTAAGTGATTGCACTCACCATTTCATTTCTGGTTAGGCTCTCTCAACTGGTTATTGGTACCATTATTTTTCGCAGGAAGAATTGAAGCTGTTAAATTGAATTGAATTGAAAATCCTTTGACCATCACTTTATCCAATATTTATAAAGCAATTATCTACCTTTTTTCTAAATTTTACTTTTTGATATTTTCTTTGTTTGCGATATGAGAACCAATGAATTTTCTTAGAAAATTTGTACAAATATGCATTTACTATCCAAATTTCATTTCATTTTCAATGATAGCACATCAGCATTCGAAAATTGAAGTAACATTATTCACCCGAAAGTAAAAGAAAAATTTGTGTTATTTGCGAAATAATATTGTAATAAAATTGAAAAATATAATAATGGAATCGATAGAAATTTTCAATGAGAATATGGATAATGACTAATAAAAAAAGAAATAACAGAGGAATGCTTGAATAATTGAAACAAATTCACTGAACATAGAAAGATTAAAGTACCTCGTCCGACCTGCCATCAATTTTCGCGAATCTTAGTCCTAAAGTAAAGCATCAACCAATAAGCCTAACTAATCCATGAAAATTGAGCAATAGACGCAATTCCTTAGAGAATTAATCTATTTGAATAAAATAACGAGATATCGCAAGAAAACAGTCTAAAAATTTCTGATTGATTTTCTATAATGTTACTGTTTTTTTGCAAATAAACAGGTTTGAAAATATGTATAATATAGCTAAACAATTTCAGAAATATGGAGAAATATTAGGAGATCTTAAAATTTCACCGTTAACTTTGGGAAACCATTTTTTTGAAAATCATTATTTTAATTAAAATGGCCACTGTATAATGACCTACACTTTTGCCAACACAATACTAGTTGACTCCGTGGCTTGTCATACCAGACAGATTTTCCAAGGAGTCCCTTGGCGATAGAAATACAGGTGAGCCGTCATTCGGATTTTTGGATAGATTTACTCTTGTCTGAAATGAAACCTCGATACTGGTGCTCTAACTCCTTTGTTTCAGATGATATTGCAGTTTGTCGAATAATTAGAGCACCAATGGATTCGAGCCCAAGTCTCGACCTTCGGCAATTACAACACTGAGCCATCGTGCGAGTATACCACTTAAAATAGTAGATTTTGAACCAACTAACTGCTGGGAGTATTCCTTTTTTTGAAAGTATTCTCGCTAAGAAAAGTGAAAAAGCGGTAGAATTGAGTGTGTTGAGAAGAGACCTGGAAAATATTTAACTAGGAAAATAATTTTTGCAAAATGATCCATGCAATATTGTCATGCAGAATGATAGGATATTTTCTTGGCCACTGTTAATTGCAGTATTTGCTAATTCTGGCGGATTATTTCCAGTTGGATTTACTAAATGACGCTGCAATCACTTCCAGGTTTTAAAAATCCATAGCGGAGCAATCCTGATACGGTTCACCAAACAGTAATCATAGCATTCTTCAAGCGGATTAGATTTTACCTGAATCGATGCGATTCGTTGTTGCACAATCGTTGTGCAGACCTTTTTTTGCCCCGTATAATATCCCTATTTCATTTTTTTTACTAGAATCATTCCAGAAATGGATTTTATTGAACGTGTTTCTCACTTAGTGTTCAGTCCATTTGTAAAGTATATTATCGTTTTTTATCGTTTATCATTTATCATTTATCGTTTTTTCTTCTCTCCTATTGATTCTATACGAGGTACCAAGTGAAACGCAAATTCAATCTAACAATCTAATAAATCTTCGGATGGGTCACCATTTTAGGAACTCATTTATGAAATTTAAGGCCTGAGGTGTTTTCGAGGTTTATATTTCCGAAACTGAACTACTTTTTCTTGGAAATATCCTGAAAAACTACTTGCACACTACCAGTTATATCCTCAGCCCAGTACCACAGTTTATCACTCAAAAATCAGTATACGTCAACCAATATATTAATAAAAATGGCCAATAACAAACAACAAAGAATTGGAATTTTTAGGATGATCCAATAGTTTTATGAATTCTTAATTATTAATCAGACAATTCTTCTATCTCGTTATCAGCGATTACGGAGCGATAACAAACGTATTATTGACATTTGACTAACCAGTTGTAGCATTCTGTTAAATAATAAGTTAAAACAGTAAATAATAAATTTGTCTGGTTTGCAGAAAAAATAGCTGCTGTTGAGATAAAGATGTTGCAATGCGATTTTTTGACCAAATATGTATGGTTAAAAGAGAAATTGGAACGGTAATGGAACCACCTGGATTTTTAGGATAGTAACCAATTGATCTCACTTTAGTAATCAATGGATATCAATGGATCCGTTCCACCTAGAAAGTTGAACAGCATTGCAAGAACAAATTATTATGAGAAATTTATAATCTATCCATATTTAAGGAATGAATCCATATTTTTAAATTAGAACGCCGAAGAACCGAATGGAATAGAAATCATTATTAGATACAATTCTGAAAATCCAACGAAAGGGTTTATGTTTCCAAGCTATTCCACAGTTACTTAATGTTTTTTCCAGATAATCATGAGTAACCACTCCAAATTTCTATATAAGGTATGAAAAAGTATTGCAAAAAGATTCAAAAATATTTATTTCATTATTTTAATTTAATATTCAATAAATTATCATCGTTATATAAAATAATATTAAATATATAACTATAATTATATTAAATAGTCATAAACAAACCGCGAATTAATCATAGCGTTTAATGCTTAATTCCAAATTCATTTTCCACATGAAATCTATTCAATTCCATATTTTACTCATTACTTCAGTTAATCAAAATAAACAAAAATTAACAATTATATCATATTTAATTGTTTTTTTCCTTCTTCGCCTTCTACATCCTTCAGGAATTGAATAATTTTTAAATTTTTACGACATTAACAAATCAAATTTGAGACAAGCGATTAAGCGATTTTTATTCATTCTTTATGATTTTGTTTATCTTCGAAAAATTTTTTTCCTCAAAACTCTCACCAAACTCATTGATTCGAGACTTATCAACCGGATAAAGATATCTTTGGTATAGATATATGATAAAAACAATATCATCTCGGAAGCAAGCAACACGATGAGATATAGGCATTGTTATTATAAAAGCGAACAAATCATCAATAAATGTATTAAATGCCTGCAAAGATAACCGATAACTGATAATTTTCATATTAAAAAATCTTTTTATAGCAAAAAATGCAATTATATTGCAGAAAATCGAAACTGAGAATTATTATTAAAAAATATTTTATTATAAATTATTTACATAAAATAAACCAACCTATAAACATCGAATCCTAACACCTGACGAATTTAATTCAGATATTTCATTTATAATTCGTTGAACTTATTTTTTATTTAAAATAAATTGAAAATTACCTTATACATGAATGCTCTCCACGGAAGATGAGCGACAGACTTCAGTCGATAATTAACAAATAATTGTGGTAACATGAAAAGAAAACCGAAGGCATATACGCCATTTGCAGCGCACTGGATGCACCAGCTGTACCACGATTTATAAGGGATAAAGGCTAAGCTAAAGATAACCGTAAAGTTTTAAAGATCAATAAATACAAATAAAGTTTATTGTACAAAATGTTCTGTGCAACTGTCTTTTTATAACTATCTGGCTTACGCCACAAAACCAAAAATATCACTACAAAAGGACTTATTAAAAAAGTTGTAGGACCATAAACGTGCAATATATCACCACTACATTAAACAATCTCTTGCGATATCACCTTTACATTATAAATAATTAATTATATAGAATTACTTAATTAAATTGATAAAATTAAATAAAATTTTAAAAAGAATGATAATGACCATTTTTAAAAGAAATGCAACAAAGAAACATCGAATTCTAACATCTGACGAATTTAATTTTGATATTTCACTTACATTTATTACATATTTTTTTGGTCAAAATTATTGCAAAAGTTACGAATTTCATAGAAATAAAACGAACCTATAAACAGCTCCACCAATACAAAGCGGTATTATGAAAATAGCCAAATATTTCATCGCTTCCGCATCGAATGACTCAGTTACAATTTCTTCATCACTTGATTTTCCTATATGAATGCAAGGAATTCCGTGGTTCACGATTATATTCATCTACAATATCATATAGAAAAATTATAGCGAAAAAATCGAATAAGTTAAATAAAAAGAGAATCAATTACTGCAAAGAATTTAAGGGGAAATTTAAATTCCTAAAGGAAACGCTTACCTTTAACGCTTTTGTTACTTTCCAATACTCAATAATACAACCTATCCCAGTTGGAATAAGTACCAAAAGACTAGTTTCTTCATCAAATAAATATAAAAATATGACCGACTGACTGAAGCATCGCCACAGCAATGTTCTTCAATATAGATTTCAAAAGTTATATTTTAACTGTGGATGAAAATAAATAAAAAAATAGCAAAATATACTTTTTTATTAAAATTTATTAAATTTTAGCAAAAATAAAAGTAAGCAAAATAAATCTTTATAAATGACTTGTGAAAATGGAAATAGGACGAACCTACTAGACAATCCCACCATTGTTTTATGATTCATCCAGAAATTTATGTCATTTTTGAAAGCCAGTATATCAAGAAGAATATGCAAAGCGGAAACAAACACCGTAAGGGTCAGAAAATAAAAGCTTGTGTCAATGAAGATTCCTTTAACCTGCAATTAATGCGTGAATACAGAGCCATTCTTCTTTGATTGAAAAATAACTTTTAAGTGAAACGAAAATAAAATTTCTTTTGACCATCTGAATAAACAATCGGTAAAATGAAAAACAAAAGCATCGAGAAATAAATAATGTGAAATAATCTATTAATAAATCTATTAATAATCTATTAATAAATACCTCATCTACATCTTTATCGCTGAAGCCCATTTGACGCAATTGATTAAGTGACATTACTGCAGAAACTAACAAGCGAAACTTTCCAATGGACAATGGTCGATAATGAATTTTTAACCTCATAGATTTGTTTTCAGGTTTTATCTACAAGCAGACCTTGCATTTATGAAAACATTAAATCTATCAAAATGATTATCTTTATCTGCAAATAATCTTTATCTATATATTTTGTGACCATTTAAGTTTTTCCCGTTACCAAAGATCCATCTGATTCAAAGTTTCACTTCCAAGTTAAAAAGCAATGAATAGATCCAAATCACCTCAAGAAAAAGTTTGACTGGCTAGTTGGTTATAATTCTTCTACAAATCAATGAAAAAAAAGATTTCTGATTTTTCAGTCCCACGAACTTATTGAAACAAGATAGGCAAAAATCACTACCTGCACAAGATCGCGACTTCGAAAACTCAATTCATCGATATAAAACAATGGCCAGTAATAAATTTGATCACCTTAATACATGAAAAAAATTATTTTATGTTACAGCAAAAAGTGATGAAATATTATATAATCTGCATATAGGTTGAATAAACAAAAAAAAACGAAGAAACCTTCATAAAAAAAATCGAGCATATGATAAATTTCCGCTGGAATAGTTTTAACATCAAATTTCGGTGATTCGGCGACTATCGTCAATGGCAATATAGAGCGAAAATGGAGTACATTTATACTTTTTTCATGCAACTAAAACCGAATGATTTGTGTCTAAAGTTCATAAAGCTGGATCTGTCCTTAAGATCCTCGAAACGCTTTTAAGGGTCTCCAAGGCAAAATTATTTTAAAAGATTTTAAACATTGGGATCTCAGAAAATTTTAAGTGTTAAAAGAAGTTCTTACTAAAGAAACTCTCCAAAAAGTTTGAAAGTTATTGGCCTAAAATAAATCTAACACTGTTATTTTGATCAGTAACAGTAAAATATTTAATTACTTCCTTTATTGATCGTGATTTCCCTGGTCCTTCTTCAATTTTTTCCTGACCGATTAGTTTGAACGAGTGAGCTTTAGGTACCTTGTAGCTAGTCATTTTAACCGACTTTACTATTTGCCAGCTTGCCTGGAAAATTGCCATCTTTTCAGGATTATGATGAGAAATCATCAATTTTCAATAAAGAAAATAAAATATCTAGTGTAAATAAATCCATGTAGACGTAACAATAACAATCGATAAATAGAAGGGATATTAAAAAACAAAAAAAGGTAAAAGAACCGCGTAAGGATCGCTTTCTTTGTGTTCAGTCGGTAACAAAAAACAATGTAAATATAATGAACCGTTGTTTCGAGCATGCTCGGGCAAATGAACATCAACCTAAAAGTGTATATAAATAAATAAAGAATTCCACATTTATGCTGAAAAAAATCGGTAAAAGAACTATAGTCAGAAGAAAATGAATGACCATCATAGCCTCAATTACGAATAAATAATCAACAATTTTAAAGAGGAAAAGCAATGCAGCTTAAGAATAGTTTCACGGAAATTCCTAAACTCCCAAGATTAATTTACATAAAAAATATAAATATAAATTCGAAAATTAAAACGAATATTAAATTATTAAAGTCACATATCTACCTCACGTTCCATGGTTTCATCAATGTCAAGAAATGCAATTTGGTCGACTATACTTCCATAATTCCGTTGGGGGCGAGAATTTGTCGAAGCATAAATTCGCAGTTGAAGTACAGGCCATTCAAGAGTTTCTTTATTACGTTGAATCATGGGCTGAAAACGAATAACAAGTAAAAAAAAGGAAATAAAAATTGAAATAAGAGGCTTTAAGAATTAAAGCCTCGTGTTTTTTTAAACGTGCGTATATCTCCAATTTCCAATGTTTAAAAAAAAATTTTCCAATCTAATTTTAAATCAAATTTGGCATAAAAGACTTTTATTGAAAAGAAACATACTGAAACATACTATTAAACAGTTTTTACTATCAGCATCGTTACATGTTGAAGGATGGAAAAGTGAATAGATCCAATGCATTGAATGTGCTATATAAATAGCAAATAACGTTGTTGCAATATTTGTTACAGATGGCCGAATCATGATAACTACAATTTATGAAATTCATTGGTTAAAAAAGAAAATGGAATTAAAAATAACTGGCGAAATATAGTCTATATAAGAATATAAAAAAATGTAAAAAGTGATATCAAAAAAATCATAAAATAGTAATTAATTATTCAAAAGAATGTAATTATTTAAAAGAAACTTTGAAAAGAAACAAAAAAACTGCAAGAAAAAACTAATACCTTTTGAGCAGAATTCAAAAAACCAACCTGATAAATTTCTTCCAAATCGAAAAACCAGGAAATAATTAAAAATTATTTTGTGATATTTCCACTGGTTCAACCTGAAAAAAGATGAATAACAGTCACCATTTGTGGTCAGATTAGCTTCACTGGCTGTTGGCAATAAAAGTTTTTGGAAGGGAATCACTTGACGATAGAAATATTAGACTATTCGGAAATTAATTCAGGGTTTTTTTTCAACAATCTTTTAACAATAAACAATTAAACGATAGGTATAACATTATAATAAATAATTTTTTTAAAACTAATTGCATATTTTTCCATTTTGAAACCCCTAATTTAAGATGCCAAAAACAGAAATTTCGAAAAATTCAAAATTTCTGCCAACTCGGCTGCAATACGCAAAACTCGAAATAACAGTGAAGTTTCGATCAAAGGATGAACGCAAAGAAGTGCAACGTGGCTTTAAAAATTTTACCATGGTGAATTCATCCTTGAAGAAGACCACGGACGTTCATATGCCATTGACGACAATGATTGAATCCGGTAGGGCTACCAGTAGAGCTATTTTAAACAATGAAACAATATCGAAACATTTGAACTAAAATGGAAAGCCGAAGATGCTCGACAAATGGATGCCACATGAATTGAACGGAAAAAACCATCGTAACGAAATCTACTCTGCGCAATAAAAACGACTCGTTTTTTTAACATCATGGTGACGACAAATTATGAAAAGTAGATTTAACCGACTAATGTTCAGCCTAATATAAAGCTCCTAATTATTTTTCAAATCCGAACTTGCACCAAAAGATGATTGTGGTGATTGTTTGGTGATCAGCAGCTGGATTAATTAATCTTTGCTCAAATATAAACATAAGGCTACTAAGACCATCACTCACCACCTAATTAAACGAATATATGAGCACTACGATCGAAGGGGAGACAGGAATAGTTCAATTTTTATAAATTTATATTGTCACTTCATACTGTTTTCCTTTTACCATTACTGGTTAGACTCGCTCCGCTGGCTTGTCGCACTGAAAAAATATGCCACGAAGTCACCTGGCATCAGAAATACAGATGAGTAGCCAGCACCCGGATTTTTGGACCGGTTTGCTCCTGTGGAAAGAATCTCAGCATCGCGCCCCGAATTTAGCCCCCACTGAGTCATTCTATATCCCTTATTCTACTGTTTACGATCTCATTTTATATTGATGTTGGTATGATATTGGTTTAATCTCATATTGGTTTAATCTCATGAATTTAAGGGTGAGAAAAATAATGTGGTTATGCAATAAAAACACGCCAAAGAAAGAATGTAACGAAAAATTAATCGAATAGAAGATATAAATCTTTTGTTACACTACCATGAATCCTGGAAAATGGCAAAGAAACAAATCACGAAATCGACGAAAGGCATCAAAACCTGCAGGTGTCCAGCAATAATCAAGAAAAGGGCCAATTCTAAAGCACGAACGACACATGTCTCACGAGCAATGGCGCAAAAATTGAATGAGTTGGATTATGGAAGTCTGTCTCATCCATAATATTCACGGACCTTTAGCCTATCACTTTTTCAAGTACCTCCACAACTTGCCATGAAAAATCTTTCACCAAACACCCCCAAAAAGCAACCTCGAAAAGCGCCATTCTCGCTTGACTGGGAAAAGCGTAGATTCTAATGGTTTCTATTCTGATTAACAAGGTTCATTCTGAACCGATAGATGTGTCGCTTTCGATACAATAGCTAAAAATCTGCATTAATTTCTGAACAACTTAATATAAGTAGTCCGCATTCGCCGAACGTTTGGTCATAACACTGACGTTCGAAACCAGGCCTAGGCAAGCGATCATTTTATTCGGCGGCCCTTTCTAGTTAAGCATTTCTATGGAATGAAAAACAATATGAATGGACAACCAAAAATATATGAAGTTTGCTGTGTATGAAACAAAAATTTATTAACGCAAAAAAAACACGTTGCTTTTTTTCTGCATATTTTAAATAATTTACATGAACTCCACATAGAATAAAAAATAAAAATAATTCATTAGAAAATATAGTACGAACAATAAAAAATAGTAGAATAATTAGCAATCATATGAATCAAATTTTCTATAATTATCTTATATAATTAATTATATAAGAAATATTTTATAAAAACAAAAGATAATAAAACGCATCTTTGCAAAAAAATTCTCGATTAAATAAGAACCTAAATAAATATATGAAAAGTATTCAAAAAATTTGAAAAAATATTTTCAATATTTAGTGTTTCATGTCAGCATAATAATGGCCAGATGAATTAAAAATTGCTGACATTGGTAAGAAAGCAATCATTAAAAAAAGCATGACGCATAGAAGACTTTGTCTGAAGCAAACTGATCTGATAAGAGCTAACTGTTGGATTCTCCCTGAAATTAAATTTGTGGAAATGAATTTAAATAATCAAGAACGAATTTCATTGTAAATAAAATTGTTCATTCATTTTATCTCTATGATTTATGAATAAAAAAAAATTTTTTTACCGATAAAATCCATTCTTTTAACGATTTTTAAAATAATTTTTACAAAAATTAAAATTTTTTGTTATTAAAAAAATCAAACATATCAACACAAAACAAGGTTGAATGTAATACCATATGCAAGATGTTGCGAGTTTTTCTAAGATAGTATCAACAGTTTTCCAGCTGAATCGTACAACCGATGGGAAACCAAATACTGGATCTACGGAATCAAGCAAAAATTTTTTCGTATTCGGATCTATAATTCATTTGATGCATACTTTGAAGTATTTCGAAAAACAGAATATGGCCAGCTAACATACCACCAGGATAGCCTGTACCAAATCCATTCTTTGCTACTTTCACTTCACCTTCAATAAATGACCATTTCCGCAAGTTCTCATCACGAGTTACCTATGAAAAAACCTTAAGTATCATCTCGGAATAAAATTAAATGAGAAATGGTAACAAACCTTTGCAACAATAGATGCACCGCTCACGATCGGATACAGTGTATCAGCTTTTTCAATGACAATGAACTTCACATCAGGAAATTTTTCTTCTAATTTTGCTTGATAGGTTTCTTTAGGTCCTACTGTATCAACATAAACCTGTTAATTTTTAGTATAAATATTAGCCCTAAAATGATTGAAAGGTATAGAATGTCTCAGTGGGTTGTTGCTCAATTAGGAGCATTGATGCTGAGGTTCGATTTCCTGCGAGGTAAGCCTGTACAAAAAACCAGTTAATGCTGGCGACTCACCTGTATTTCTATCGTCAAGGGACTCCCTGGCATATTACCCAATGCGACAAGCTAGTGGAACGAGTTTAACCAGTAACGGTGAGGACTCTTTAAAAAAAAATGATGGCTAGGAGGGATAAAGAATTTAAAAAAATCGGAAATCAAATTGAGATTTGATTACATTTCTTGGAAATGTTTTTTTCGAGGAGAAAAACAAACTTCAGCGACATTAATTCCAGCTTTTATGGCACTTTTGATTAAATCAATTGCGCTATTATGTGAAAGTTCGTTTAATGAATATTTACATCTACGTAACATAGCTGCGCTTATCATTCGTGCCGATAAAATACGAACGGCATATGCCATAAACTAAATTGAATATTTAATTTTTTGGGAACAGACATTTAGAAATTCTTGTCACGAATACACAACAAAATTTCCACGAACAGCTAAATCCAAAACTAGCTATAGCAGTTTATGTTGGTAATCTCATCTCATATGGCTCTCGCAAAAAACTTTTTACAAATTATCTTATAAAAAATTTTAAAATATAAAGTTTTAGAGTTTTAGAATTTAGAAAAATGACTAGAAGTTTTTAAAATTTTATTTAACAATAAAGGAGATTTAACAAATTAATAAAAAAAAGGAACACCCGCCCATTTGTTTCTGACTGTATAGAGGAAAAGATTTCATTACGTTTGGTTCTAGTAAGCGTTTTGGAATCAGCAACACCTAGAAAAAAATCTTTATTCCATAATTATTTAAAATTTATCATTTGTCATTTAATTAAGATCAGATCTTTCAGAATTTATCTTCTAAAAAAATTAGTAATAATCACCAAATTATAACACCAATTAATTAATCAAAAAATAAAAATAAAATTGAACCATTTTGCCGAGTGTTCAGCTAATTTAAAGTTTTTAGAAATAAGATTTTTAACACGAACTATGAAAAACTAACCTAAATCTTTCAGTTTTTCATTACAACCAAGCGGCGATACAGCACAAGCATATACCATTGGACCAAGAACAGGACCTCTTCCTGCTTCATCGATTCCCAGAATACAAGCTCGTCCGTCGCCAAATTTTTCGAAATTATAGCTTTGCTCGGCTTTCATACAAACTGCATCGTTATGTTGATTCATTTAATCTCAAATTTATAAAACTGAGGATTGCCTTAGAAATCATAATTTTACTGCAACATGTTCATAGTATTTAAACCACGAATAAGATATTAATCAACACTGTTAGAAATTTATCATCAAAAATGATAAATATACGATAGACAATACGATATTATAAATTGATAAAATTGACCAAATTCATAATATAATTCATAAATTAGAAAATATTGCGAAAATGCGAAATTCTTAAAATTTGAAAACAACTAACAAGGAACAAGAAACATTTAATTTTTAAATACCGTTAATTTTTTTTGCATTTACAACGAAACGAATTCAAGTGACCAGAAAATGACTGAAAAAATGAAAATTAAATGACACGACAATTCTCCGTTCGATACATATAAATAGCAAATCATAACTGTAGTTCAGTTCAAATAATTATTGATAATAATTAATATCACAGAAAATACATTATAACAGTGACACTAAAAAAATTGCAAAGTGAAAAAATTTAATGACTGAACTTGTGACCAAGATCTTGCAAATTTCGTCTCAATTCTTCATTAAACTGGCACTCCTGCAACGAAAATCTCTTCTTTAATTCATTTATTTTAAAAATAGAAAATAACCTAAAATACGAAAAAGACCGAAATTCTTAAAAATTGAAAAAATAATGCACATTTTTAAAGTTATCGACGGTCTTATGATATAAACGTTCTTTTTCCAACATGTATTGATAATCATCACTTAAATTATCACGTTCTTTTTGCAACTCATTTCGCTTGATAGAAATCTAAAATATGATTAAAAATAGATGAACTGACAATATAGAATTTATTTTTAAAAGAATAAAACGTAAAATAAATGTAAAAATTTTAAAAATTAACAGAAAATTAAAAAATTTATTATCTTATCTAGTGATGCACCAACTCCTCGTAAAATCTCTTGCAAATTTTCGAAGAAAGATTCTTTATAACTGTCTCTGGATGTACTGAAAACATATTTTATTTAAATCTTTGCTTTGCAAAACAAAAGTGAAGCAAAAAAGTTGAATTTTCCCAGAAGAAAATTTGAGTCTTACAAACTCACAGATGTTGTACTTCTTCAATACTATTCAGCAAAGCGATTTCACGCTGAATATATGCTTGTATATCAACAAGAGTATTATGCAGCGCAAAATATCGTGTCATTTCTTGATGCTTGCTCGCAACTGAAATAATTTACTGGAAAAAAATACATAAAAACATAATTATAAATATGAGCGACAAAAATTCATTAATAAATTAAAAATAAAGCAATAGAAATTAACTATAGAGAGACCATAGTAATTCAATACTAAAATGTATCTCCACATTAAGAATTCTATGCAAAGTTTTTTCCTGCAAATGTTAAGGCTTTAGCACTAAAATAATATATATTATATTTATTTTTTGAAATTTATCGCAACCAAAGAGAATAAAAAGAAAATTATATTTCTGATAAATTCTTTAATAAACCATACTTTGATTATATAATTCAATTATTCGCCTTTGGTACTGGCTTATTTCCAGCTGCAAAGGCACGGAATCGATATATCTTTGTTCCAAAGCAATTTGCCAATTAATATTAGCCAGTTCTTGTCGCAAAATTGTTAATCTTTTCTGAGCTCCTTGCCATTTAGATTTCAAATTATGAATATCAGCCTAAAGCTGATTTTTTAAAATATATTTGTGATCGTAAAAATGAGCAAAAATCCATAATTTCATCAAAAGCAGAATCCAAATAAAAAGAAGTATGATAATTAGATCTTATACCCCATTCTCTGCCACACTTCCAGCACAAAAATTCTCTATTTTTTCTTCCAATTTTTTCATTTCCATTTTACAATTTATTTTGAAGTCGGTTTCACGTTTCTTTAAATCGTCATGCTCACTAATTAATTGCCGTAGTTTTTCAATTAACCTATGAATTTTTTTATATATTTCAATCAGATTGATTTTTGGGAGCAATATCCAAATTCAAAAATGTGACTGAAACTATTTGATAAATTATTTGACTTTATATCGGCATTTTCGACTTCTGAGCGATATTTTGATAAATTTTCTTCTTTCTCTCGTAATTCTTTTTCATATTTTCGATAATTACAATCAGCAACATTCAATAACTCTTCTAATTGATTCTCTTCCAATTTTAGCTAGAAATCATTAAAAATCATTCATAGAATTTTTTTATAAGCTTTAATAGAATATTTTTCTGAAATGAGAAAAATTTATGTAAATTTGAAATGAATCCAATATATTTTCCTTTAAAGAGCATCAAAATTGAAAAAACCAAAGTATAAACATTAATGCAATCATAAAATAAACCTTTTCTAATTCGCTTTCGATATTAGCTAATGAGTTTGCAAAATTTATTTTTGAATGAATCCTTTCTTCAGTGGACTGAAACTACAATTATTTTTTTTAGATAATTCTAAATTAGTTTAGATCTTTCAATAAAACAAATAAAAAGATAACCTACAAATTTGGAATCTAACGTTTTTTTGAGATCTTCAATACTGATGAGTTCTGCCAAAGCCTTTGCTGATAAATGTTCACTTTTTAACTGCTCAACATTAGCAGTTAAATTTCCAGATAATCTTTCCTCAAATGTTTATAGAAAAAATTAGAAAGAAAACTCAGATAAAAAAAATAAAAAATTTATTAAAGAAATTATATTAAAGTCTAATCAAAGTCAAATTATTTACCTCATTCTCTATAAATTTTTCTGCCCCACTGTTTTTTGTAAAATCTCTGTTTGATGAAGTACCAGGCCTTGGAAATGAAATCAAGATTAATACAAAAAATATAAATAGCCACAAAAAGCTTAAGCAACCAAAAACCATTAGCCAATTTCATTTCAAGTTCAAAATTCATTTTAAAATGGGTGAAAACAAAGAAATAAATAGAAGAACTGAAGTGATATATAACCATTCATATTCCATCAGTGTACACTGCAAATCTTCTATCAAATTTAAACATCGATATTCATAAATACGTCGAGAAACACGTTTCGGCAAACAAAATGATTTTAAAATTCGAAAATTACAACCGATTTTAGAATTCTTCATCCAGTTCTCCATATCCTGAAATCTCTTTATAAAATCTTAGCAATTAAGCGGTATAATACAAAAGAGCTATAAATACAAAAGATTTACTTGGGATAATGAGAATCTTTTATTGAATTGATAAACTGCATAATTGCGAGAATCATCACCGAACTGGTTTTTGGCTTCAATTGCTTGTTTCACTAGCCACTAAATAGAATAAATAGCAACTGATGCCTTTTTTTGAAAATACTTTAATTATTCAATTATACAAAAAATATTCATCCAAAATCCAAAAAAAATTATTTAAATTTTTAAATAAAAGTTTAAATTTTTGTTGGAACAACATCTGCCTTATAATTTTGTTTTTTTAAAAATTTTATTCAACTTAACTAATTTTTTTAAGTTGCAAGCATTTCTATTCCATTAGTTCGTTTATACAAGCAAAAAAAAACCACAAAGAGAAATGAGAAATTCGTTCATTCATTCAAAATCGATGAACAATATTTACCTGAATAACTGGAAATATATGTATAAAGTCGAGACCTTGAATTTGGTGAGGTTCAATTGCATGTGGACAAGCAAGTTGCGGTAATACTTCCACAATTCGTTCCGTTAACCAACTAAGAATAAGAATAAGTACTGCATATTACGTAAACGTAATCAAAATAGAAGAGTAAAATTTCAAGCTTTGTTAAAATGTAACTATTTCATTTATTTCAAACAAAGCTAATTTTTTGATTTAATCCACAAAATTAATGGAAAATTTGGTTAAAGAATTATAATTTTGAAAATGATAAAATATGAAAATTTTTAAAGGAAAAAAAATTTTGGAGAAAAAATAAAGATAACCAAAAACAAAAAAAATTCAAAGCACAAACATCTTTTGTCCAATTGTCGAAATATCCGAATAAAATAAATCAATGTCTAAAGACATGTTGCAGTGACTTATACACCAAACCATACCACCAACAACCTTAAATTTTCATTGAATTTGATGGATAAAATATAAAATGAAAGACAACCAACATCTGCTTGAAGTTCACTCAAAAAATTTTGCAATAAAATAAATGAAACAAAAAATAACTTGAAAAATCAAAAATTCATTATCATATGGAAATAAATTTGAAAAGTTTATATATAAGTTTATATATAAGTAAAATGCTTCTAAGGACCAAAAACATTATTTTATTAGAAATTTGTGATTAAATTTATGAAAAGAAGTAAATCGAAATGAAAAAAAACAACAAAATTTAAAAATCGACAAACCATATCAAAAGGAGGAATAGTTTTAATTCTTGCGCGGAAATAACCAGCAGCAACTAACAGGTCAATAATATCTTGTAATTTTGCACGTTGTTCTTCATCTTCGCGTATATCGAACTATAATTAAACAATAAGCTAAGTTATAATCGAGCAGCTATTACTATTACATTATTCTAACTGTCTCAAGGGAATGACTGGTACACTAGTATGACAGTTCATTTTGAGCAAAAACTCCAGATCTTTCTCCAACTAAACCAGAGTGTCGTTAATTTAGCTAAATTGATGAAATATTAAACAAAGATTTCAAGAAGATAACCAATCGTCACAATCCAAATTTCGTGGAATTTAGATCTGTGATTCTAATTTAAGTATGCGATTAGCGCACTCATCCCTATTCTAACACCAGTTGTTATTATGATGTAACTTGGCGACAAAAATATAGATAGGCCACCAGGACCACTTTCTTTCTTTAAGGACAGCTTTGTTCCTATCAAAACCAGAGTCCAATGCCCTGACTCAATAATCTGGACACTCGGCTATTCAGCTTCTATAATGTTGTATTCTCTTCTACTCGACTGAAGTTGCTATTATTAGTGAAAATCATAATTGTATACTTATGCATTATCTGAAACCATGGCATCGACAAGACGTCTTTTCCCTTTCCCCCATTCTTGTTCCCTCTTCCTTCACCTAGTTTTTCTCCTACTCTGATTTATGTCATTCCATTTTTTCTCTTCGTCCTCCTATTAACAGTGTCACTAATCTTAACTTTATCTTCTTCTTCTTCTAGCAGCTCTCAACATAAGTGGTTAGATTAAGTCCAATGGCTACAAGGGTAAGACGCTTCCAAGCGGCGCAGTCGGTGCCATCGTCGACAGTAATGGAAGCCATTTCTTTTTCCATCGCCTAAGTCCACCTATACGTTCAAAATTTTTTCTGACCATATCAGTCCAGGTCTTGAAGGGCCTACCTCGCTTTTGACGCCAACCATCACACAATTAACGAAATATGCGACAACTCTTATAGTGGGCGATGGAGAATGTGCCCTAACCATCGAAGGCGACATTCTGTAATAACATTATTGATGCAAGTGATATTTGAACGAAGATGGATAGTAAGATGGATATCATATGCGATTTTATCCGCTCACGGATTCGTGAAATGTACCTTAGACAAGAGTGGTCAAAGATAAGTGCTTCTTAATATCCTCTCATTAGCCATGTTTCAGAGCCATATAGCAAGATTGAAACGAATCCGCTCGACAGCTAAATACCTTCGTTTTAATGGTACGATGTTTCACGACGTCTTCATAAAGGTTTTGTTAACAGGAACGCATTTCTAGCTGCCGTGATTCGAGTTGTAATATCACCTTTTGCCTGGCCATTTGGTATAAGAGTGGACCCAAGGTATTTAAAATCGGGCACTTCCTCAATCGGCAATGAATTTACAAAAAGAGGCATTTTATCAGCTTCTTTACATAAGAGGTTAAAGACTTTCGTTTTACATACATTGACCCTGAGTCCGATTCTTGCTGCAGTTGCTGACACGTTATTTAGTATTACTTGCATTTCGTTATAACTGTTAGCAAAAAGGACCACATCATCAGCATATTCAAGGTCTATAATACAATGCTCTGGCCTGATTTGAATACCCCTTGAGGCCGACAAGCAGTATCCATTTACCCAGTCTATCGCATAGTTGAATATTGTAGAGGAAAAGACACAACCTTGACGGACATCAGTTCTTATTTCGAAGGAGTCTGTCAGTTCCCCATACACACAGACATGCGCCGACATACGCTCATAAAATGCCTTTAGTCGAATGATCATCTCTGGAACAACGTTGCATTCCATCATCCTCCAAAGCGTCTCTTTATCGATTGAATCAAAGATAGTCGAAAAGTCGATGAAACACGTGACAGTGGGTTGCAAATATCTGAAGCGATGTTCCAACACCTTTCTTTAGGTGAATATCTGGTCAACACAACCGTGCCTCGTTCTGAATCAAGCTTGATTAGGGCATATCTTGCTGTCTCGTACTTCCATCTATTGAGTAAAAGGGAAGCAAAAATTTTCGCTGAGACGTCTGATTCCTCAATAATTGTCCTATCACCTTTCTTGAAAATTGGGAGCAGAATTGCTTTGTTCCAATCATCTGGTAATATTTCTTTTTCCCATACCAGAGAGTAGATTTGTTAAAGGTGCGTTAAGAACAACATTTAAAGAGTTCAGCTCGAAGACCATCTTCTCCCTGAATCTTATTGGCCTTAAGCTTATGGATAACATATTATCTTCTCGCAGTTGCAAGCGTATGGTTCGGCGAACGTATTATCGTATTAGCTATATCAGGGGCAACAGATGGCGCTTCAGGATTATGTTTGGTCTCAAAGAATAATTTCCATTTTATGAGGCGGCATTTTAATACTTTTGATCGGCATACCATTGCCATCCCTTATCATTTCACTGATCCTTCCTCGTCAAAATTGCTTTATGGAGAAGGCGGAATAGTTTCCTATTATTACCTAGTCGAGCGTTAATCTCCATTTTCAAGGCCATATCACTCCAATATTTATTTCTGTCCCACCATGCTGCAGTTATAATTCTTCGCAGCATCCGATGGTCAATCTCCTGACATTGCTTTGGCAGTTTTTTTCAGACAGTTGGATAGATGCTTCCGATACCCAACTAGCACATTTCCTACTAGTATGCCCTAGCGTGGAAGTGGCTGACTTTCGGAGACATTCCTTTAGTTTGGACCAGTATTCATTTGCCATTCCAGAAAAGTTATCAAGATATTTGTATCACTGAGATATTTCAATAATTCGGTTTGAAATGTGTTCATTGTCTCCGAATTTTTTAGTTTGAGGTGGTTGAAGGGTCTTGGAGGATGCTTTTTTCTGCGAGTTGTCAACTTTTATGCGGATCTTGGCTTGAACCATAACATAGTCAGATCCATGATGATTGCGCGTTTCAGCGCCGTGGTAGGAACGATTATCTAGTACGGAACTTTTCCAACGATTTTTTTTCAAGAATACCCACCATTACTGGTTAAACTCGCTCCACTGGCTTGTCACATTGAGCAATATACCTGAGAGTCCCTTAGTGATAGAAATACAAATGAGTCGCGAGCATCACTCGGATTTTTGTACAGGTTTACTCCTGCGGGGAATCGAATCTCAGCATCGGCTCTCCCAATCGAGCAACAACCCACTGAGCCACTCTATCCAACAGCGACTGACTAAGATATAATCAATCTGGTTGAAGTGTTGGTTATCCGAGGAGTTGCTCGTAACTAGATATTTTCTACGATGCCAGAAGCAAGTATTAGTACTAAAAATTTCATGGTGTTCGGTATAACGAGGAAAGCGTTCCCCAGTGGCGCACCAGTCTCCGATGCCATATTTGCCAATTGTCGAGATCATCGCAGCGGCATTATGATCTACGCGCGCATTCCAGTCTCCATGACCATATCATGTTTGGGTAGAAACTTTGTTAGTAATTGAAGGTTCCGCATTGAAGGTTCTTATCTTTATCATGGTCATCTGCCGACAAAGTTGGAGCATAGATATTGATGACCGAGATATTGCAGAACTTTAAAACGGAAATAGGCCATACAGTCGCTTACCGGTTGACACTCTCAATTAAAGCAGAATGTACCTTGTCAGATATGACAATTGCTACGCCATTTCGCCTCAAGTTATCCGAAGTATCACAGTGATATGCCTCTGCTCTCCGAGCAAGGATTAGTAATTATTTGAAGTGAGGAAGACGGTTCTGCGACAAGTAGGCGATATCCACACGATATTCAGAAATGGTGTGGACAGTGTTCGTTTGACTTGCAACGTCCATAAGAATTCTGACGTTCCACGCTGATACGGCTAAAACCTCGCCGCGCCTGCAGAGAGCTGTTCCCTTTCCCCTTGATAGGTTTCGAGTAATTACTCTGGCTTGCGAGCACATTTTATTTAACAGCCTTGGGATCGCTTTAAGCCTGGATTGTGCACTTATGAACCACCAGGCTGGATTATCATGCGCGGACGCCGGATCTGATCTCTTCACCACAGAACCATTTGGGTACAGGTGAGTCCCCAACAACCACCCGGATTTTTGACATGAAAGGTTTATTCCTGCCGAAGACAGATAGTTATTTTATGAGATTATTTATTTTATAATATAATATTTATAATATAAGTTTTAAATATTTTATTCGATTTGTAAAATTCGATTTGTATTTAGTAAAGAATTAATAAATTTTAGAAAAATAAAAAATAAATAAACAATAAATGGCAAAAATGAAAAATTATTGATTATTTATAACAATAAAAAAATTAGTGAAATTAAAATTTTACAAAAAAGTGAAGCAAAAGATTTTTTGCCAAATTAATTAATTAAACATAAATTTGAATAACGAACCTCATAATTCGACTGGCTTTTATCGTTTTCTGCACCGAACTGCATCGCTGCTCAAAAAAATCTCTCAACCTCCAACTGCAACTGCCTGCACGAGAATTAATTTCAATATTCGGCAGAGGGCGTGGCATAGCGTTAGCTACATAAAGTGAAGAATTCAGGACTGCCACTTTTTAACAGAAGATTCTTTATTTTAAAACTCCAACTTTTTGATTGGTACCATCCTAGTAAGTTCTTTGTGGTTGGAAGTGAGCAGTGTTTTTAGGTCGAGGATAGCTTTTGCTGAGTTTCGTATGTCAGATTGCCGAGAAGTGTAAAAATTTCCATTTCATTCAGTTTTCTGTGAATTATTTTCATATTTTTTTATTATTTTTTTATTTCACATTTTAGAATAAATATCTTTAATCATCTTAATAAGTTGCTTATTTATTTGTACTTCAATTAACTAAGTCTGAATAATGTTTTCTTTTTCTTTTTATCCATTTAAGATAAATAATAAATTTCTAAATATTTAAGTCCTACTTTGCAGTTCATTTCCTCAAAATTTTTCTAAAAATGTTTGCAATATTTTTTATTTAATTTTCATTTTCCATTTGTTTCTTTTATTTGTAAAATAAATTTGCATTTAAATTATTGGTGAAATCTTTAGTAGATTATTTTAATATGGTAAAAACAAATGAAAAGAAAATATTATTAGTAAAGAACAAACAGAATTCAATTAAAACGAAGAAAAAGAATGTCGAAAATTGTATTTTCAAAGGTTTATTCTTTTTTTCATATTTCCTTAAAATATTTCTTGAAATATTTCCCCATTTTTTGTTGGACGCATTTTTCTAATTTTATTCATATTTTCTAATCATATTTCAAAAGAATTTTAAATATTATTATTTGCATTTTCCGCAGATCTTTGAGATTTTATTTCGTTTTATTCAATAATTTTAGAAAAGAAAGCAAACAATAACTGTGGATATAGGAAACAACTTGACTCAATAGCTGAAAAAGATCCTGAGTTTTTCAGATATCTTAAAGAGCAGGAAGCTGATCTTCTTGATTTTAATGAATCTGATATCGATTTATCAGAAGGTGAATTTGAATCTCGTTGCCTAATATTCTGAAAATTTCTCATTTTATTATGTTTGATAGGTTTGTTTTTGCTAATTTGTAGCCAAATATATCCTAGCTTTTCAGATTCTGATGAACACTCTGTGGAAATGGATATTTCTGACTCACAGCAAGATGTGCACATGGATGATATGTATTCAGGGAAGACCAAACTGGATCAAGATGGTGGCCGTTTTATTGTAAATAATCATCTGATTCTTCACTTAGAGAAAGTTCTTAATCAGGTTTTCTTTTACTTATTCATAATGTAACCGAAATAGCATAGTAGAATAGAGTGACTCAGATTATCTTATTGAGAGATAAAAGTTTTGATCCTACCTTTGGCAAGACTAAACCTGCCATTAAAATATTTGGACAACCCATTTGTACTTCTATCGTCAGATGACTCTGGCAGAAAATTAAGTCAGCGGAACTAACTAGAAATAAATAAGCTCTAAGCATATTTTTCTTAACTCACGCATTTCTTCTTTTTCTTCTAACAGCTCTCACCATTACTGGTTATGATGATACGATGCTCTGGATTCTTCTTGAGTGCCGACAAGTGGTGTTTATTATCCAGTCTACCGCATAATTGAATATTGTAGAAGAAAGGATACAATCTTGGCGGACACCAGTTCTTGTTTCGAAGGAATCTGTCAATTCCCCATATACTTAGATCGCGCCGACGTATGCTAATAAAAGGTCTTTGTAAATGATCTGCTCTGAAGCACCGTGGCCCTCCAAAGTGTCGCTCTATCAATTGAATCAAAAGCAGCCGCAAAATTGATGAAATACTTGATATTGGGATTCAAATATTTGAAAACGATGTTCCAGCATTCTTCTTAACGTCTATCTATCTGCTCAATACAACTGAGCCTCGGTCTGAATCCAGCTTGATTAGGGTTAGGGCATATCCTATCTTCCCGTATTTCCATAAGTCTGATTAAGTAAAAAGAAAAGCAAAAATTTTCTCTTAAATTTTCTCTAGTAGGCTGATTCCTCGATAATTGTTGCAGTATGTCCTATCATCTTTCTTGAGAACTGTGAGTTTTTTATTGGCCTTATGGATAATGAAGATTATTTCTTCTTCTATTATTTCTATTTTTTTATTGGAGGCTCGCAGTTGCAAACATATGGTTCGGCGAACGTATTAAGTATATTAGGGGCAACAGATGGCGCTTCAGGGTTATGTTTGGTCTCAAAGAATAATTTCCATTTTATGAGGCGGCCCTTAATACTTTTGATCGGCATACCATTGCCATCCCTTATCATTTCACTGATCCTTCCTCGTCATAATTGCTTTATGAAGAAGGCGGAATAGTTTCCTGTTATCATCTAGAGCTGCGATCTCCATTTTCAAGGCCATATCACTCCAATATCTTTCTGTCCCGCCATGCTGCAGTTGTAATTCTTCGAAGTATCCGATGGTCAAAATTGCCAAAAAAGCATTTCCTACTAGTATGCCCTAGCGTGAAAGTGGCTGAATTTTGGGGACATTCATTTCGTTTGGACCAGTATTCATTTGGCGTCCCTGAAAAATCATTGATATTTGTATCATTGATATCATTGAGATATTTCAAGATTGAGATACTTCAATAATTCGCTCGCTCCTGAGTCTTCGAATTTTTTAGTTTGAGATGATTGAAAGATCTTGGGGAATGTTTTCTGCGAGTTGTAAATTTTTATGCGGATCTTGGCTCGAACCATAAGATGATCAGATCCATGATGATTGCGCGTTTCAGCGCCGCGGTAGGAACGACTGTCTAATACGGAACTCTTCCAACGGCAATTTTTTTTCAAGAGTCCTCACCATTACTGGTTAAACTCGCTCCACTTGTCACATTAAGCAATATACCAGGGAATCCTTTGGTGATAGAAATACATGTGAATCGCCAGCATCTTCACCCGGATTTTTATACAGGTTTACTCCTGCGGGGAATCGAATCTCGGCATCGGCTCTCCCAATCGAGCAACGAACCACTGAGCCATTCTATCCGGGGGCAATTAACTTAGACATAATCATTCTGGCTGAAGTGTTGGTTATCCGGAGAGTTTCACTTGACTAGATTTTTTCTTCGATACCGAAGGCATGTACCAAAGAGCTCGTGCATAGCGAAGAAGGCGTTCCCCAGTCTTCGATGCCATATTTACCAATTGTCGAGGTCATCGCAGTGGCATTTTGACCTGCGCGCGCATTCCAGTCTCCATATTCATATTTCGGTAAAGACTTTATTAGCAATTGAAAGTTCCGCATCGAACTTATTTTTATCATGGTCGTTCGCCAGCAAGGTTGGAGCGTAGACACTGATGACAGAGATATTGCAGAATTTTAAAACGGGGCATATGCCGTATAGTCGCCTACCGGTTTCCATTCAATCAAAGCAGAATGGGCCTTGTTAGATATGACAGTTGCTACGCTATTTCGCCCCGAGTTATCCGAAATATCTCAGTGATATAACCAGTACCTCTACTGTGAGCCAGGATTAGCAATTACTCGAGATTCGAAATGAGGACCTCTGACAAGCAGGCGATATATAGAAAGAATGTGAATAGCGAGTGGACAGTGACTTGCAACGTCCATAAGCATTCTAACGTTCCACAGTGATATGGCTAATACCTCGCCTCGCGTGCAGAGAGCTGTTACTCTTGATAGGTTTCGAGCAATTACCCTGGCTTGCGAGCACATTTTATTTATTAGCCTTGGGATCGCCCCCGGATTGTATACTTATGGTATGCACCCCGGGACTGGGAGTATCATCGGAAGACGTGGATGCCGTATCAAGAATATCTGACCCTTTCACCATAGAGTCACTTAGGATAGAGTTACAGGTGTATCCCCTGCAACCACCCATATTTTTGACATATTTACTTTTGTCAAAGACGTTCATTATTATTTTTATAATGTTATAAATTTTATATATGTTTATATATGTTATTTTATATATATATTTATATTTGCATAAACATATACATATATTTTATTTCAATTTTTAGGTTTTTTAAATTTAGAAGAAAAAATTAGTTCATAGTTTATAGAGCTTCTAAAAAATACGCCAAAAAAAAGTGTAAAAAATAACAGCGAGATGGAAATACAACAGCTCGAAATTGCAAAATTTTGAAATTTTTTTGATACGTTTGACATTACGGCAAGGCGATTGTTTGATATATCGCATCTACTAAAGTTCGTTATCGTCCATTCGATTCCTGTTTCTGAAATGATAGGTCTTTAACCTGAAATCCAGAAGATGCTGTACGTACGCTCACTTGTAGCTTTGCCCAAGGAGTTCTTTGCCGATGCCATCATAATAGTTAATCAAAGTAAAATCAAAGTAAAATTAAAGTAAAATGAGTTAATCAGGAATGGTGAGTTTTTTTAAGAATTTATTTTGCATCATTTTGGAAATCCTTTATTTCTTTTGGTAAATATTAGTCTGAAAATATAACATTTTCCAGTAAATAAGTAATATTTTAAATAAATAATTGTAATTATAAATAATAATAAAAATAATATTATTACTGAAAAAATTCATTTTCAAAATTTATCAGAACCATTATTTAGCAGATATCACTCTATAAAAACACAATACTTTATTCCTTTTTATCAAAACTTTAGGATAATCCTCCAATATCGGCTATAAAAACAGCAGTGGATCTATTTTCAGCATGTGTTGCAAGAGTGGGAGGTGATATAGAATTACCCAATTATATCGTTAATGATGGAAAATGTAAGACTCCTTATTCACATTCGTCATTGCAGCATCAAGAGATTCATAGATACATTGTTTTATATATATTCTATATTATTTCCAGTGTTCGAACGAATAGTGCGAATGTGTTTCGCGCATTTGGGTAAATTATTATTTGTTAAATTAAAACCAGTTGATTCGTTGAATATGAAATTAAAGAATGGAGAGAAGTGTCGCAAAATTGGCAAGTTATCTAGCAATTCTGTTATGTACCGTTTTCGTAAATGGAAAAAGTATAATTCGCTCGTCAAATCTTATTTAAACTATCTTCTCCTGGTAATTTTTTGTTTTATACTTTTGTATGTTTTTAGGGTTAAAAAAATAATGATAATTTACTATCGTTATATTATTATATTTCATTCATCCAGTTCTTGAATGAGCTACAGTCACCGGACGTATTGGTTTGTACACTTCATGCTATAACTGAAGTTATCAGTCTTTATGGCCATTTCAATAAATTAACCAGAAATCTTATCAAGGTTCTTTCATTTTCTTGGTTATTTTTTAAATGAATGGCTATTACTATTCTTCGATTTTATTAAACCTTTTATTACATTGAATTTGGTTGAAGTAATTTCGGATTCAGTTTTTGTAATTTTGTAGTCTCTTGTACGAATATGGAGTCGCAAAACTGATGAATGTCGCTGCGCAGCTTTTATAGCAATTTTTAAATTCATTAGATCCAACAAATCGATATATTCAGCCATTATAAAGGTTTGATTTTCATTAAGCAATTATTATATTATAAGAATATTCTAATTCTAATTTTAATATATTAATTTTCAGGCGTGTTATTTCGGATATGTAACGAATGTTCGTGAAGTTACACCTGAGTCTTGGCCATTAATTACTTTTATGCAAAAATCTTTTGCTGAAATTTGTTTTATTGATATAGCGATTTCTTACCAATATGCTTTCATGTACATAAGGCAAACAGCTATTCACCTTCGCAATGCTATGATCGCCAAACGGAAGGTATTAATATAAAAAGTAAGATTAGAAAAGAAAAGAACTCTGATGATAAGTATTTGTGGAATCAAGTTTTCATTTTCATACTTAATTCAAAATTTCGAATTTGAATTGTTTTTCAGGACTTAATTCAAACTGTCTATAATTGGCAATTCATCCAGTGTCTATATCTCTGGGCAACTGTCATTAGTAGAGTTGCTCGTTCGGAAGACCGCGTTTATATACGACGTGATGATATTTTTCAAAGATTGCACGGTTTAATGGAGCTTGCTTATCCGCTTTGTCAAATTACGATTGCTACTTTCAAGTGTTTTGTTTTTTTTTCGTCTAAACTTTTGTTTTTACTTTTAATTTATAAACAAATAATAATTCCATTAAGTCCCTTTTTTGGATTTCTTCTTTAGAAATTTATAGACATTAAATTCATAAATTTTTATTTTTATTTCTAGATTGTATCCTTCGCCAAAATTTTTACCATTAAAGTTGCACTGTATCCGTATTCTTCTATTATTACAAGTTAATTGCAATATTTATATACCAGCGCTTTCGTTAGCGGTTCAGGTATACTTTTGAATTTCTTATGCTTTATGCAACGAAAGATTTAAAATTATTTGTAATAGAGGGATAGTTTAATTCTTTACTAATATATCTTTTGTTTGATGCTTTAATAGTTTATATTTCATTCGATGTTAAGCAAAGCAGAATATAAAAAAGCAGTTGAATAAAAAGGAAGGAAATAATGGTATTTTTATCTCTTAATTTTGGTTCATAAAAATCTTTATAAACGAAATATAAAATAAATTTCGATTTTCAATTCGAAATATGATAAAGAAATAATTTGTAGCTATGTGACGATGCTGTCAATATGGTACTGAAAAAACCGAAAAAAGGAAAGGGAACTATTAGGGCGGTTGATATAACCTGTATGATAAAGGTAAACTCCGGAGCTTTTATAATTTAGTCGTCTTTTTCATTAGAATTGTTAATTCTATATAGTCTTAGTCTATTAAAATTTTTAGGCTTCATCTTCTCATATGGAGGAGAATGGATATAGACATAAAGCTTTAGATGCTCTTTTTAAAGTTCTGTTAGAAGCAGCATATATTCTTCGATCAAGCTGTGCATTTCCGGATTTAATTGTTCCACTGAATGTGCAAGTAAATTTTTACCCGTATCATCTTTTGGTTAGCTGCATGACGATCGATTTGTTTCCTTATATCACATATAATATGTAAGAGAAAAAAATATTTAAGTAAATATTTAAGTAATTATAATTAAATAATCATTCCTTTTCAGTGTCTTATAATTCAATAAAAAACGTGTAAATGTGTTAAAAAATGCACTATTTATAACTATTTATAACCATTTCAGATTAAAAGCTTTATCAGTCGTTGTCGATCAATTAAATATGCTAACCTTTTCAAATCTTTGAATAAAATGTTGAATGAGCATGCGCAACAAATACGTTTAATTATGGCTTCAAAGGATATAAAGCTTGATGATGAAGAGTGCATTGTATGTCCTTTTTTTGTAGTTATATTACTGCTCTCAAAGATCTTTTTTTTTTAAATCAATTAGATTTAAGATCAGAAGCGGATAAGACTATTATTGCAAATTATTATTGAGGGGGAGTAGCAAGATAGTATAGGTAGAATATATTCTTGTTGGTGGAGTAAAATTTTAGAGGAAAATATATAGGAAAGAACGTAAATTAAATATGGCCTTATGAAAAAAATGAAAAAACATGCGGATCACATTATGTCAACGCTTTCTAGCTATGACCCTATAACTGAATGGTATAAACCGAAGGAAAAAAGGGTAAAGGATTACATATATATATTTTGATGCTTTCCAGAATCATATTGAACGTGACTTGGAAGCTAGTGATTTGTCATTGGTAGCTTATTATAATTCATGGCAAAATATTTGGAAAATGCAGAATGATGCAATAAATGATGCAATGCAGAATAAGGCAAGTAAATAATTTCTTTTTTTATTAGAGATAATTTATAATGCTCTGATATTTTACAATTTTCAGACAACAAATAATGCAACAGGAAGTGATAAAAGAAGCTCTGCAGTAATAAAACCCAAAAAAGAAGATAAAAAAAATAAGGTATTTTTGAAATTTCATTTCACAGTTGAGTATGAAATTTTTTTTATTGCAGAATCTGCCAAACAAGAAATATATTCTTCCTAAAATCAACGGAAAACAAAATAAAGAACATAAAAAAGAGTATATGCCTGAAGAGAAAAAATTAAAACATGCAATCAAAAAGATGTTATTCTCGCATAATAAATATGACGATCAGTTGAAAGATCTTGTTTTATCTGATTCAGATGGTTAAAAGTGGTGTTTCTAGCGAATTCCATCAAACAGATATTTCTCATTTAATTAAATCAGTTGATTAATTATATACTAAATGAACTGAAATGAACTATCAGAACAATTTAAATTCTTGTAGATTTATAACTTGTTGAAAATTTTTATCAAAAAAATTTTTTTCTATCTTATTATTTAATAAAGATGTGGAGATGCAAACAAAATGCATTAAGTGGATATATGATCATTCATTTTCATGAATCTTATTAATAAAATAACTTCTCTAGCACTAAACAATATAAACAATAAAATTTGTATTTAAATAAGAAATGGACTATCAATCACTGCGGCCCCAATAGCCACCCCTCCTTTGTCGACATTTTCACCCTTACTTCGGAGAATATGACCATGGTTATAATTTTTTAATACGATTGTATCTTTAGTGGAAAATGAGCCGCTGCCATATAAATAACCATATATGCCGAGTTCGCTAATCACATTGATTAATTTTACAGGCTCCGAGGGCCGAATTACGTAATTCTACATAAATCAGTAAATTAGATTCGTTATTAAGTAAATAATTTATTTGTTTACATAATTTTTTTTTGTTTAACCTTTTTGGGGTAAAAATTTATTTTTTTATGAAATGAAGTTCATGAAAGATTTCCACCTTTATTGATTCTGGATATATACGTTCCATTAAAATGTGCGCCGCTTTTTCTTCTTCGTCCATTATCTCCAATTTTTCAGCAATTTCTGAACCATAATAATTTCCGGCGCCTCCTTCTAATTGTTGTTTTAACACATATAGATGTGGATTCGTTACTGCATCCTAAATTTTGGTCGTTTTTACGAAATATTTGCGAGGAAGGTGGAATATTTGGGAACAGAATTCAATATAAATTTAAATTCTAACTGCAATAATATCTCTCGTTTCTTTGTTATTTCCTTCCAATCCCCATAATCCAGCGAATGTGTCGCGCACCTTTGTGCATACCTCTGGAAATTCTGGTAGAAAACGTTCAACTACTCCTGGACGACATAGAACCTGCAATTCATGGAAGAACTGGTCACCACAGTTCATCATGATCACCACAGTTTTACTTTACTTCCTCTGGACTCAAAAATTTTTAATCAGATAATCAGTGTAGATAATCTATATTGTTTCATTCAAAAATATAAAATTTTACAAATTAACTTAAAACCTTCCTATTCTCCTTAAATTTTCATTGAAAATGAAATAAAATTTGATATCAACAATCAGATCTTGGTTTTGTAACTAATTAGAATATTGCTTTTTATCTCCAGGACAAAATTATCAATTAAAATTTTTAATTACTTTAGAATTTTTGAGAATAGGTCCTATATTTTATTAGCCTATTTAGAATATAATATCTCTTTTAAATTTAATAGCTCAATTTAATTAAAAGATTTATAAGATTTTAGTCACTGCAGTGATAATTTTTTAATGCAAATTTTAGTGGAATGGTTGAGAATTTAAAAAATCGTAAGTTATGCTGAGACTCTCTTCTAAATTCAACGAATTCATAGTATGAAATAATGCACAAATTTCATTTTAAAGATTTGCTAATTACAACCAGTTTTGTGCATTTACCTAAGATAGAGCCAGAAAAAGCAAGAAAAAACAGCAAAATTCAGGTTAGACTTAAATCTATGATCCAAAGTTCAATGCCTAATCCATATTGTACCTCAGATTAACGACATTCGTTAGACAAAATGTTTATTAAAAAATTTTTCTAATATCTAATTTTTTCATTTGCTATGACCCTAAAAGCTCGAAAAAAAAAATTTCTTTAATAGCCTGCTGTAGTTTTCTGCAAATTTACTCTTCATTAAAAAAAAGCTGCCACAGCTTTATAATATATATATATATATATGTATATATATGTATTATATTATATATAGTCGATGGAACTGTGAGGTGTTTTTTATTGGTTAATATTTAGATCAAAAAACTTAAATTCATCTATAGTATAGCTCAATATTACTGGTTAAACTCGTTCCACTGGCTTGTCGCATAGGACAATAAGCCAGGGAGTCCCTTGGCGATAGAAATACAAGTGAGCCGCCAGCACCCCGGATTTTTGTTTAGGTTTACTCCTGCGAACTTCATCATCGGCGCTCACAATTGAGCAACAACCCACTGAGCCATTCTATCCCCAAATATATCGTTATAGTATAACAATTTAAATTTTAAAATGAATAACACAATAGAATAACAATTAAAATTTTAAAATGAATAAAACAAATAAACTAATTATGGAACTAATCTGCCCTTTAATTTTAAACGATTATTTTTTATATATAGTTTTTTAGTTTATTATTTACTATTATTTTATTCTGTTTTTATTTAGTTCTATTATTAAATTTTATTTTGCTCTTTTATTTTTTTTTTCTTTTTCCCTTGGAACTTTTCTAAAAGAATCGAGTAATTTTCTACCAATATTTTCATTCCAAAACTGACTCCACGGTAAAAGGATCATACCGGAATCATATTCTGATTGGAAAATCCTGCTATAGTGGCTTATAAAGCTATCTTTAATCATTTCAGCTCACATATCACGACTTGCCATACGTGATGTAGTACATCGCTGGTTAGGATACGTTCTTCGCCGTCCATTAAAGGCTTCGCCATTGCAATTTTTTTGCTATTTCTGATGCTTATTCTTTGTTTAAATGAAAGTTATTTCATTACTACATCTGCGAGCCTTTGTGACAAATAGATGCAAAAGAGTGGTGCGAATATCGATGGCGACGATTATGGCAAAAATCACTGCTACCAAGAATCGAGGATTCGAATCCGGCTGATGCACCACATTTCGTCGAGCGGCCGTTTCGTCAAACGAAAGCAAGTAAAAAAAGAATGGCCTGCCAGTGGGTTATTGCTCAATTCGGATATTGAGATTCTACTATCAGTAGGAGTAAACCTATCTTTCAAAGAATCCAAATGATGCAACTCGTCTGTACTTCTATCTCGCTGGGGATTCCCTGGTACACTTATCTAAGCCGATAAGTCAGCGGAACGAATTTAATCGAATCTAAACGCTTACTCTTCTGAAAAAATAAACGAATACTATGATAACGATTAAATGGTGAGTGCTCTTAAAAAAAGTGGTACAGTTAAGATTTGAATCGGGATCTAATCACAATCTTTAACATAACGTAGGCAATATAGTTATGTTAGGACTTAGACAATAGAAAACGTTTTCGATATGAAATCGGATCGAGAGGCTTGCAAATACACCATTTTTGCAGCTATCAATATCAGACTTGATCTAGAAATGCTGTTATGAGAAGCATATTTCCATTATCATATTACAACAGTGCATTGTGTAAATGCTTTATATTTTTGTTATTAACATCGCTACTGCCCTGCTTACTCTTCTTAATAAATAAACGAATACTATGACAACGATTAAATTTAATTTAAGAGCTAGATTTAAGTCATTAAATTGAACGCTTTTGCAGTTTTTTTATGATAAAACACCATGAAAATATTGAAAAAACATGATAATGCAACATCTTTAATTATGCCATTTGCACCTAAATATTTTTAATTTACTACTTCTTTAAAAAAATTAAAATTAATTATTAATTAAAATTAAAAAAAAATTAATTAATTTTAAAATTAATTTATAAATAATACAAAAATAAATAAAAAATAATATAAAATAACATAATAACAAATAATCAAAAGTAAATAAAAGGACCTGCTGGACTTTTTTAGTATTTGCTACTTGAAGACCGATACATGGACATTTTATCGCATCAGAAAGTTCAATTTTACGACGGGCATTCCATTCAAATTCAGATGCATAATTTTCAGGTGAATAACCAGTACGAAAATAGACTAGTGATATTCTCATTTGATTATCCATTAATAAAGCATTGTTGTCAGACAAATAAAGCCTGAAATGAATAATTAATATGACGCAGGAATTTAAAATCAATGTGAAAGCAACTACTGGCTTTCCCATTCAATGTCACAATCAGAATCAAAGCGAAATATACCGCTCTTGTTTTTACTTTGTATTTTGACTTTTAAGGAGAAAGATGAAAAAATATTAAGTTTGAAAACCTATGTCCACATTCTGTTAAAGTTAATCGGACACATTTAATACGCCTTTTACTCAGTTCATCCAAGCGATACTCGACGTGACGTTGGTCCAGACGGTTCTGGTCCTCATTTTCAATAACAGTGAGGACAATAGCCGATTCGATTCCGAAATCTAACCTTAATTTTTAATTGGATTTAGATTAGGTTAAAAATTATCAGTCTGAAAAAAATTCGACTCAGCATAATGTTCTAAATTAATAATAATAATAAATAATAATGATTAAAAAATATAACTTAAAATTAAAAATAATTAATAATAATTAATAACAGTTAATAACGAAAAAATTAATTTATGGCAAAATGAGTGGGACGACACATATATGTTTTCTACTTATGAACAACTCTTCTGTTGGTTAAAAAATTCCTCACGTATGAAATATGAACAAATATAAAGCGAAAAATAAAAAAAAGAAATACCATGCTTGATAAAGACCGCCAGCGATTGTATCAATCGGTCTGTTCAACGGCAGGAATAATTCCAGTGCATTAGTTTTTACACCCAAATCTTGTAACACTCTCCTATGTAAAATAGTTGTCCGTTCAGCCAAGGCACCCATACTTACTGCGATATTATTTACTTCAATCTGCAGTGAAAAAATAAATCATAAATATACAGTTTTATAGAAAGACATTAACCATTAATATGCAAAGTGGTTCTGAAACCATTTCGAAATTTTTAATTATTAAATTAAATACTTGTAAATAATTTACAACAATCTTTTTTCCCAATGTATTAAGCGAATTTAGCAAATTGCAAGAAGAAAAAAATTTCTATCATGAAATCACCAAACATTCCGAATGAAAAACTAAAGAGATAAAATTAGAAACTAAAGAGATAAAGAGACAAAATTTTTTTCAAATTTATAATTATCTGAGATGGAAAATATAAAAAATTGTTTAAATGCATAAAAAAATTTTTTTTATATTGATATTATTTGACTTAATAACTTGTCTGAGTTTATAATCTCCTTTCGTAATGCTTCCATCAAACATATAATCCGATCGTTGAATAAGTAACATTTTCGATTGTTTGAAATCTGCATCACGAACTATTTTTAAAATATCAATAAGATTTCTAAAAAACGCATTTTATATGCTGTAATAATTTTTAAAATAAATTTATCAATGAGCAAAATTTTTATAAAACAATAAAATTTTAAATAGAAAATTGAAAATTTTCGAATACATCGAAAAAGAAATAAATGAACCTAGTGAATGCATCGGTTTTTATCACTTCTCTATGTGATTCAACGAGAAATTCGTAGTCCCACGATATACGAAAATATAATAAATTCATTGCCTAAAATATGAATTTATTAAATACAAATTAATACCAATTTTGTATCCAAATAAGCGATCAAACCCTATTAATATTCCTCTATTAATATTTTCATTGAAAGAATCCATTTTTTTGGTACCACTTCTCACTTACGAGTTTTTACAAATTCTTTTTCCAGAGACCAGCAAATTTCGCTAACCTGTTGCATTTCTAAAGCTTTTTCGAATAATTTACGAGGAAATGGCGTTGGAAAAAGAGTGAACGGTGCAAACTGACAAAAATCACTGGTTTTTTCACAAGAACCCTTTCGCATAACCATACCATTACCCTTTAAAATTAATTGTCAATGAAGACAAATAAAAATAAAAAATAAAAATTTTAATAATTTCAATAATTTAGATGACATCATCAAATTTGCCAATTTTAAATAATTTAAATAATTTGTCAAAAAATTGATCAATAATAACACGAAATGACTCGAAAAATTTTGAAAATATTTTCCATTTAATTAATTGATATAATTTAAAAAAAGGGATAGAAGGGCAAATCATTTCGACTAGCTAATCATCGTTTCGATTCCTATCCAATGACGAGAATAAATGTCACTAAAAAACTCGACGACAATGGGCATCCAGCAGTGTTTCCCTATCACTGAGTCTCCGAAAAGGATTGCCAGCAGTCGACTGAACGAGCCAAGGCAGAGATTATAAGCAGTGTGGCGAAGAAGGAGAATTTCTAAAAATGAAGCCAAGAAAACCATTTAGTGGAATTCAAGAATGAATTTTTAATTATTTACTGAGGAATTGACTGCATATAATTAATTTATAAATCAGTAAAAATCAACGAAAATTTTAAAATATAGCAAAAATAAATAAAAAAATAAACAAACATGCGCCCAGTCGATTGCATCTTCAATTAATATTTGCACTTTTTCACGGCTTAAAGAACCAATTTTTACTGGATAATTATCCATTTATTTAAAATAATTTCAATAATTTAAAAGAAGACAATTATTCTAAAATTATTATAAAAATATAAAATGTGTTTGCTTAAATTTTTTCTTACATTTCGATACTTTCCGCTTGGACGGACAGCAGTACTTTTCATTTGCAGCGGGAAATAATCGAAAAGCGAAAATAGAACGAAATTAAAATTAGAAAAGAGTTAGAGGAAATATTAATTTGAATGTGAAATAACTGGAAGAGCAGAGAGAAAGGGAAAAGGTGTCCACTTAATCGGAAAGTGCCCTACTTCTTGTTAAACTGGACTCCTAGAGAATCCATTTCGCTGAGGAAAACAAGGAAGAAAAAGATTTTGAAATTTACAAGCAACAACTTATAATCCCAGTTGCCAAGACTTTCATTTCTTTTTCCGCGATCGCGGCCATCTTTTTTTAAGCGATGGCCGCCGATGCAACAAAAGAATGCACACTCAGAACTTTGTTGATCGACGTCGTCCAAATCGGCTGTTGTCCATCGTTAAAAGATCGTTATCGATTATTAGTGATAACAGTCTCAATGGGTAGGCGGGCCAAAAGGTCGCTAAGTGGTTAAGGCGGGAGACTAGCGATAGGAAATCTGTGGACCAGCAGGTCGCTAGGTCAATTGTTCAATAAGTCAAAAGATAATAAAGGGAATGTGTTGTCAAAAGAAAAGAAAAATTGTCTGCTTTAGAGTTTTCTTTTAAGAGCACATAGCAGGCTTTAGAGTTGCTGGCTGGACTGGCTGACTCGTCATGCTAGAAAGATATGCCAGCGAGGTGGAAGTGCAAGTGAATCGCTACACGGATTTTTGTATCTCCTGCGGAAACTCAGCATTGGCGCTCCGAACTGCGCAGCACTGAACCACTCAATTCTGCTTTCTCATTCACAATAATTAATAATAATTAATAATCATTAATTACCTCTGAGTCACTCCTTTAGGCCGAAACAAATTTATTTATATTAAACAAATGTATTTCATGACATTATTAGTATTATTATTATTGTTATTATTATTATTAATTATTACTATTATTAATTATTATTAATTATTATTATTATTATTAATTTGGCGACATCACCGCCTGACAAAGCATAATGCGCCGACAGAATCCTAAGCTAAACCGTTTTCGATGTTCGGTGATATCTTATCTTACTAAAAAGCCACCGCAAATGAACATAATAGAATAATAATAAATAATTAATGAAAACCATGACAAATATATAATATAATATATATATATATATATTATATTTTAATCTAACGAGTGGAATTAAGATTTATGGATCTTTTATCGTCCTGTTAGTTTTAAATTTTATACCTTACGGCATAATATTTTCTCGATTTGTTCTAGGGTCGGTATGGGATTGAGTCAGTATTTTGTATCCAAATGGTAGTTCCAAATCATCATATGAAACTTTCTTTTCTAGATAAATTGTTCTAAGATATTGCAAGAAGAGGATGAAGCAAAAGATAAACATTAGGGGAAAAAATTGTAATAATAGAAAGTGAATAAAAGAGAAAATTGATATCTCGTTAGGTTGATGAGATTCTCAGAATTACTTGCATCGTGCACAGAGACGCTTGGTAATTAAGGTTGCAATAGCTGTAAAACAATGGTGGTAATGGTGATCAGATGAGAAAAAGATTATTTTATGAAGGCCTTTAAGAGGCACGCAATTTAATTCTGCAAATTCATTTATATTTAATCTTTTTTCATATCATTTCACGAAGAGATTAACCTTGTGATTCTCATAAATTCAAATGAAATGATCGACAAGAAGCTTAACCGAAAGCAATAAATCTGAAAAAATTTTTCACAATGATGCATTCGCTCATTTTTCTATTCTTTTTTCGGTTGAAACATCGAAAATCCCAAACAAAAAATTGGATAATGCAAATTGAACTGAAATGAATAATGCAAATAATGTGGTTAAGCAAAAAATAAAAATCAAAATTAGGCATCAAGATTGTCAAGTGGTAAGCTGTTTCGACTAAAGCCAGGCTGACCGACTTCCATGCCTAAAAAAAACAAAATGAAGAAAATGCTGAACTTCTATCTCCGGATGATTCTCTGGCAAAGACTTCTCACTTTAACAACCAGGGGAACCAGAAAACCAAAATAGGAGAAATATTAATGGAAGATGCAGATAACAAATAGAGGCGAAATAACGAAAAATTCAATATCGGTCTCAATTGACTGTCCTCAGGTGGCAAATGTGAAATCAATTTTTGATCGATAATCGAGGTGATTAGTAAAACAACGATACTATTTGATCACCTGTTCAAGTGCTTCGGTACCAAAACTTTCGCCCAAAATTGATAATTGCCAAGGAAAGTTTTATCTCTGATAATAGCTAATGAAATATTCCATTCATGAAAAATTTTTTAAAAAAATTCTTCAACCAAAATCCCATATCGTTCTCGCCAACTATTATTTTTAATTATTATTATTTTATTATTAATCATTTTTTTCAATTTTTTTCAACGACATTAAAATTAATAAAGAAAAAATGTCTAAATTTTATATTTTTTTTTGGCTGTGTATGTAAACTTTGGTTCATAATTTGATGCAGTTGAATTATTGTGGTTGAATGAAGATATGATAGTTTTTCACGAGATTTTAGCTATCAAACGCTTCAGCACCATTAGCGACGTTTAGAAATCGCTGTTGGAGTATTATGGCGATTGCTCTAGACGACTGATAATACGAAACTATTACGACCTTTTCATCAAACAATTGTTGTAAATCAGGATGAGACCTGTAAAATAATCCGAAACAGCCACTGTATTTCTGTCTATTAGGACCCTCCAAAGTATGGCGGAGATCGATGTTTGAGGCTGAGCATACCTTGATGACTACTATTTCGATCTGCCAACACAGATGGCAAATACATCATTATTCGAAAGGTCAACACGATGTAGATCATAATGGAGTTTTGTTCTCTTAAAGATATGAAAAGATATGATTTACTAATATGAAAAGAATTAACACCGGAAGACTGAAGAACATTTTCGTCTCAATTTCCCAAGAAGAGTAACAGCTCTTACTATGACAATACTGAGAAATAGGTATATTAGGCTTATGTAGGAAAATTTTTGCCGCACTTTAGCTCATCTGCTTAATTCTACGACATAGCCCATTATCTTTCTCATATGTAGTGGCCAAGAGAAAGATGAAATTCCCTCTCCGACAGCGCTGCACTTACTGCGGTTAAAGACGTTTTCTTCCGTGTGACTAAGCCCTTTTGCAATCGCTACAAAGTTAACCTCAAAACGAAAGTCTGTCGGGCCATAATACACGCATTGCTAAAGGCCCTGAAATTGCTTATCTTTTTATTTATTCTTGTTTAAGGTCATTTATCATTTGGACCCACCAAGCGGACAGAGACTTACGAGATTACTCCCGACATATGTGCCTTCTCTCGAATACCATCTGCATTAAGAATATTATCAAAAGGCATCGCCTACATAGATCTGGCCATTTTTTTCGCCGCCAAGACGTAGAGTGATATAGTCAGGAAGATTTTGAACGCATAGTGATATATGGGAGCGGCCTACTTTACTTTTACGAATATCGTCGGACTGGGAGACTTGGAAACTTATTACTATTTCTCGAGCAAAACATTCTTTTGGGAATTGGTACTCATAAAGACTGTGTTCCATGCACTTCAATAGACTGCTTTACGGACACCACTTGTCGGCATTCAAACGGTGTGCAAATCAATCCATAGCATAGCGTATCGAATGAATTGGAATAAGCTGGTGATGTGAAAAATTTGGTTATTTGATGCCCTTTTTACTAACGGTTTGAAGAATTATGCTACAAGAATTACAAGAATTACAGATAGTGCATTGATAAATACAGCTCGGGTGTAAAGGCGATAAAAGCCTTATCGTACCAGACGCTATTATAACACCTATGCTTATTAATGAAACATCGGCTGAAGATGATCTTTAAATCTTCTTCTTGAATGCAGCCCTGTACCAAATAACCAAGCCAAACAAGAAATTCCAACCCAAATAGCGGCAGACAATTTTCCCAAAACGTTTGAGAAGTTGCTGCAAAATCACCATCATAACTATTTACTCTGTGTTTACTGAGCTGCAATTCGCAATCTTCAATATTGTCAATGAGACTGGGAGATATCAGTAAGCTACATATAATACCTTTGCCTAAGATAAACTCTTTTGTAGCAGATATGATTGATTAACTTCGCTTGATTATCACATGTATTTTTTATTCTGATTATTGATTATCATATGACATCGCCGAGCAGCAGTTTTCTGCTTTGACCGAAGTGCATTATAGAAATTTAAATTTATTTAACTTATTATCTGCTGTGATGAAATTGTGCCATTTTCTCAATCTTCCATCCAGCGGAACCAGTTCAATCAGAATAGCACTAAGAAAAGAAAAATTATGAATTGAGAAACTTATTGCGATGGTCTACTGTTTCTCACTTGAGACCTTGGCTTTAATTTAATTATACTCGTAGCAAATTATTATAACCTTCTGCGATTTTTTAACTTTTATTTTTTTTATTTTTATTTTCCTTTCATTCCTCGAGGGCATTTTATTTCAGTAAATTTCCATTGGAACAAAAACAATTGAATTTTATATATATATATATATTCAACTATATCGTCAAATATATAAAATAATATGAGAATTATTCAGGAAAGAAAAATTTATCATCTCTTATCTTTATTAAATTATGCAAAAAAAATCACATTGATATTTTTTAAAATTTAATTTGATATTTATATTTTTTAAAATCAAAATAAATATTGAAGAGTTCGAATTCGAAATTTACGATATAACCGGGATTCTCCCTCGTATTAAACAAGATTTAATTTATACTTATAGGAGTCTGTATGGTTATATTAAACTAGATTGTTCAAAATATTATAATTTTAGGCTAAATTTAAATCCAAGAACTAATGGGCTAAAATCACTACTAAAAAACCTATGTGTAAACCAAACTAAGGACTCATGATTTCTTTATTCGTAATATTAATTACTGGAATAAATTACCGAACGATATAGCTTGTGCGCCATCCCTAGCTATCTTTAAAAAAGATTAGATAATATCATTTATGATTTTATTTAAAAAATTTACATCATGCAGGAAGTGTGAAATCTCGATTTTTACCATTCGATTATAATTATTTCGAATTGTACTATATTATATTGTAATTTTCTCTTTATTTCCTCTTCAAATAGTTAATTTTTGGTCATATTTTCTTTTTTTTTTATCATTAATTCTTATTATTTGTTATTTTAACTATTGTTTAATATTAATGCAAGCACATGGCGTTTAAATAAATCAGTCCAGAACACAGAAACATAAATCTTGAATATACTGATGATCCTTTTTGCTGACAATTATAAAGAAATGAAAATAATGCTAAAAAATGTGTAGACAACTGCAGAGGGAATCGGACTCGGGATCAATGTAAATAAAACAATGTAATGTAAATAAAACGAAAGCCTTTTCGTCTAATTTACAAGAAGCTAATAAAATAACTATTTTTATCAATTCACTGCCGATTGAGTAAGTGAAAGACTTTAAATATTTCGAATCCACTCTAATTTGATCCGAAATGGTGAGGGAAAAAATGAAATAAATATATTTTTTCCGGCTGACGAAATCTTTATGTCACCATAAAAATGAAAGTCCACGTCTAACAGTTGCGATTCACTCAATTTTGCTATATGGCTGCGAGACGTGGAAATTGAGAATGGAGGAAGATATTAAGAAGTTATCTTCATTTGACCATATTCGTTTAAAATAGATTTTACGGGTCCACCAATTGGATAGAATTTCACATGATTGCATACATCACAGAACACCGGTGACTGATACATATTTCTTGTATCAAAGGCAAGGGAAGGGGTCAATCAAAACCTGGACTGACAGGTTAGGAAAGATTTTGCACATCTAGATAGGCCAGCGATATATGAACAAAGACGCTGGAAAAGGAATGGGGCTTCTATTACTATCAGTGATGGCATTGAACCGAACAACTTGGATATCTTACTTTTGTAGCCAGCGAAGTCAGCCAAACCAATAATGATGGGAGCTGTTAGAAGAGGAGATAGTGTTGATTAACGGACGAAAATTAAATATGCTTGACCTTTGTCGAAGCAATGCACCATTCCACTACTCCACCTCTTTAAGTTATTCTCAGTGAGGATTGAAGTCCACATTAATTTTTGTTGATCTTTTCTTTAAAGAAAATGATTCGGGATGAGAGCGAATTATGTGGAATACAACCGTAAATCTCTCGAAATAATGTATGAGAATTTGCAAAATTATATTTGTCCGCAAAGTGGGAACTTTTTCAGTTGAATCTGACGGCACTTCTTGGCCCATTATTCATTCATGCCTTTATATCGATGCATCAATTAGACGGTTAAAACATGGGTTAAGAATGTGCTATTTACTATATGCTATATGCTGACTTTTTCTACAAAAAAATCAAAAAGATATTCGCAGTTATCATAAATCATTATTATAAGATACGAATGGTACGAATCATTATAAATATAATCATCGTTATAGATAGAATGTAATGGTTCAAACTGAATTTATCTCCTCACGCAGGCAGCAGTGAAGAGGCGAACCACTATTCACGGGTTGGCGAACCACTATTCAGAATATTTCATATGTGGCTCGCCATTTCTAGACAATTAGAGCGGCTAATCATCTGCAATAGAAATAAGCGTTGTCAGCACCTTTCGGATTTTTAAATGTCAGATGTACACCTTCCATCCTCGCCCTTTATTTTGTTCTCTGGAGTAAGTAAAATAATATACTAAAATAATTCCTGAAAATTTATTCTTTTATTACGCCTTTATTATATTTGATGTGTCGATTTGCTAATATTCATGTTATTATTAATATCAACATTTTTTGTAGACGTAACGATATTCTGGAAAAAACTGCAAAAGAAATTCGATCAGCAACAAGTGCAGAGGTTTCGCTTCAGTTTGATAAGGCTTTTGACAATACAGAAATGAATGAAAGCAAACAAATAACAAACTTCTTTAATTATTATTAGTTGAATGATTGTTTAATTATTGGTATTTCCTGTAGAAATAGATGTCCGTAAACATGACCAGAAGCCGTCGATGAGACTGTAAAAATTCGGTGAACTACCTTTGGTTTTGGTGAATGCCGTTGCCGGTAATTTTATAATGGTTACTGAACCAATTACTGAACCTTTTTGAAACGATTATGCTAGAAATTGGCAAATATATTATCAATAATTTAGGCAATAATATTTCACAATATCCTTTCTTTCGCGTACTTTTCTTGCTTTTTGCTACTATAAAACTAATTTTTTGGCGATTTTTTGGATATTTAACTATCACTTCTTTATATTTCTAAATATTCAACTTAGCATTCATAGTAAAATTAAACTTTTCTTTTTATATTTATAAAATATTTTCTTATAAATGAATATAAATATTAATATTAAATACTATTAATAAATATAAATATTTTATCATTCTTTTATTAAATCACATTTTTGCAAAGCGAGTCACTTGTACCACAAATAAATTTTTAGAAATGGTTGTGTAGTCTCGTCAATATCAACGCCATATGCACAGAATGGAGCACCATTCATTTTGCCAAGTACTGTTACTAAAGGTGGTGTAGAAAATTTCACAAAAACGCTTGTAACAGAATGGGCAAAATATAGTACGCGAATGTGATCGCTCCAGGTCCAACTGAATAATATATTATCAATACTATTTTGGAGAGCGATGAACACGATTATCAGCTATGGTATTAAAACAAGCTACTCACGTCGCACATATGATACCTTTAGGCCCTTATGGACAACCTGAGGAAATTGCAAATCTTGTGGGATTTATATGCAGTGATTTCGGCTCATGGCTAAGTAGATCTTTTATTAGTCAATTTTTTGTCGTCAATAAAATATTTCGCATCTTTTGTCCGTCAATTGAGATAATTAATATGGACGCCGTCAACAATTTTTTAACCAAGGAAGCTTATTTGGATCTCACTGGAATATGAAATGATAATTGCAAATTGGCAAGAAATTGAAGTGATGAGCGAAAAATAATCGGAAGATAGTAAGCAGCCTTTTTTGCAGTTATTCTTAAGAATGATATGCCGTTTTGAACGCAGATGGTATCACAGACTCAATAAGACTCAATAATCAATCGTTAAATCAACTTTCGCGTTAAATTTCTTTGACTTCAGTTTAATTTTTTTCTCATATCTATTAAATAAATAACCAGTGGGAAAGAATGTTCCTGTTTGCTAAGATACCTATTTTAGAATTTTTTAGAATTTATAGATTTACTACTTACTACTACTATTTACTACTAATAATTTACTACTTTCTATGAAGATATCAGCTTATAATTTTTAATTACTCTTTAATTGTTTTATTTTTAATTTTTATTAATTATTTTTAATTAATTTAAATTCAATTATTAGCAAGCAAATTGGCTAAAATCATGACTAATAAAATAATCCGAATTTCGGTTCGTAATTTGTGAGGGTTTGTTGCAAGCTTTTAATTTATTGCAAAAATCAAATTGTAATTAATTAGAATATGTGACCAATCAAGACCTGGATTGATACAGTCGGGAAAGATTTTGAAAATTCAGCGATATATGGACTTAGACGATGAAAAAGGGAATAATTTCTATTACTACTAGCGATGGAGTCGGACTGAGCTTGGAGACATTTTTTCCTTGTAGCCAGCGAAGCCAGCCTAACCAGTAATGGCGAGAGCTATCAGAAGAAGGAAGAATAAATGTGAAAATTTGTTGCAAAATAATAATTATCTCTTCTCTTATGTATTAAATATTCAATCAGAATTATGAAAAAAAAATTTAATTTTTTAATTTAATTTAACAAATTATTCCCAAAAAAAATGTAAGAATAAATTTTAAACAATGGGTTCGGAAGACGCAGCATTCTCCACATTATAACCACTAGTATCAGTTTCTGATGATATGTGCTGGTCGTTTAAATTGGCATCGGATAATGAATTATATGCAATTTCGCTTCTGTGGAATGAGGAATGAGAGAATATGTCGAAAAACAAGTTTAAACAATCTGAAATGAAAAAACAGGATAGAAATCCTCATTTACCACAGATGTGAACAATGGGTTTTTCTCGGAAATTTTAATTCATGTTGTTTCAAACAGATATAAGAATGTAATAGTTTCGATTATGTCCCTTTATAACAGAATCTCTGATGGGAACTCATCTTAACACTATTTATATTTATAAAAGCACTTAAAAATAAATTTTCAATATATATATATATATATATAATTCTGCTCACCTAAATTGAGCAAATTTTTGGAAGAAAATCGTTCTCTTATTCGATCACTGTCGATATCGGTTAAAATTGGATTAGTAATGATATTATTCAATAATGAATATTCTTTATCAACACCTTGATTATATCGTTCCTGAAAGTTTTGCTGCTGATTCTACAATATAATTCGGCGAAGAAAAATAATACTATTAATGTTTTTATTGTTGTCACATCAAAAAATGTTAAAAGATTTCAAAATGCCAAATGTCAAATGTGAATGAAGAAACAAATAGTGATAGAAATGGAACAGGAATATCAAAAATAAAAAAAGGGAATAAAGAATTATTTGAAATAAATTTTAAATTTAAATTAAATTTTATAAATAAACTAAATTTTCAAGCACTAAGATTTGTATTCGTTTGTAAATGATATGAACACCAGTTAAGAATTCAGGAATTTACAAAAAAAGATAAATGACTTACTTTTACAACTTCGTATGCATCCATGATAATAGCTATGAAAAGGGACAAAACAACGTAGATAAACAAAGAAACAAAAACGTATATATATATAGTGCCGATTAATTTAACCATTGGATTGGTAGTATTTATGGTGAAAAATGTTGCAAACATATCATCACCATTTAATAATGAAAAAAGCGCTTCAGATGAGCTCACCAGCGTTCGAAACTTTAAAAATTGCTAGACTCGAAGAGAAATTTAAATTTCTCTTATAAATTTAAATTTATTCGAAAGAGAAATTTAAATTTAAAGAATTCGAGAATTATGAATGTAATCATTTTAAAAATTATTATAAAAGAAAACAATAGAATAAAAGACCCAAAACATTTTTTCCAGTGCTTTCTTCTAGATAAATATTTGATTACAAAAAATAAAAAAACGATGAATTACTTATTAAAGAAATTAAAAAGAAAAGAATATAAAAATGCGGCACTTTTATGTTATATGGTCCAATGATAATCCAACCAGCTATCAGAAAACCCAAATATAGAACGGCAGCGCATGACATAAATCGCAAAATATTTGGTAGTGATTTTTTCATCGTTAAAATCAGTATCTAAAAAAAACCCAAAACAACGTTAATTAACGAATTGTTGCGCCAAATATGACAAAAAACTGAATAAAGGACCTTAGCTAGAAAAGAAATTAAATTTTTGTAGGGATTACATTATACTTTGAGAAAAGTCCAAAATATCGCAATATTCCCATATATACAAGAAAAGCACCAATTCCCAAAAGTACACCGGTAGCTGTGAACAAATCGCTATCAAAATCCTACAATCACCATTTTCATTGAACTTTATTCAACAAACAAACGGATGACCTGTCCTTTCCATAGTAATAATTAACATTAAATGAGAACTTCATAAAAAAACTTACTCGAAATTCTATATTAATCTTTGAAATGGTACCAGATATAATGCATATATCGTTAATCAATATCATTACGTACCAAAGATTTAAAAATTCGAGACGATCACTAAGAGTGAACTCTCTTTTCAAAATGTTCTCGATAAAATTTTGCGTTATCTGAAAATTACTCCATATGCGTGTGTGTGTGCGTTATTTTTAAGACCATTACTAGTCAAACTCGCTCTTCTGGTTTGTCGCACATTCTAATATACCGGGAAGTTCCTTGGCAACAAAAGCAAAAGTCTTCAGCATCACCCGGACTTTTGGAGGGTTTTACTCCTGCCAGAAATAGAATCTAGCATCTGCGCACCGAATTGATCCACTGAACCGCCATTTCTACCCTTTATCTTTCTCCTTACGACAGTGTTGCTCGGCAAAGAGTGGTAGAGAGTGGTTAGTGGATTCAAACCTAAGTCTCGATTTTCGCAATTATCTTGCCACTGAGCCACCATATAATTGAATTAATATATATATATTTTTTTAGTATACTTTTGTATACTTAAAATATTTTATACTTACATGCTTCATATTTAAAAAAAAATATAAAATATACTTTTTTTAGCAAATGAGCACGAATCAAAGCACGACAACATAAAATCAATGATGCAATACACAGTAAAAGAACGAATATGTCAACAGTTCCAGTTAGAATTGCATTGTTAGCCAAACTTGTGCCTTTAATAAAAAATAAATGGATAAATGAATGAAATATAAAAAGTATCCTTTAGTTTTTTTAAGTTTACATTTTCTTGGTAATATTTTCCTTAAACCTGGTTCTTGCTCCTGAAAGAAATAAGCCAGAAGTTAAAAATTCCTAGAGATGCTAATGATCCATCTCTAGTTCCATGATGATTCTTTGAGAGTTTCTGATCATAAGAGGAAAAACTTAACCAGAAATGATGAGAACCCACTACTTTCTATAGCCAAATAAATGGCAAAAATTTTTTTTCATTTTTGCTGCTTATTGCTACCGGTACTACTGTTTTGCTACTGGGAATCTGGATTTAATAATGAAAGAAAATTAGAGTTCGATAATTTTTAATAAAAATTTTCGAATGTTACTGATCAAAGAAAGAAACAATACTAGCTATCAAAAAACAAACCTTTTAAAACACGACCATTACATAAATTAATGAGACTAATTACCGATGATAAAGAAATATATACTTGACCAGTATGTCGCGAATTATCGAAGGTAATGGCAACCTAAATTACTGAACATCGATTTAAAAATTTGGCAAATATTTCTTTAACTAAACCATCTATAAGGTTCTTCATAACAAAACTCAAATTGAAATGACTGGTAAGCCATCACCGATTCGTTATTAATATTTTTTTTTATAAAGAATATATATCGAAAAATTAAAAAAAAGAATAACCGAAATTAAATAACATTCTGGCCGCTGTTCAGAGGAAACTGGACTAAAATGTATTGTTCGCAAATTGAACGATAATACTGCTTTGGAAATAATTAAAGCATCCTCAGGTTTAAAGGTAATACCACGGTTTGTGAAAAATTCTTTTAGCGACAAGGGTTCCTTCTGGATTTCTCGTATTTCATTTTCCGTTAAATTTAACAAAAAACAATCTGAAAACCGTTAAAGTGAAAAGATTATGAGCTAAATTTTAACCATTGAGATGTAAATCCATTCGATAAAAAAGTTCTGAAGCAAAAAAAAACGCAAAATTTACCATGAATATCAGAAATATTAAATTCGTAGGTATGATTATATACGGCAACATTGGCTATACGGTCAATGCAAAGAACTGGTGGAGGAATTTCATTAAAAGAAATTTCGATTGGAGCAGTTGCATTAGATCCTTCTAAAAATTCCTTATTGGCTTCGCTTCTTTGATACGATAAAGGAATATCATATGAAAAACTGGCGAAAGTATCGTCTTGAATGAAATAATACTGAAAATTAATTTCGCAATAATTTCGAAAAAAAGATTATTGAATAAAATAAAATTGAAAAACAATCCAAGAATTTTCATTAAATTCTGATAAATCTTATAAAAAATTTTTTTCTAAATTTTTCTCACCATCATTTCTGGTTAATCTCGCTCATCTAGTTTCTCGAAGCCGACAAATCTTGCCAGGGAATCAATTGCCGATAAAATACAGGTTAGTAACTCGGATTTTTGAAAGAATCAAGTTTACTCAACGGAAATAAAACTCATAATTATAAAATTATAAATTATATATATATATATATATAATTTATAATTTATATATATATATAGCTATATATATAGTTCTTATTTTGAGGGAATCTGTCACTTCCCACAAACCAGTGCCGATGTATGTTAATAAAACGCCTTTATGAGTCGAATAATCTTCTCTGGAATACAGTCACATTCATCACCTTCCAAAGTACAACTCTATCAATCGAAGGTAGAATCAATGAAACAAGTGAATTGCTGATATTTGAAGAGATATAAATATCTTCCAGGGTGGATGTCAGCTCAGCATAGTGATCTGAATCCAGCTTTATTAGGGTGCATCCTGCTGCCTTGTATGCCACAAATCTTTTTAGAGTGAGGAAAATGGAAATTTTCCCAACGAAGTTTAGGTTGATTTCTCGATAATCGTAGTATGTCCTGTCACTTTTCCTGGGAATTACAAGCAGAATTGCTTTGCTCCAATCATCTAGCAATATTTCTTTCTTCCATGCCAGAGAGTAAAATTATGGATAACAAAATTACTGCTTCTTCTGTCGGAGGCTTGCTACTGCAAGCATGTGGTTCAGCGAACGTATCAGCTATATCAGAGGCAACAGATGATGCTTCATGGCCTCAAAGTTTACCCGTTCCATCTTATGAGAAGGTCCTTAATACTCCTTAATAGGCACACCATTGCTATCCCTATCCCATTTCAATGATTGTTCTTCGAGTTATAGTTGCTTTATAAAGAAGGCGGAATAGTTTCCTATTATCATCTAATCGAGCGGCGATCTCCATTCTCAAGGCCATATTGTTCCAGTAGCGATTTTTATTCTGCTTTGCTTATCTCGTGTTTCTTCGAAGTATCTGGTAGTCAGGATATCTTGACATAGGTACATTGATAATCATTTCAGATAGTTGGACAGTTTCTTCCGACATCCAACTAGCGCATTTCCTACTAGTACATCTATGAAAATGGCTTTCAGAGATATATTCATGTCACCAGTATTCATATATTCATGTATTCATGTCACCAGTATTCATCTACCATTCCAGAGATGTCATTAATGTTTATTTCACTTTTTATTTCACAGAGGCGTTTCAATAATTCGGTTTGAAAATAATGCGCTTAGTATCGCAGAATCTTTGAGATAGTTGGAAGATCGTTTTTTGTGAGTTTTATTCGAATTTTGAATTTGTCTATAACATTATTGTTCCATGAAAGTTACCAGCTTCAGCGCCCCATTAGGAACGACTATTTCTCTTGCAGTGGGGACTTATTAAAATATAATTAGTCTAGTTAGAATATTGGTTATCTGAAGAGTTCAAGATGATTAGATGCTTTTTCCGATGTCGGAAGCATGTATTATTAGTAATAAAGAGCTAATGCTGTTCGACAAAGCAAAGGCGTTCTCCACTGGCGCATCTGATCCCCATACCATATTTGCCAATAAATTTGAGTTTATCATGGCAATATCATGATCCACGCATGCATTCTATTCTCTCCGATTATGACTATGAGATATTTTTCGGTAGAGATATTGTTAGAAGTTGAAGTTCCGCATAGAGCTTATGTTTGCCATTGGTCATCTGCATTTAAAGTTGGAACATATAAATGACCAAAATATCGCAGAACTTTCCTTTGAAGCCAGCATAGACTATGCGATCGTTTACCAGCTTCAATTCAATGAAAGAGGACCTTTTTCATACAAGAAAATCGCTAAGCCATTTCGCATCGAGCTATCTTAGAATGGTACATCACAATAATATAGTTAATATCTCTGCTCGGAGCCAGGTTTATAATTACTCGAGACCCGAAATGAGGAAGACCGACTTCTTAGAAGTATGCGACATCTACACGGTATTTAAAAAGTGTGGACAGTGGTCGCTTAATTTGCAATGTCTATAAGCATTTTCACGTTTTATGCAGCTATGGCCAACACCTCGCCTGCATGCGGAGTATCATTTTCTCAGACAGTTTCTCGTTTTCTTTGATATGTTTCGAATAATTACCCTGGTTCGCGAGCACACTCTATTTTTAATCCTTGGCGTCATTTTACTGCGACCGAATTGCATAGTTAATACACGTACCACCGGGCGGACGTATCATATGCGTCAAAGGACCTGAAAGCCCTCATCCTTTCACCATAGTCACTTGGGGAAAGAGTCGCAAGTCCCCAGCAATCACCTGGATCTTTGATTTGGCATGTCTACCAAAGTTAAAAATAAGCAAAAAAAGAAAAAAATTAAGGGTGAAAAAAATAAAGTTGAAAATAAAAAGAAAAAAAGCAAACTTAAAAAGGAAAAAAAACGATTAGTTTATTGATCTATGGGAATAAAAACTATCATTTCGTTTTTTCCTACGTTTAAATGACCTAATAGTTAAATTTAACACTCCAAACTATTTTTTCTTACCATTATTCTATTTTAAAAGTTGAAACCAAAAGAAATCGAAAATCTAAATGATAAGGTCCGAACTCGAGCGAAAAAACTTATTAAAAACTTTGGAGGATCAGCAAATCATCACTGTTTAACATAACTATTTCTTTAAATTCACCGCATTAATCATAAATGCGAAATGGTCGATAATATCACTGCCAGTGTAAACTGAATATCGTCCACTCGATGGAGGATAAATCAAAGCATCACGCTCATCAGTCCAACTTTTCAAAAATTTATGCCTTAAAACTATATTTGTATTATCCATAAAATCAACATGAGCCATACGAAGTTCGGCAAATAATACCAACTGAAAATAATAATTATTAAAATAACCATCACGCATTACCAGAAAAAATTTATTCACAAAATTTTAATAATTAAAATTTAAAAATTGGGCAATGAAAACAATAAATATTAAATAAAATAAAAGGTATACTTTCTTTATCACTGCTACTTCCATATATTCTGCTTTAACAAATTTAAATAAACAGCAAATAGATTACCTGTATTGTAATGAAAATGATTTTGAGAACTTGAAGAAAAAGTTTGAAAGGAAATTGATGACGAATTCTCCACTTTTTCACAGGATCCATAAAAAAAAATTGAAGATGGCGCATTATTCGCTCACCATATTCACAGTCCTGCTCAGACAGGCCAGCAAACACATCGATGTAATTGAAATAATTGGAATTATAAGCGTCTCTCGAAGTTCGTCGTCTACAAAATCAGAATTTTCCATTTTTTTCTCTCGCACCCAGAATTATATCGTCAAAAATTCATTGTTATGCTCATGCTAAATTAAAAGAATACTTGACTGAGTCTAGCTAAGAGGATTTCTAATATCAGTTTCCAAGATAAATAAATCGCTGAAATTACTTCAACTACGAAAATAAATATCTTTAAGCCCCATTTAACTCCAATAAACCAATCTCTAAAAAAGTAAAAAAACAACGTACGATGGATTAAAAGTGCCACAAAACCTACAACCGATCATTACTTTAGAACCCAACAGTTCGCAAGCAAACCGCCTGTTACCTGGAAAGATTAACATTTCAGATAAAAATTTCAGCAAAAGCTAAAATTTTTGACACGAAAATTGCGAATAATTTTATATTATTTTGCAAATATATTTCAAAGCTTGTCTTTGATAAAGGGAATCAAAAGCGAAAAAGACCTACACCGATGCGGTCAAGCGAAATTTTATACATATTAAATATAAGCTCAGCGATACCTTAAAAAGTATTTTCGATGAACGATCCTAGTAGGGAAACCAAAATACTTTGAAAAATCCAAAAATCTCTAAGCAAAAATTTAATTATACAACTGTTATGGAAAATGGATAGAATAAAAAATGGATAGAATAATAATGAAAAATATCCTTCACAATTTTTACGAGTCAAGATGGCTCAATGGTCATTGCTTAATCGTTTCAAGTACCAAAATTCAAGCTTTGATTCTGACAGGAGTAAAACAAGACGATGCTGGAGACCTCCAATTGTACTACTATAATATATCCCCTGATTGATTCCCTGATAAAAATTCCTGGCAAATTCTTCATATAAACAGCCCGTGATGGGAGCCTAACCAAAGTCGATGAGCGTCAACTATTTGTTTTTTCACTTTAATCACAATTTGAGAAAAAAACTTGAAAATTGTAAAAAAATTAATAGATGAAATAAACTAATTGCTTTCATCATAAGTTGAATTAATAAAAAAAAATTTATTGCATTTGGACGAATAATAGCAACCATATAAATCTTACAAAATTTTCTAGCAGATCATTATGAACATTTCTATTTCCTCAAAATTTTATCATATTCCAAACAACGAAAAATATCATATATAAATTTATATATATAAGATGTGAAGACTAGGAAATCCTTCATAATGCATGGAAATTCTACTACTATATCATTTAAACTATATACCAGCCGGAAAGAATTAGAGTGGAGCTTAAAAGCCATTATCTTGAACGAAACCCGAAACATTCAGACTTAGCAATCAGCAAGCATTCAAGAATCAGCAAGATGGCACCAATGGATAAATTACTGAAATAATGTCTATGGCACCTATAGACAGCCAAAGCAAGATTCTCCATGGATTACAACATCAACAGGTAACTGAGGTGGCTGACACTAAGAAACTTTACGAATGGAAAAAAAAACTAGATTGAAAGATAACAGTGAGGACATTACCACATTAGACAGGACACAAGGTGCAACTGTGCAAAAATCCCATAAACAGTCCAACACATAGCACCAGGATTGATGTAAAATACAAGCAGAAACAGCTAGTACTTGTCTGGATTTTTTATTTATTACATTATATTTATATTTATATTTATAATTACATTTACATCTATATTTACATTTATATTTACATTTTTATTTATATTTATATTATGTTATATAATATTATATTATATTATTATATTTATATTTATATTATATTATATTTATATTATATTATATAATATTATATTATATTATATTATTATATTTATATTTATATTATATTATATTATATTATATTATATTATATATTATATATTATATTGGACAAATAATGGTGGTTGAAATAGAAACTAAAGACCAAAGAAAGAAATGAAAATGAAGTGGAGAGTAGACCAGTAATAATTGGAATACTAGAAGCTATGATCTCTTAACTAGAAAAATAGTTTAGCAGATTCCAGGAACAAAATTACAGATTTTTATTTAGAACATTACTATGAACAGCTAGGATACGGCGCAGAATCCTCAAACTCCCAGCCCTTTGATAGAGGACCCGAGATTGAGGATGACTCTTTTTTTCATTTAAATAATAATGATCTATTTTCAAAAGATTATTCGAAAGAAACATATAAACAGAGAAAAACTAGAATAAATATGCAAAAAAATATATATAAGTATTATGATACATAGGTCTAAAATTATTTTTTTGCCTAAATAAAAATATTAATGAATTTTCTCCTCATCAACATAAAAATAGGCGATTGCGGACCATACATCTTCATAGTCCAAACGAGATAAAAAAGTTGATCGTAACTGAAATAAAGACTTCAACTAAAATAAATATTTATATTAGTCAAGACTTTTGATTTGTATTTAAAAGCTTTACGCTTATTGGTATTGGTATTGGAAAACATCGAGATAATATTTTCGTCGAAAATAAACGAGATTTATTATTTTTATTACACATACGATATTGCTTATAATATTGTTAAATTTCAATAAGAATTCAATTTAAAAAAAAACTTGTATTTCCGCCTGACTAATGGCAACGCCTTCAAGATTTTTTGCAAGAATCGTTTCGGAAGCATATAAAAGCATAACATCATTTAAATTTTCCATAATTTTCCTTTCGAACTAGAATTATGTGTAATTAAAAAGAGCACAAAAAAATAAAAAAATTGAAAATAATAATTCAGATATCACAAAAAAACATTTTTTCAAGAAGAATGCAAGAAGAAAAATGGATGTAAATTTAGAAAAAGTAAATAAAAGGATACCAGACGAATTTTATCACCGGTACCTTGTTCCAGATGTCCTAATTTCGAGATGCCTTCTGTACTAAATAAGAAATCGATTCCGCTACCAATCAAATATTGTTTAAAATCTTCCCCAAATCGAAATAACGATAAACAAATTAAGTTAGCAGCTACATGCGGCTTCGGGCGCTAAAAAGATTTTGTTTAAATTATCAAAGGCTGATAAATTGCCGACATTCTATGAATTTAATCCACCAAATTATGTGAATAACCCAGTGCAGTTATATTAATTACTGGAAAAATCAAATTCAAACTTTTTGGGGATCGATTCGCAACATTTCTCGAATAATCATTTTTACTGCATAATGGATTCTCCTCGGAAGTTGCGGAAGTTCAAATTCCATATAATCATAACTTTTCATCTGTTTATAGAAAGGGTTCATCCTGAATACCAGTAAAATGAACGAAATGAAAGAAAATTTTTTTGGAAAAAGCTACAAAAAGATAAATAGCATAAAGACCAGCAAAAAATGACCTGGTAAAGATTTCATAGCCAATCGTTCCTGCAGCCCAAAGGTCAGCCATGCTAAAATTGACGAAATGACCGATGCCTGGCACAGCTCGTCGAACCTGAATATCTAAAGGCAGATTTCAATTCAATAATCAGGAATATAAAGAAATATGAATAAAACTCTGAATAAAAGAAAAAATTAAGAAAAGTAAATATATATACTTCTGGTGCACGAAGAGATAGATTACCACCTAGATTCACCTCATCATTAGTATAATTAACCAAAAATGATCCTGTGGCTAAAGCACATCCAAAATCAGAAAGAACCAAGTGTGGAATATCACCTAAACAAATAGAAATTAAAGAAATAAAATCATAAAACAAGTACCATCGAATATCTGTCGCGTATTTAACAATATTAAAGAATAAATAAAGAAAAAAGAAATCTGACTATCGCAGTCGAAGTCCAGCAAGATATTATCCGATTTCATATCACGATGACTTATCTGGTTATCGAAAAGAAAAACAATAGCTTCAAGTAATTGACCAAAAAGAACACGACCTGTCCAATAATTTCGTTTTCTAGTCAATATATATTCTCGTAATGTCATACGATATCTGAAGAAAAAATGCTTTATCATGAGTAATAATCGAATTAGTTGGAAAAATGGCTAAAGTCAAAAAAAAAACCTTTTCATAATGATAAACATTGTTCGCGGCTCTAATAATGTATTACCGTGGAAAGTTGCAGTTGGTAAAGCTTCCGGGTATAAATTCTGAGCTTCTTCGAATATTGGCATGCGATCAATGAATGCTTTATACATTTTCACAATGTTGGGATGACAATGAGGCAAAGTACGAAGGCTGCAAAAAATTTTTTGCAAAAATTTTGCAAAAATATAAGTCAAATCCCCAACAAATTCTTGAAATATTTTTAAATTTTTTTCAATATAATTACTTTATGAAGCGATCTCTAAGTAAATGTTTCGCATCATCCAACGGAATTAATTCATTACACATATCCAACCATAAATAATGTTCAGGAAGATCGAAATCATAATTAAACATGATTTTCAGAGCGAGAGGATAGGCCTGGAAAATAAAATTGAACTATCATAGCATTCTGATTAAATCAACGATTTTAAAACGGAATGTACATAACATTAGTAGATTTTGTGATTTTTAATGCAACTTAAAAAAATTTTGATACCTTCAATCGAGCACCTACAGAATAATCTCTAGAAAAATTTGATGTAGAAGGAAATTCGTGATTTTCCAAAGGCGCATTACTTCGACGAATATTCAAAATTGGTTCTTTGACACGAAGTTCATAAATTGCTGCATTACATCCACAAGCAATATTTGACCCTCAAAATCAAAAAATTAAATTTGAATTGGTAAATTATATATTAAGTAAATTATAAGGTTTTAAGAAGGAAGAGAGAAATATCCTTTTTAATTACAGATACAGATACAGATACATTAGCCTAACGTGTGATTCTCGAATATTAAGACTCATTTACAAAAAACTAACTGGACATTTTGAGACCAATAAGTTCCATGGATTTGGATTTTGCATCGAAAATCTATTGTCTCAGAACTATCGGAAAACCTTTGAGATTTGTCTGAATCTATGGACCATGAGCAAATATTTACTGTAGATCACCACAATGCTGTCGTTACGCTCCCACATAAAAATTTACTATCTATTTATGTGGGTGGAAAACTATTGAAAAGATGCAAACACTATTAAGATCGCTAGTAAGCTATCAAGAAGTGGTTAAAATCAGATATCTAAAGAAAGATAGCTGCATTGGTCCTTTCTTCTCGATTAATGGTATTAAAATCACAGCACTGAGTCGCAAAATCTATTAATCACATGAAAGAATCCCTTATCCCTGATGCAGGACTTAAATATAATAATGAAATTATTTAAGGATAACTAACCCTTTCCATTGAATGCTAAATCTTAAATATCGATTTGAAAAATTCTGTTTTTTTCTTCTCTCTCTGTTATTTATGGGCTAATAATACATATTAATTAAATATCTGCTTTTGATAAATGACCTGTCATCCGACTAGTGTATAAATAGCCAGGTTTTGGGACTATGCACTTTGAAGCAAATAATTCGATTTTAAGGTGATTTCTCCAGAAAAAAATTCGCCATTCAGCTGTTACCAATAAAATCCACTATTCAGCTTCTAGTTTGTTTTTATGGTTTGTCAATCGTCTATCCTGATCAAATCCTAATTAAAGGCATTACATGGCAAATTATCGTAAAAGTATCGATAATATTTGCGAAAATTATTCAAATCGATTTCTGATTATCTGAACAGGAATGGCAAATTGCCCGTTGTATAGGTCCTTTATTATTCGCAATCTACGTTAATGATATTGTTATTCGCTAACAAACATTTGCCTTTAGACTGATATTAAACTTTGGTATTCATTTGGGAGATTAGATGATTTATTAGTTTTACAGGCTGATTTTAATATGGTTAATGGTTCTAAAATCGTGAATACTACGAAATACTATGATCTCTCGTTAACTTTCTACAATATGTAAGGGAAAACGGATTGAATGGATTGAAGCTGCGCAAACCTATAGCTTCATTCGTTCATTATCGTCCAGACATATTATTATCGCACTTTTTTCATTAACCTTGCATTGTCCACTTTTCACAAACACAACTACATGGCTACTGGTTTGCTAGATTTTTTTCATTAATAAATAATGACCTCCATGGCAAAAGATATCCAAATTGTTGAATCTAATGCTTAGAACATTCGGCAGTAGAAATAATAAATTTCTTATTGCTATCTGACGCACCTTGAATGTATTTAAACACACTAAATTCAGATTTAGACCTCATTAATAATGAAATAATAAAATTTAAATTTTGCTAATTACCACTTAGAAAAGTTAGAAAAGCTATGATTATTATTGGCCTTAAGCACATGGACTACAGAGAGCATTACCTCTTCTGTTGGCGCAACGGCGCTCCTAATCGAGCAATAACCTACTGAGCCATTCTATCCCCATTCCGTGGCATTAAAAAAAGGTTAAAAGTTACATGAGTTACATGAGCTAACTACCATTGCAATTCCTCGAGTATTACCGACAAAAATTTTTAACCAGAAATATCCAACCTATATCATATCCATCGAGACGATCCGGCAAATCGGCGCCTAACAATGTTCTGTTAAATCGCTCATGCGTAGAGAACAAATGCTAAATTTGAAGCAAATAAAAAAACTAGAATAGAAACTAATTGAAAAAATAAAGAGAATGAATAACTAAATTGAGATCAAGCACCAACTACAAATAGAAATAATTAATTAATAAATAAACCTTTATTTTGTCGAAAACTGTATAGGGTTTTCGTTTTATGACAATGAAATAATGCCTATTAATTCGACCATTCGAGAATCGAACTTTATTATGATCGACTGTGGAGAAAGGCCGAATAAACATTCGCGAATTCAAACCGCGCAAAATGGAACGAAACTAGAAAATTCAAAAAAAAATTTTTTGTTATTCAATGAAAATACCATTAAGAAAGAAATTTAAGAGTTAATGAGCATCACAAAATGATCATATAAATGAGTTTCGCTGTTATTCAAAAAATTTCCAACTTTCATTAAAAAATCACCAATAAAAAGTGGCTAAACGAATTGAAACCCTTAATTGCCTTAACTAATTGAGGCCCTTCCTTAATTAAAATCCGCAATTAATTGTCCTCATGCAAATCTTTTTTAAACCGGAAAATTCATTTAATATAAGGAAGTTAAAAAATAAATTAATAGAAGTGAAAAAATATAAAAAAAAATCAAAAAATGGAAATATAAAAAAACATTAAATTATTCAAGTTAATAATAAAAATTGAAAACAAATTTACTAATCGTGTAAGCGTATATTTATTCTGAGTGAATTCCGTAAGGCCAACATTTTTTCGCAGATTTGCTTTAACAATTGGCAACAATGAAATTCGTGACGATGCTGAATATTTGCCAAATTTATACAATAACACTTCCGTAAAATGTAACGCTAAAGTAGCGAAACGCTTCAGTGACATTAATTTTTTCTAAAAGTCTTTTCGATAGAATGTTTTAAAAAAAGAATAAATTTTAGAAATGAAATTTAAAACGATGGAATTTAAATAAAAAACTTTTCAATCATAATTCAAATTCACATAAATTCAAATTCAAATATATTATTAGCAGTAAATTTTTTAAACATTAATCGACCATTTATACAATTACTAAAATCAACTCTGCTAAGCAGAGAGGGACCCGCAATCCGATCGCCAAACGACTCCCTAGCGAAGAAAAAATTTTTTTTCTTTGTTTCCTCTTCTTATCAAACTCCTATGAATTAACTCTCTATCATAAATCGTTTGATATTTAACAGATACTTAATTCACATTCGCTTTAAATATAGTTTTAAGGTTTTAAACCGGAAAATTAATAGAAGGAAGTAAAAAACGACGAACACTATTTTTCTCAATTTATTATTTTAAATTGCCCCTCTAGAGAAGCTATCCACCACTTTAATTAGTTTTAAGTCAATTTTTTTTTATTTAATCGACTCCTCAGTGTAATTATAATTTACGAAAAGGACTGCCCTCAATTCTGAATCAATTTGTTTGATACCAAATTATTTTCATCATGCATTAAGACCTATTCAGCCGCCCCCAACATTATTTTGATTTTTATAAAGTTCGATTAAATTGATATGAATATTTACCCTGTTGCACTGTCTAATTTTTCAATATACTATTTGGTAATTTTCTTTTTGGTTTATTGTTTTCGATTCCACGGTTTAATTATCTAAGTTTGAGAACAGAAATTCTGATCGCACGGCGCAGCACATCATCTTATATCTTATAAAATTTGAATCGCCAAATAAATAAAAATTTTGCTTAAAGAATATAACTGATAAATCTGATAGAAATTTTTCGATATGCTTGTCGCCAAATGGCGAAGGAAGCTTAAATTAAGGAGGGCCACCGTAACGCTTCCACGCCAGGAATGTTAAGAATACAAAGACTGCAAATTATAATCGAAAATACAAGGAAAATGGAAAAGTAGCTAATTAGAGATAGGCAGAATAGAGGAGACACCTTCCACCTTGAAAGAATGGAAGATAAAGAAAGGAAAAAAATTTTATTCTTTCTTTAGCCTATCCCAAACCTTCTGAGATGCCACTTTTGATTATTTGAGATTTTTGATGAGGAGTGGGAAGGTGCGGACGGGAGAAAGGGAAAGAGGGAGGTAAGAGAATTGTGCAAGGGAACTGGAAGACGTTGAGGAGGGACGTTCTCGCAAGCAATGTGTGTCGTTACCTTTCCTTTTTCCTACCGTTTTGCTAATCGGATGGACTTGCCGCATCAACTTATAATCAACTATGAACCTGTTAACAGAGATGGAATTTTGCACAATATTTTTGTATGTATTGTTTATAAATAAATAATTCAATTACTTAAGTTTGAGATCCTCTACGTGCTACTGCTTAATGTCGAACAATTCGCAACTATTTGAAGGAGAAAACCTGGCTGCAATATAAGCAGATTGTAATTTCACTATGAAGAGAACGAATCAATCCCTTGAAGTAATCATTGATAGGAAATCTCGACAATCTTTCTCCAGTGCAATGTTTAAAATCGAATTAGATATTTATAATTTATATAATTTAATAATTCAATTTAATATGTATAATTTAAATCACAAAACCAAAAAATCTAAAAATTTCAGTCTTAAAAATTTAAAAAATTATAAAATTACAAAAAAAATTATAAATAAAAAATTACGTTGAAGCAATATATATACAAAAGAACCTGCCCCATCTTCATTCCCCGTGAATACTGGGAGGTCATCCTTGGGCCTTCTACTAGAGGCCTGGGAGTTTGAGGGTTCTGCGCTATATCTTACCTCTCTAGAGATATTTTTTGATATTTCTTTCATTTCTCATATTCCTTCTTTCTGGCGTTCCTTATCACTTGGTACCACAAATATATTATCAGTGTTGATTTCTGGTCCTTGCCTGCTACCACGATAACTGGTTGACTAGCCAATACTTGTTTGCCTGGATGGGGAAGTCTCCCAGAATTCTTACCTTACTGTCTACGATTTTCTGGGAAATCTGCCATCTAGTCTTGGGATGGTCTAAGTCATAATAGATATTTCTGAGTAGATATTTTTGCAAATAATGCCAGTTAACCAGCTTCTTCTCCTTTTTATAATAGCTCTCACTATTATTGCTTAGACTGGTTCCGCTGGCTACAAGAATAAGACGTCTCCAAGCTGCCCGATCCGACGCCATCGCTAGTAGTAATAGAAGTTATTCCTTTTTCCACCGTCTAAGTCCGTATATCGCTGGTCCCCCTATACGTTCAAAATCTTTCCTGATTGTATCAGTCCAGGTCTTGACTGGCCCACCTCGCTTTTATTCACCACACAGTTTAGCAAGTAACGAAATATGCGTCAATTCCTATGCATCAGTGCCAGCTACTTGGTTATGCCTTTCAATATGCTATTCCTGCTTATACTTTGCATCCTGTCACCATGTTGGATTGTTTCTGGAATGTTTTTGCATAGTCTTCATCTGTAGCCTACTATGGAAGATCCATGTTTCAACGGATCTGATGCTTAACGCTTGTTCCTGTGCTATATTGCATTTTAGTCCAGCTTTTTCCAAACATTGGTAGAATTTCTCAGTGTCAACCGCCTGAATGCTTCGGTTTCATTCAAGATACTGGTTTTGACACTCACCAAATCTCTCCATCTTTCTTTCCATCTACAATTTTTCGGCGCTAAATTTGAGGTGAAAAAAATTTAAAAAACTTCCTTTTTTTTATGTTTAATTGCTGAGCAATTCGTTGTTCCTCTATTAACGAGGATTAATGAGTAAGCCTTTTGTCCAGTTATAACCAACAGTTCGTTCATGCGTTTCAAATATTCCTATTAGGTATTATATTAGCGATTACCAGTTACAGCTTATTTTGTCTTGTAAAGTTTATCCCAACAGCTCTTTCAAGGCCCTGCAGCACCTGCAGCACCTGGCGCAGTCCTAGTAGCTCACTTGCCACCAGATAGTCCTCAACATCTGACCTTGTTTATTCGAGGACATCCCAGCCGGTATAGCTCTAATATGCGATACTCTCGTATTTGAGATAAGGCACATAAATTTTCGGAGGGTCTTTGCTTACTGCGATTCGAACAACTTTTGCACACTTGAACTCTTATTTCACATAAACGGCGTGTCTTGACCATTACGCCATTCCTGTATCTCAAGTCATAAACACATAAACAGTTTTGGCAATGATCGCAACACTTCGATTATATCGACAGCGCTGCCTAAACATTAGACTGTGCTCGGCAGTAAATGACTCCACAAGTGAAGTTACGGCTAAATGAAGAAAAGCGACTAAAAGCCAATGCAATCGACTTTAAACAAATTAACATGAAAAATGAAAATAGAAAAAAACGAACGGACAAACTGAACGTAAAACGATAATCGTTTCAAGACCAAAGCATTTGAATTTTGTTATTTTCTGCACAATTCTTGTCGCTGTCGACAACTGACTTGCAGTTCTGCTGGATCGCTGTCATTCTTCCATAAATCGCATATAGTTTGCCGACGGCTAATTTGGGCAGTTGTTTTTAAATAAAATTGCTTTTATCCCACGAATTTTTCGTCCTAAACATTTTTGCACTAAGTCACCCTAAAATAAGTAAAATTTAAATTTATTTATATCTGTTCTGTTAAATTTATTTTTAAATTAGAGTGTTGGCCAGAATAATCTGTTGCTGTTGGAGACTCAGCTATAGCCAAGTACCTTCTTGGTGAATGCTTCCAATGTATAGCCAGTGACGTGAACCTAAACAGAACTGGTTAGCCCTTTAAATTATGGCGTGTTGATGGTTATTTTCTAATCAGTCAATTTGTTAATTAGGCACTGATCCCAAGTCTTCTGAGATGCCAAAATACCACATACACTTTTGAAATTTCGTAATTTATTCAAAGCAACCAAGCAGGGCGGCAAGCTTGTCGAGTTGACCTAAAATTACAATGTTCTGAACAACCTAATTTGATGTAGAATATACATAACCACATAGAATATACGTATAAATGAAATAATCTTGCTCAGTTCGACGAATTGAGAGTGAGTATTGGTTGTATAGTAGATATTGCTAACAGGTGAGAGGCGACATACAAAGTATTTTTGGAGTCCTTCAATAAATTTATTTGATTTGTGCTGTCTAAGGAAGATTATACTGTACTGGGTCGAAAGAACGCTTTGTATATTTTGATAAGAAAATTTTAAAATGACAGCACAAAAATATAATTTTGCAGTAAAGATCGAAATTTTCATCAATGATTGTGCCAAAATCTGATAATCGAGACTCGTCTAATTATGCTACCATTAATGAGATTAGGGAGATCGAATTTTTTTGAATGTAATTTATAAGTAATACGCTTTACTTTTGAATAGAAAGGGTTTACCTATTGTTTAACCAGTAAGAAATTCAATTCATTTACTACGGACGATTATCCGATCTACCATCAAAATAATTTTGCAGTCATCAGTATAAAGATAAATAGTAGAATTTTGTACAACTTTGGTGATGTATAACAAGAAAAGTAATGGTGCGATACAACTTTGAGAACCTCTTATTTGACTAGAGTCAAATTTGAAAGAATTATTGATACGTATGGCTTGGTATCGTTCATTTAAGTAATCTGATATCCAGATATATAAATTGCCTGGGATGCCATAATGACTGATGATGGCCAATAATTTATTGTGAAACGGTATCAAATGCTTTGGTCATGCCAAGAAAATTTCAGTTTCGAATATATTTTATCCAAAAAAAACTGAATATGCGTTCATTAATTAATGAATTATTTGCTTTTTTTTCTAAAAATTTTTTGGAAATTTAAAATGCTTAAGGGAAATCTCTGCTCATTAAATTTGCTAAAAATAGACGTGGTTGAAAATTTTTGCAAAGGTGTTGTCGCGAAAAAGCGAAAAAAGCTATAAATTAGAGCAAATCAACCGGATTCCCGCCCATC